CACACACATCGTTACTTCGTCACAACACACACATCGTCACCACACACACATCGTCACCACACACACATCGTCACCACACACACATCGTCACCACACACACATCGTCACAACACACACATCGTCACCACACACACATCGTCACCACACACACATCGTCACCACACACATCGTCACCACACACACATCGTTACCACACACACATCGTCACCACACACACATCGTCACCACACACACATCGTTACTTCGTCACAACACACACATCGTCACCACACACACATCGTCACCACACACACATCGTCACCACACACACATCGTCACCACACACACATCGTCACCACACACACATCGTCACCACACACACATCGTCACCACACACATCGTCACCACACACACATCGTTACTTCGTCACAACACACACATCGTTACCACACACATCGTCACCACACACATCGTCACCACACACACATCGTTACCACACACATCGTCACCACACACACATCGTCACCACACACACATCGTTACTTCGTCACAACACACACATCGTTACCACACACATCGTCACCACACACACATCGTCACCACACACACATCGTTACTTCGTCACAACACACACATCGTTACCACACACATCGTCACCACACACACATCGTCACCACACACACATCGTCACCACACACACATCGTCACCACACACACATCGTCACCACACACACAATGTCACCACACACATCGTCACCACACACACATCGTCACCACACACACATCGTCACCACACACATCGTCACCACACACACATCGTCACAACACACACATCGTCACCACACACATCGTCACCACACACATCGTCACCACACACACATCGTCACAACACACACATCGTCACCACACACATCGTCACAACACACACATCGTCACCACACACACATCGTTACTTCGTCACAACACACACATCGTCACCACACACACATCGTCACCACACACATCGTCACCACACACACATCGTCACCACACACATCGTCACCACACACACATCGTTACCACACACACATCGTCACCACACACACATCGTCACCACACACACATCGTCACCACACACATCGTCACCACACACATCGTCACCACACACACATCGTCACCACACACACATCGTCACCACACACACATCGTCACCACACACATCGTCACCACACACACATCGTTACCACACACACATCGTCACCACACACACATCGTCACCACACACACATCGTTACTTCGTCACAACACACACATCGTCACCACACACACATCGTCACCACACACACATCGTCACCACACACATCGTCACCACACACACATCGTTACCACACACACATCGTCACCACACACACATCGTCACCACACACACATCGTTACTTCGTCACAACACACACATCGTCACCACACACACATCGTCACCACACACACATCGTCACCACACACACATCGTCACCACACACACATCGTCACAACACACACATCGTCACCACACACACATCGTCACCACACACACATCGTCACCACACACATCGTCACCACACACACATCGTTACCACACACACATCGTCACCACACACACATCGTCACCACACACACATCGTTACTTCGTCACAACACACACATCGTCACCACACACACATCGTCACCACACACACATCGTCACCACACACACATCGTCACCACACACACATCGTCACCACACACACATCGTCACCACACACACATCGTCACCACACACATCGTCACCACACACACATCGTTACTTCGTCACAACACACACATCGTCACCACACACACATCGTTACTTCGTCACAACACACACATCGTTACCACACACATCGTCACCACACACACATCGTCACCACACACACATCGTCACCACACACACATCGTCACCACACACACATCGTCACCACACACACATCGTCACCACACACACAATGTCACCACACACATCGTCACCACACACACATCGTCACCACACACACATCGTCACCACACACACATCGTCACCACACACATCGTCACCACACACACATCGTTACTTCGTCACAACACACACATCGTCACCACACACACATCGTCACCACACACACATCGTCACCACACACACATCGTCACCACACACATCGTCACCACACACACATCGTTACTTCGTCACAACACACACATCGTCATCACACACACATCGTCACCACACACATCGTCACCACACACACATCGTTACTTCGTCACAACACACACATCGTCACCACACACACATCGTCACCACACACACATCGTCACCACACACACATCGTTACTTCGTCACAACACACACATCGTCACCACACACACATCGTCACCACACACACATCGTCACCACACACACATCGTTACTTCGTCACAACACACACATCGTCACCACACACACATCGTCACCACACACACATCGTCACCACACACACATCGTCACCACACACACATCGTCACCACACACACATCATCACCACACACACATCGTCACCACACACACATCGTCACCGCACACATCGTCACCACACACACATCGTCACCACACACACATCGTCACCACACACACATCGTCACCACACACATATGATCACCACACACATATTGTCTCCATACATACATATCGTCATGACACACAAAAATCAATACACATACATGATCATCACACACATATCATCATTACTCTTACACCGTCAACAACCACTCATCGTGACCACATACACACATCATTATCACACACATCATGACCACACACACACACAATTGATCACCACCCACATTTCGTCGCGTCGCATCGTTACCACACATATTGTCACCACGCACATATTGTGTTCGCACACACATTGCAACAACACACATCGTCATTCCACACACTACGTCATAACTCAGCTCACCACCACCCTAACAAATTGTCACCACCCTAAGACATTATTTTAATAATTCATTCTTTTATTACGTCTTTTTTTTACGCCTCAGACATGTAATTTACAGCGTCAGTTTGACTTGCGTGTTCGCTTTAGTATTACAGTTTTCATCATTGGCTTGTGAGGACTGATACAGATTTACAATAGTAAAACTTGTTTCTTACATGTAACCTACTTTCATTCATTTAAGATGGTTTACTTATACATATACCTAATACAAAAAGTCTAATTACAATTTTATTTTAAGAAAAAACAACCTGAAAATGCAAATGTGTTTAAATGATGATTCAAGGGATTTTTTTCCCCATCGGCGTGGTGGGCTGACGGGGGGGGGGGGAGGGGGGGGGGAGGTTTTGGGCTTTAAGTAGAGCTGAAATAAATTTGGGATTACAGAGAATTAAAATGATACAAATTTTAAGCAACCACATAAGGATACTTTTTTTTTTTTAAGTTTTGAATTTATTTACAAAAATCTAATACAAACAAGATTGTATGAATAATGAAATAATATAAATTCCTAGCATACATTCATGCAATTCAAAATGTCTTGTTCAAGCTGTCAACAAGCCCCCCCCCCCCATTACCTCAACTTGCTGTCACATAAAAAAAAACACCACTCATCCCTAGCACACCCACACCAATAATCCACATCCTCCACAATTTCTGGGCTGCTCTCACTGGTGTCGTTGTTTAATGTGATTTCAAAGTCTGCGCTTTTAGATTGACAGCTGATGTGTCATCTTCATCATCAGTGGCGTAGCGGCACTTAATGGTGTCACCCCCCCCCCCCCCAGAGGTGTAGCGACCCTTCCCGACGCCCGGGGACATACTTTCAATTTTCGATTTGCATCTCCCCCCCCCCCCCTCAAACTTTCGATTTGCACCCCCACCAAACTTTCGATTTGCATCCCCCCCCCCTCCACCCTTGTCGGGATTTGTCAAATTTGCTCTAAAAAGACTTTTTAACACTCGAATTAATCACTTGTGGAATTATCATTTTTCTCTATATATTTTGCGTTTTTTTTTTACCTTGGTGTCACCCCCCCCCCCTAAATGGTGTCATCCGGTGCGATCCACACACCCCCCCTCGCTACGCCACTGTTAATCACTGACTTCCTCCACTTCCTTGTCACAGTCCTCTATTATCTCTGGGGGGGGGGGGGGGGCAGGGGCTGGCTTGGGTGCTTTGTCTTTCTTTTTCTCAGATTTCGCCAAACGGAAAGCTTCTTGGCACTGCTGCAGAGGCTCAATAAACTGCTCAAACTCCATGTCTTCCATAGCACTTAATACATTGAGCGTTAATTGTTTTTCGTGTGTTTTTTATAGCAAAGTTATTGGAACAAGATGTTGCATAGAGAACAAATACACTGGCCGCTTTAGATATAGCTAGCCTGGCTTGCTTAGAAAATTGACACCTCTGGGACTGCATCCTTAATTATTCGAGTAACAACTGCATTGGACAAATTTTAAAAAGTGCTAATAATAAACTAATATTGTCGAGTAGCGATGAGACCTCCTCCAATCGCCCTAAATCTGAAATTTACCAAACTGTATATAAAATGTGTCTATTTTTTACAATGTGTGTATGTATATTAAAACTATTATATATTTATATTTTAAGCAAAAAGCCTCTAATATTTAGTACCCAATTTGAACACTGGTTTAAGTATATATTATCTATATTAAGTTAAATAATTTACGGCTGAAAGAAACGTGGAAAACATCCATACGCAACAGCATATTCTGGCTGCTCGAGTGATCGTTACTGCTTAAAAACTTTATCATTTTATCTCCCCTTTTGTTATTTAATAGTCTAATCTTTAAAATAATTTATCTATAAAAATTGAATGTAGTCTAATTGCTGCATTTTAAAGTGATCGAAATTGGTGACAAGACTCGGTCACAAACTGATAGAAGACATTCAGAGTTGTGACCTAAGAAAAGACTAGTAAAAGAGCAACAAGATCATCTTAAATAGAAACTGAAGTAAATTCTACTTTCGTTTTTATTTTTAGAATTTTTTTTTATCCGGAAGTTGATATATCACATGATTTGTAGTAAGAAGGTGGAAGCAAAATATTGACAAAATGAAGTTGGAGGGATAGGATTACCAACTTGTTTTATATTTGACACCTTTATGATTGATTATTAAGTTAACTGCTGAAAAAATCTCAACACTTAATGATAATGCCGGGACCTGAAGAGGATGGGGTTCGCTCTACTGGAGGACAGGTCGATGGCAAGTATTTTTTCTTCACCCTTTCAAAAACGTTTTTAATAAAAACGTTTTTAAAACAATTTTCTTTAGTGATCCATTGCTGTATCGAATACTGAATGTGAATAAAGAATACTATCTTAATTAATATTTAATATTAATATAACAAAATATAATTGTATATAGACTATAGACCTTCTCATTATAGTCCTAATAATAATTAGGCCTAATTATTAAAATTAAGTAAGTGTTACGTTCTGGGTTCATTTCAAATCAATAACAACGCTTCGTGTTTAACTTCACTACTTATTCGTCTCAATGCCTTCAAGCGTAACAGAACAGCCCTCGTCCTAACCGCTACTAACCCGCTGACTGCCAACTAACTACTCCTGACAACCATTCACTCCAGCTTTTATACCGCATTCGACCTTGGGATAACAATACACAAACACACCGGGGTTAACAATATTCTAGGGTAAACTCAACTCACACACTCACTCTCCCCTAATTCTAGATCATTCTATCCTATTCTAGTCTAACCTACACTGACCCGTAACACTACCCCCCACCCAAGTATTTGTAGTACATACTACAAATACTAACTAAATCCCCAAATCCTAAGTTAACCTAGAGGGCGAAAACAAACAGAGACAAAATAGATAAATAGATAAATAAAATAATTTTAAAAAACAAACAAAAAAAATAAAAAATAATGATTTGACAGGTATACTACACCAAGAGGAGAGTAAATAAATAATGCATTTATACATCTCTTTGTACATGAATCCAAGACAAACAACCGAGTAAAAATAACCGAAAAAAAAACAGCAAAAAAAAACAAACAAACAAATCTGTGGTTTAAATTACAATTTACATCTCAGACTCCCGATTTAAAATTTCTTGACAAAAAATCCGCTAGAAGATTATCCCTCCCCGGAATGTGTTCTATAGTAAATTTATATTCCTGTAGTAGTAAGGACCAGCGTGTCAGTCTGGCATTATTGAACCTACATTTATGAAGGTATTTTAGAGCACGCTGGTCCGTCTGCAGTACAAAGCTAGCGTTGTATAAATACAACGCTAGTTTGCCTGTGGCCCAGACAATTGCTAGGCACTCTCTTTCTATAGTAGAGTACCGAGTCTCTCTCGGTTGGAGTTTTCTGCTGATGTATTTTACTGGTCTCAGAACCCCATTTCTCATTTGCATCAAGGCTGCCCCGATACCTCGTGACGAGGCGTCGGTCCTGAGAATAAATTGCTCATTAATATTAGGTAAAATAAGAAATGGTTCTGAGTTCAAGTGTTTCTGGACCAGTCTTAAAGCACGGTTACATTCATCTGACCACACGACCTTTTCAGGTTTACCCTTTGCTAACAAGTCTGTCAGTATTGCGTTGGCCTCGCTGAATTCTGGTATAAATTTAGCATAATACCCTATAAGACCCACTAATGATCTTACCTCTTTCTTTGTGGTGGGTATTGCTACGTTTAAGATTTTGTTTACCTTGTTTCTCTCTGGTGTCAGTAGCCCCCTCCCCACTATGTGCCCTAGGAAATTAATTTTTTCAAACCCTAGCTCTAATTTGGCAGGTCTTACTGTCAGGCCCGCGTCCCTCAATCTATTGAACACCGCCTTTATTGCCATAAGGTGTTCCTCCCATGTCTCGCTGTAGATACAGATGTCATCAAAAAATGACACCACATTTTCCAAGTCTTTTAATACGACTCGCATTAATCTGGCGAATGTGGCGGGTGCCGTGCATAGGCCAAAGGGCAGGTAATTAAACTGAAATAGGCCCCAGGGTGTGACAAATGCGGTGAGTTTTTTGCTGTCATTTTGCATGGGGATCTGCCAATACCCTTTTGTGAGGTCGAGTTTAGTAAAATATTTTGCCCTATTTAATTTAGCGAACAGCTCATCTGTATCTGGGATGGGTTCCGCGTCGTAGACTGTGACTGCGTTAAGTCTCTTATAGTCTACACAGAACCGTGTCGACCCATCTTTTTTCTTAACTAGTACTACAGGTGCGCTGAAGTCGGAGTCGGACCTCTCTATTATCCCCAGTCTCTCCATTTCGTCCATCTCTTTCTTCATAAGCTCTCTTCGGGCGTATGGTATGCAGTAGGGTTTCGTTCTTATTGCTCTGGTGTTGGTCAGTTTTATTTTATGTTCTAGTAAACTTGTTTTTCCAGGTAAGTTGCTAATTACAGCTGTGTACTCTTGGATAATTTTGTCTAGATCTGTCCGCTGTGTTTTTGTCAGGGTGTCTCCTATTTTGATATCACTTAACTTAGTTTCCTCCAGTATGTCAGGAGTTTTTATTGTGTCCAATGGAATACCCGGTTCCATGTCCTCCTCATCTGTTAGTGATACTTGGTTTTCTTCTTCTGCCTCCACCACTCCTGACACTGCCGCTAACATGGGGTGTCCCTTGCTGTCGTCTGGTTTTTGTCTGTGATGGTACAGCATCATCCGATTTACATGGACCACCTTAGTGCTGTCCCCTGTTTTAATAACATAGTCCAAGTCTCCGATTTTTTTTAAGACTTCGTAAGGTCCCGCCCACCTTAGCTCAAGTTTGTTTAATAGTTGGGGCTTCAGTATCAGTACATGATCCCCCACTTTGATATCTTTGGTTGTGGCTGATCTATCGTAGTAGCTCTTTGCTTTATCTTTCTCATTTTCTGATTTGCGGGTTGCATAACTGCATGCCGTTTGCAACTGCTGCTTAAGGTCCAGCAGGTAGTCATATGCAGCTCTTGTCTTATATTCCCTTACTTCTCCTGTGAGGATATCCTTTAGGATGCTCATCGGGCCCCTCACTTTCCTGCCGAACATAAGTTCGAATGGCGGGTAACCAGTGCTTTCGTTTGGAACTTCTCTGTAGGCGAAAAGTGCTGCTGGGATGAATACGTCCCAATCATCATCCTTGTCTATAGCTACTTTCTTTAGCATTTCCTTCAAAGTTCCATTCCATCGTTCTACCGCCCCGTTGGCCATGGCGTGATATGCCGAAGCGTGAATGATTTTAATCCCCAACATTTTAGACACGGTGCAGAAAATTTCCGACGTGAACTGGGTCCCGTTATCTGAGAGTATGACTTCCGGGAATCCCATCCTCGTGAAGATGGAGAGTAGCGCATCTTGGATCTCTGCTGCCGTTACACTTTTCAGCGGTACGGCTTCTGGCCACCGTGTGCATATGTCTACGGCTGTGAGTATGAATCTGTTCTTTTTTTTCGTTTGAGTTAGTGGCCCCACAATATCTACGGCGATTTTCTCAAACGGTTGTCCCACTACCTCAGTTCTACCCAGAGGCGCCTTGCCACCAACATTCTTTTTGCTTTTCTGGCAGACATCACAACTTTCGCAATAACGCCTGATATCCTCCCCTGCCCCTGGCCAGCTAAATTGTGACAGAATTCTGGCTTTCGTTCTTGCTACACCCATGTGCCCCGCCATAGGTGTGTCGTGTCCTAATTTCAGGATGGTGGGCCTAAGTCCCCTTGGGATTGCTAGTCTAATCTGATCTTCTGTTTTGCTGTGTTTTATGATCTTATATAATAACCCATCTATCGTTTTACATTGTTTGCCCTTTTCCGCGAGCTTCCACCACCTAGCTAATGTTTTGTCTTCGCTCTGTTGCGTTTTAAAATCTTTCGATGTCGTTATTTGGTCTAAAATCTTATGCCCCGGCTCATTTCTCTGGTTGCCCCATGCTCTAAGTTGTCCTCTGGTTTCTACCGCCGCTAATGTTAGCGAATCTTCCCTCGGTAATTTCGCGCCTGCTACATTCCCTATTATAAGTTCAGCGGGTGGATCATCTAAAAGGACGGCAAAGAACTCTCCCGTAAGGTATGGTGTTTCTATGTTGACTACAGCTCCTGGTACTCTTTTCTTATCTCCATCCGCGGTCTTAATGGTTATCCATTCTTTTGTCCATCTATTCCTTGGGACTAGAGCTTTTCGACAAGCTACGACTACAGAGCCCGTATCCCGTAGGACGGTCACCGTCCTCCCATCCAGTTTTCCTGCAACTATAGGAAGTGACCCTCTGTCGCTTATGAATCTCCGATTAGCTCCAATGTTCCCTACAGGGACAGCGCCCTTTACTTGACTTAGGCATTGTCCACAGTCGCCGCACTCCCCGCTGAACTCTGGTACTAGTCATATGTCTTGAATGTTCCTGAAGCCTACCCTTCTCCCTCTGTACTCATGTCTACGATTGGACCGGCACCCCGCCGCTATGTGCCCCTCAGCCCCACAGTTAAAGCATGTGATTGGGCTTCTTCTGGGACTAATATTACTACTCGGCCTAGGTTGGACCGGGCTTTGTCCTCTTCTCTCCCGTTGAAGGGTGACTTCATTTCTTGTGACCCATTCCTCTCTAATGGGGCTCTTAGATCTAGGTCTTAGGGTTTGTTTGTCCTTGTCCTCTCTAAAGGGATTCCTAGATCCTGATGCAAGTGCCATGGGGGCAACAAATGCGTCTTCTGTCACGTCGATCGGTTTTAATTTTCTGTCTGGGTAGATGTCAAAGTAGTTGTCACAGGCATTTTCTACGTCTGCTATTGTCCTCGGGTTTTGTCTGAGGATGTGCTGTCTTATGTCTTGTCCGACTGTTCTCACTATTTTGTCTTTTAAGAGTAGGTCAAACAGTCCGTCAAATGTCTTGTCACACTTGCTAGCTTCGACCCATCTTCTCAAGTAGTGTCGTACCCTCCTAATGTAACTCCCTGCTCTGTCTTGTTCTGATGGTTGGGCGCTATTAAACTTATCACTGTATCCTTGCTCCGTCAAACCAAAGTGTTTTAGGACCTCCCTTTTCAGCTTCCCATAATTCTCTTCTGCTCCTAATTCTGTTAACCACGATTCGCAGCCTATATCTAGCAGAACTTTCCTAAACTCGTGGCACCAAAACTTATCTTCTAAACCTATTTCTCGGGCTTCCCTTTCAAAAATGTCAACCACCACCTCCATATCTGTTTGGTCCCTACTGTTTCTCAGTCCAGTCAGCTTAATTCTTGGGGTCTGTGCCCTACCCCTGCCCTTTATGTCTTCCTCCCTGTTCCCCTTCTCCATTGCTAGTTCCAGCTCCTTCAATTTTAGTCTTTCTTCTGATTCAATTTTAGCCCTAGTTACGGCCCTGTCTGCAGCCCTCTCGTCCCTTTCAGCCTGCTGCCTAGCCTTAGCCTCCGCCTCTAACAATTTAGCCTCAGCCCATTCCAACAGCTCCCTTCCCTCTAGTTTACATCTTTCCCCTAACGCTATAAAATGCTCTAGCGTTAAGCCTTCGCTAGCCATCTCACCTTATCCACTTAGGATTGGGTGCCAAAATTGTAATACCCAATATAATGTTAGGCAAGGGTAATCCCCGGTTGTGAGTACCGTGCCCCAGACTAATTCAAAAACACTTACCTCAAATACAAATCTGTTGTAGTAGTCCCTTCCCCTACTTTAGCCCTTCAAAACAATGGTAAATCCTGTAATGGCCGGGTCATGTGAAGACGAAGACCTGGATCGACAAAGACAAAAGTCCTGTGACGGCAAGGCTCTGTGCTGGTAAAATCCCAGGATGGTAGAGTCCAGTGATGGCGACTTTCTGTTCTGATAAAGTCCAAGGATGGTAGAGTCCAGTGATGGCGACTTCCTGTTCTGATAAAGTCCAAGGATGGTAGAATCCCGTGATGGCGACTTTCTGTTCTGGTAAGGTCCAAGGATGGTAGAACCCAGTGATGGCGACTTCCTGTTCTGATAAAGTCCAAGGATGGTAGAGTCCAGTGATGGCGACTTTCTGTTCTGATAAAGTCCAAGGATGGTAGTCCAGTGATGGCGACTTTCTGTTCTGATAAAGTCCAAGGATGGTAGAGTCCAGTGATGCCGACTTTCTGTTCTGATAAAGTCCAAGGATGGTAGAATCCCGTGATGGCGACTTTCTATTCTGATAAAGTCCAAGGATGGTAGAATACCGTGATGGCGACTTTCTGTTCTGGTAAGGTCTCAGGATGGTGACGTCTAGTGGTGGTGACGTCCAGTGGTAATGACGTTCTGATTGCGACTTTCTGTTCAGGTAAGGTCCCAGGATGGTATAGTCCAGTGATGATGACGTCTAGTGATGGTGACGTCTAGCGATGGTGACGTCTAGTGATGGTGACATCCAGTGGTAATGACGTTCTGATGATTGCGCTATCTTTACTTTAATACTGGCCACCAGTTGTTACGTTCTGGGTTCATTTCAAATCAATAACAACGCTTCGTGTTTAACTTCACTACTTATTCGTCTCAATGCCTTCAAGCGTAACAGAACAGCCCTCGTCCTAACCGCTACTAACCCGCTGACTGCCAACTAACTACTCCTGACAACCATTCACTCCAGCTTTTATACCGCATTCGACCTTGGGATAACAATACACAAACACACCGGGGTTAACAATATTCTAGGGTAAACTCAACTCACACACTCACTCTCCCCTAATTCTAGATCATTCTATCCTATTCTAGTCTAACCTACACTGACCCGTAACAGTAAGCCTAGGAAGTTTCGAAGTTAGTATAAGTATAAACTTACTATAAACTATAGTATTAGTAGCCTAAGACAGTTTTCAGTTCAAGTTTAGTTTAGTTTAGTTTAGTAGGTCCTACTTGTGCTTACTACTAACTACTAATTTTTTTAGTAATTATATCTAGTTAAAATCCTGTTGTGACATGGGCTGTTTACCAGTGCTGTGGTCCCAGTAGTAGAGTACTTACTAACTTAAGTATTAAGTATAAGTATTAATTAAGTAATAAGTTACTTAGTTAGGCCTAAGTACTTAGAGCTTTATACTTTATAAGATTATATCATTATAGTCTTAGACTCTAGCCCAGGGGTTCCCAACCTTTTTTTACTCTAGAGCACATTCTAAAATCGACAAACTCCTTCCAGAGGTGTAGCGACCCTTCCCGTCACCCGGGGACAAAATTTTCGATTTGCACCCCCCCCCCCTCAGACTTTCGATCTACACCCCCCCCCCCCCTTCCATCCCATTCAACCTTTCAATAATGTTTATGAAAAAAATTCATCCTCTGTCAAATAGTGAGTGGCGGGCACATACGAATCGTCCAGCGGGCGCCGGGCACGGGGTAAAAAAAGTAAAAATGTAGCCTAATTAATTAATACTGAATTGGAATGACTGGGATTTTAAACTTTTAATTAGGCCTATTAATTAATTATGGTAGGTAATAGTTTATATAGTACTACTAACTAGTCTATTACTTCTATAGAGTATTATACATAACATTTAGTACTCTTTAGTCTTTTCCGAATTCAGTGCATGCAGATATTTTAACATTATTATCTGAATTATCAATTTACAACATATCTGGCATTCTGGCAATAACATCTCACAACTGGGGCAATGCTAATTTGCTGTTTCTTTAATTCCTTAATACATGTTTTATTACAACTGACATCATACTGTTTACAGAAATGACTTTGGCTCTCATTGATGCTGCCCATGACAATGACCAAACTACCAGAGAGGTCATTGCCAATTCCCTGTTTGACTTGGGAAGGAAAAAACCAGCTCTCATCCTCAGCACTTGTCACACGTACCTTAAGAAACATTCAAAGGTAATTCAGGTTTACAATAGACTTACTGATGAAGATCATCCTCTGGAGTTCTTCTTCTTCTTCGTTCTTAATTTTTAGTGTTGGAAGGGATCGAGCTTTTGCCGACTCGACCATGCCTCCTCTGGAGTTACTTTCTAGCCATTTTTATTTTGAAAATGGCATGTTAAAAAATGTGCTAATTCAAATCTCAAAGATTTTTGTGTTGATTGAAATATTTCTTACAACTTAATTACTAATATCCAAATTAATGTAGAAAGACAAATCACCTGTAAACTCAAGGCAAAAAAAATCTTGGAAAATATTTTATTTTCCAAAAGCTGGGATACTTTTTTCTCACTGCATTATGTCAACACAAACAACATTATACAATACATCTAAGCAAAACAATGTTACTAATAAAATTGTCTGCTCATAAAAAGAGTAGCAAAGTAGTTAAAAGATGCTTATAAATGACATTTAAATCTATCTATTGACAGCTTTCGCTTGAACATAGAATCATAATTCTCAACACAGTTGAACGGATTGTGAAGGAAACTCTGGACTCTGTCGACCTGAATTTGGCATCCAACTTGATCAAGCAAGCATCGTCTGAGCTTACCCAGTCAAAGGTCAATTCTATAATAAGTGTTGATATTTTCTCGTTGTAAATTTAACTTTAATGTAATTTATTTAAAACAAATTTTTAATAGTGTAATTCTACTATTAAAGTTTTTCTCTATTCTTTTTTTCCTTTCTTCTATGTGCTGCAAATGTAGAATTGTACAACTAATATAAAACAGTGTACTTTATATTTTATAACTGTTTGATTTGAATTCCCCTTAATCCAGGAAGTTTCCCCCGAATGGCAGACGGCAGCCAGTGGTGTGCTGGTGGCGCTGGGCACCAAGTACTGCAACGAGGTGATGGGAGAGATGCTGGAGAAATTCCAGCCCGGTGTTTTACCCCATTTTTTTGTGGTCCAAACCATTGGGAACTTGGCAGCAGCCAATGGTAGAAGCTGTTTCTTTTCTCTCTCATTGTTAGTTGTAACTCTTCTGTTTTCAAAAACATTAGGTGAAAACACTGTTGTAAAAATTATTGTGTTTATTTATTGTATAGTGTTTTACCCCATTTTTTTGTGGTCCAAACCATTGGGAACCTGGCAGCAGCCAATGGTAGAAGCTTTTTCTTTTCTCTCTCATTGTTAGTTGTAACTCTTCTGTTTCAAAAACATTAGGTGAAAACACTGTTGTAAAAATTATTGTGTTTATTTATTGTATAGTGTTTTACCCCATTTTTTTGTGGTCCAAACCATTGGGAACCTGGCAGCAGCCAATGGTAGAAGCTTTTTCTTTTCTCTCTCATTGTTAGTTGTAACTCTTCTGTTTCAAAAACATTAGGTGAAAACACTGTTGTAAAAATTATTGTGTTTATTTATTGTATAGTGTTTTACCCCATTTTTTTGTGGTCCAAACCATTGGGAACCTGGCAGCAGCCAATGGTAGAAGCTTTTTCTTTTCTCTCTCATTGTTAGTTGTAACTCTTCTGTTTCAAAAACATTAGGTGAAAACACTGTTGTAAAAATTATTGTGTTTATTTATTGTATAGTGTTTTACCCCATTTTTTTGTGGTCCAAACCATTGGGAACCTGGCAGCAGCCAATGGTAGAAGCTTTTTCTTTTCTCTCTCATTGTTAGTTGTAACTCTTCTGTTTCAAAAACATTAGGTGAAAACACTGTTGTAAAAATTATTGTGTTTATTTATTGTATAGTGTTTTACCCCATTTTTTTGTGGTCCAAACCATTGGGAACCTGGCAGCAGCCAATGGTAGAAGCTTTTTCTTTTCTCTCTCATTGTTAGTTGTAACTCTTCTGTTTCAAAAACATTAGGTGAAAACACTGTTGTAAAAATTATTGTGTTTATTTATTGTATAGTGTTTTACCCCATTTTTTTGTGGTCCAAACCATTGGGAACCTGGCAGCAGCCAATGGTAGAAGCTGTTTCTTTTCTCTCTCATTGTTAGTTGTAACTCTTCTGTTTTCAAAAACATTAGGTGAAAACACTGTTGTAAAAAAATTATTGTGCTAGCTCTTTTTAAAGTGTTTTGCTATTAGTGGCACTGTCATTGCTATGTTACCATTGATTTCTACATGGCCTAGTTGTAATTGAGCCTGATAAGAAATCATTGTCTGTCTGTCATTCATAAGGTGCTACCTAGTTGTAACTATGGTAACAAAGTGTAATCACTGCATGGTGCCACCTAGTTGTAATTAAGGTGACAAAATGTAATCACTGTATGGTGCCACCTAGTTGTAACTAAGGTGACAAAATGTAATCACTGTATGGTGCCACTTGTAACCATGGTAACTGAGTGTAATCATTCTGTCCACCTCCCCAGTGTATGACATGGTGCCCCATCTGACGGCAGTACTTGGGACAATGCTGCCCATGCTTGGCCTGGCTAAGTATGACAACATGAGATGGGTGTTTGCCTCAGGTGAGTCATCCACATCAGTGTACTAATATAATTTTTGTCTGATTCAACCACTTACATTTTGTCTCACTATTTCAAACGATTTTGAAGTCAGCTACACTGTATATCTACTTGTAATATGTTTTTTAAATAAAAAATAAAAAACTGCCATTCAATGCACTAGTTATTAACTTTAAACATGGTCCTTACGTTCCAGCCATATCAAAGTTTAGTGAGGCAATCCTTGAGTACTGCGCCAACCTGGATCAAGCTCCGGATAAATCGGTATCCACAGATAGGTTTTCAGCTGAAATCTTTTCAGCTTATGACATTTTGTTCAATGTTTGGCTGCAGTCAAAAGAGGCAAAGGTTGGTTATCAGATTATGGCCCTTTCATTGAAGGAGCTAAATAGTTTTATGTTGAAAGATTTAGTAATTATTTAAATATTTACATACTTGCCAGCAATAAGGTTAGATAACTAGTATTATGTAATTTTCAAAGGAAATATTTTTATTAACAGATTATTTAACTTGAGTATCCAAAACACAAATGTTGTAAAATTGAATACAATACATTATATTTTTATGAGTATGTAAATGTATTCCTCTGGTTACTATTTTTAGCTGAGGCTTACAATAATTGAGGCCGTGGGTCACATGACTCATGTGATGAGCAAGGACAGACTACAAGAGCAGCTCCCCAAAATTTTACAAGGCATTTATTCCCTGTACAAACGTCACCCTGAGCCATATCACATTACACAGGCAAATACCTTTTTCTGAACTTGTTAAATCTTGTGTATAGAAGTTAATCACTTGCTTTACATGTATTATGAGTTTGCAGCTTTTTTTAAATCTTAGAATTTTATCACCCCAGGGCCTATGTATGTTGTGCTAGCAGTTTAAAATTAATTTTTTAATGTTTAATTCGTATTATCTCCAGAGCCTATGTTTAAAATAACTCTTGTCATATTTGTTTCTCCAGGGCCTGTGTATGGAGTGTTAGAGTGCTAGCAGTTTAAAATAACTTGTCATATTTGTTTCTCCAGGGCCTATGTATGGTGTTGGATGCTGTTTGTGTGGAAGGAAATTTAACACTAGAGCCTCATTTTGACAATTTAATCAACATTTTGTTTGCACAGGTAAATATTTAATACTGCGTTAAAAGCATATTTACACATTATGTTTGTACAATGTAAACTCTGTTCAACTTGTTAAACTATTCTACTTGCCAGATTTTTCAACCTGTGGATTATACAAACCAAATGAGTATGAAAAATCACAATGAACTACTGAGATCATTTGCAATAATGGGTAAATATCTTTATAGCTATAATTCAGCTTATTGACATAAACTTAAATATTTTTGCATTCGTATTTTGTCTTTACACTTAATAATTTCAAAAGCATTGTAAAAATTCAGTGATCAATGTCTTTGTTTATTTACATTAATAAGCAAATGAGGTAAAGAAAAATTTTCAAAAAATAGTTTTAAAGCAGTGTGAAGTATTACCAATTTGCTAACCTGAAAGTCAGAATCACGAGTTCCCAGGGATTAAGTCCTTGAGTTTATTTTCAACTGCACCCCTCTCCCATACACATCACATCACACCCAAACCAGGATGAAGTAAAAGCCTAGTGGAAACTCATGGTTTATTTGGTGGGAATCAAGTGTCTTAGGAATGCACGATTCTTTATCCTACCGCCTAACTTTTAAGAGCATTTAGCTGGTTATATCTTATTAGAGAGAGAAAGCATAAAGACCTCTTTTTTTATATATTTTTACATCTAAAATATGTTTTCTAGCTCGAGCTTTTTCTGGCAAATTGGTGGGTGTTTTGTTGGCAAAGTTAGAGAGCAAGGATGAAAAGATCAAGATGGGTATCCTCTCCATATTTAAGCATGTCATTAATGCAGCAGGTACGTCACATACTTTTTTCCTTTGATCACACACTATTGATATAAAGTAGTTTTTTTTATGTTTACAATTCAACATTTTTTGTAGATAATCCATTTTAAAAAGATTTCTGAAAATGTATCTTTTTTTTTGTTAAATTATTTTTTTTATTTTTTCAAATTTAAACTTTATTAGCTTCAATTTCTCATCTTGATGGAATTTTTTTTTTATATATTGATTTTACTAGGTCAACTGAAGTATTATTTATCAAACATTAAATAAGCCTAATTTAAAATGTTGAATTTTAAATAAGCTTTATATTACTTGTAAATGTCACATGATATTGTATTATATTCCTTTCTTTTCTGTCCAACTTTAGTGTCTGCTATGGAAGATAAAAAGGAAGTGATTGTATCAGGCCTGCGAGGCCTGTGCAATGAAACAAACAACAAAGTAAGCTCCGCATCAGCTTTATATCTCTTGTCCTCGTTCCCCGTCAGTCCCACTGATCTCAACCACTCCCCTTATTCTAACCAGGTTAAGAAAGTTTTTGCCCAAGTCATCATCGCCATGGCTCACCATGGTTACCTGGAGCTTGAAGGTGGACACCATATGGTGGAGTTTATTGTTAGGCAGTGCTCTCTAGATGAGGATCCTAAGGTAAGGGGGAATAACCAAGATTCTAAAATAGTTTTTCTCTAGGATACTGAAGTTTTTCTTTCTTATCTGAATTAAATAAATTGAATAATCTGTAGTAGACTTAAGGGGGGGGGGGAGATTAATTTATTTAAAATATGTAAATATAAATGGTGGTGGTGGCTAAAAATTGCCTGCTTCTTGCAACGTGGTGCTAAATTAAAGCGCTTTGTAAATTGTCGTTTCTTTATTTTCATTCTCATTGTTATTTCTTTGTACATTCAGAAAGTTGTTTTATTTAAAAATACTATTTACCCTTTTTTCTCTATAGGGAAAGCGCTCTCCAGATCCAGAATATGTCAGCAATGAAGCGCTCCGTCACATGTGTGACAATATTTTACAGCTGGTCACAACTACAATAGACAAAATGGAAATTGTAAGCCACTTCTGTATTCATTTTGTTTAGCTCTATCCCTGGTTGTGTATATTTTGTTTAACAGATGATTGAGGATGACATTAACATTCAGTATCTCTCAAAACTGTATTCCCTTTACTTTAAGGAAGAAACATTCATCTCTATTTAATATATTGACAATAATAAAAGTTATGTCAGAAAGAAAACTAAATATTTACTTTTTTTTTACCTTTAAAATTACATTAATTAGATTTGGTTTAATTTGTTCTAGAAGATAGTGAAAGCTATTTCAAAACAGTTACCTTAAGCTTTTAAACTGGCTAACTATTTGTGTGGAATTTGAGACCTTTAGGAATTTTTTTTATTTTGTGTAACCCAATTTGTCTAGAGAGTTATGAAAAAGATAATCTTTTTGTGCTATATATGTTACCTTTTGCGCTATATAATGCAGGTTCATTAAGCAAACATTTGCAACTATTTTCTCCTGATTGTCACCTACCAGGTCTTGTGGCCCTACCTGCTGGAGCTTGTGGTTCCAGAACAGTACACGGCTTCAGTTGGAACTGTCTGCAGATCATTGGCCTACCTCGCCCACAAGAAAAGAGAGGAGAATGCGCAGGACTTTTGGATTGATTTTGAAACCCAGCGTAATAAAACACTTTTGTTTTTTACACATCATTTGTTTTTATGAACAATGATTTGGTATAATAAAATTTGTCCTTATTTTTAAATTTCTGCAAATATTTAAAGTAGATTAATGATGTACACATATACTATAAAAGTGTAAATATAATGAAATCTGTTGATTAAAAATTAAGTAAAACATTTCAGCAAAAATATTTTCTATGGCTAATATTTACACACATAATCTAGATCTATACACAAGCAGAAAAATTCATTTATGAAATAAGTTCCTTGTAATTTGTTTCTTTATTTCAGCAAATATTCCCAAACCTACCCAGCTTATTGCAAGATTAATGGTAAATATTTTGTTTTCTTCATGTGTTTTTGTATATAGTAGAGAATTAGGGACTAATCAATGGAAAAGTTGCAGCTAAAATTCTGTGTTTATTTCTTTCTCAAATTTTATGAATAAATCACTTCATCATAACAAAATTTCACACAAAATCCAGTCTTTATCAGCTCCCTTCACTCTGCAAGGCATTTTTTTAAAGCTAATAATGCACAAAAGTTTGGATTTTTGTGTTGATCTAATTGATGAAACAATTCTACAGGTGATGGCAGGCCACCCAAAAAGTGGGCGTGATCGAGGCATTCATGTCCTGAACCTGATGAAAAATCTGTCCCCAAATCTCCATGACAACATTGTTGGACTGTGGGACGCTGTCATTCCCAAACTCAACAGCTATTTAGACGGTATTTGTTTTTCTTCTACCTCACCTGTAAAACATTTTATCTAAATTTCATAAAAGCATTTATAGTGATATTTATTTACTAATTTAAAATTTAGTGTATTTTGTTTTTTAAACTTATCAAACTAAAATAGAAGAGAAATAGTCTAATATAAATAATGCCCTTTAAACAAATGTAATTTATTTTACAATTTTAACTTTGTAAATTTTGATTGAAGTATTTTCTCAAATTCTTTTTCAAGCTTTGGGTATATTGTTTTCTTTATTTCACTACCCCAATCACAGTTTTTCATGTTTTTTCCCAGTGTTTCCCCCACTGCTTAAGAGTTTTTGTTAATGTTTTTACATATGCACATAAATGTCACACACTAAAAAAAGAAGATACTACATATTTCTTTAATCACTAAAACCTGTAGCTTTTTAAACAATGTAATGAAAACTAAAGTTTGTATTTAATTTCTGTGTGTTATGGAGTTAAACTTATTACTGTATGCCATTTGATTTTTGTTTTGCTATAGTTGCCTGACAACTGTTTTATTTTACATTTATGAAATATTTTAAAAGCATAAATGAAGTGCTATAAAAAAATTTTAACAGTAAAAAAACAGATTTTATTTTTCCCAGAAACATTCAGCTTTTCCTTTTTTTTCATCCCTAAAGTGTAATTAGTATTTTGAAATATTAAAATATATATTATTTACTGATTAGTAACTGTAAGTCTTAACTTTGTGTTGATTTTACATTTCAAGGTCCCAAATCTAAGTATGGACATAGTGACTATGGTATATATTTTTGTTACTGATGGTTTATTTACTTTATTCATGTTTCAGTTCATAGTTCTATTTTTGGCTGGGAGATCATTATCTGCTGTAGTTTCATTATTAGCTTTGTATTGAAGGGAATTGCTTTTAAGTTGCTTTTAAGTATTTATGTAAAATGCACTCAATTATTTCTGTCATTTTAATTCAAATAGTTTACACACCTGTATAAGCCTCCCCTTTTTTTGTGTTACCTTGACACCTAAATTTAATAAAAATATTGAAATAATTTTAAACAATCAATACTTAAAAGGCATCACATTTATTTGTGACTCTAGTAGCTTTTGATGTTGGGCTTTTTTTGTTTAAGTTCTGGTTTTGTTAGAGTTATGGTTCCTGCAGCATTAATGTATGCTTCATGTAAGCTAATTGATACATGGTGAGACCAACAGATAATTTTTGGAATTTAGTGTTTTGAAAATATAATAAACCACACTAATATTCTGCAATATTAGCAGCCGAATTTTGAAAGTTTTTATAAGTTTGTTGTTAAATGTCTAATATTCAAATTTTTAAATTTGTTACAACTTATTTATAAACAGTTTATTTAAAAATGTTTTACATGTTCATCACTCACTTGTTTTAAGTATGTATTCTTTAAGTTTAAAACTTAACCTTTAATTTAACATTTTACCCAGTACCCGAACCATAATATTTATAAATTTAAGTCAAGAATTCAGCATCCTATGGTTGTAGTTTAATGTTCCCCATCCTAGTGCTTTACTCTTGTATAGCTGCTTCCTTTTGTTTTGCTTTTATACTTTTCTAAGTGACTGTTTGAACTGTTGTACAATTGCTTAGACTTTTACAATTAATTTTACTATATAAAATTTTAATCTGTTTTAAAAATAGTATTAATAATATCAGTAAATAAAGCAATAATTTATTTTTTCTTAAACGATAAAAGGACTTTTTGACCATTATAAGATGTTACTTAGTAGATTTTTTAGTAAATAATGCACCCAGTGTTTCTTCCAGAGTTTTTCTCCGGGGGTGCACTTGAAAATTTTTTTTTTGGTGGGGGGGGGGGGGGCACTGTTAAAAGTCTATATTTTCTATATAAATTATATTATTGTAAATATGATTGTTAATATGATGTTATTTAAAAACTAGGACCAGAGAGTGATGAGGAAGAAGAAAAAGATGCAGGGGAACAAGAAGCTGAAAAATGGTCTCAAAAGAACTGGGAAGATTTACTTCTCAAGGTCAGTGCACTGAAATTCTGGTGTTCTAAGTTTTGTCACAGAAATGTACACACTTTAGTAATTTGTTTTTTTGTTTACATGTTTGTGAACTATGTTCTTTTTGTGTAGTAGTTCTTTCTCTCAATTCACATCCAAATGCTAGCTATAGATAGAAAAAAAACAACTAGATACTATTTGTAGCACTCGATGAAGGCTTGTTATTTTCTAACATTTTAATATCTCATAAGAATGTATTGATGTGTGTAAACTGTTTTAGTTATCTAAATGTTTAGCATATGGTCAATATTGATAAATCCAAGCTATGTTTAGATGCTGTCTAAAAGCCTGGATGTTGTGGATAATGAAGAGTGGATTGCAGAGCTTGGAGAAGCCTTTGGCCAACAGATTCCCTTGTATACCAACTATGTGGATGAAAGGGTAAGGAGCTCATTTGCTAAAGAAACAAATAACCTTTTTGTTATATTGTAAATAGCAGTTATGTCCCCTTCAGAGACATGCCTGGAATTATTTAAATTCCAAATACGATTTTTAATGTTTAATTCCTATTTTTTTATTAATTTTAGAACTTTGCATTCAAATGCCTTGGTATTATCATGCGAAAGTCAACAAAAAAAGATTTTGTCAACAAACATCTTGACCTTATCTTTTCAACAATTAAACATCTTGACCAAGTTGAAAGGGAGGTAAGTAGTCTGTTGTAGTTAACAATAAAAATTGTTGTAGTTAAATATTGATTTTCAAAATTCAAAAGTGTTGCTCTAACTTCCTATCTTGTGTAACAAATATGTTTTAAAATTGTACGCTGGATCATTCTTTTTTGGAATTATACTTGATAATTTTGTATCTGCTTTTTAAAAAAAGTTTTGAATTTAACCTTAAAAAATTGTTTGGACTTGAATAATCAAGATCAAGCCTCATTTTTTTTTTTAAAACAAGCCTAATAAAAACTTTTGGTTTATCATTCGCATTTTCTTTTTTGAGTGAAAGTACATAAAGATAATTAATAGACAAAATTACTTTCCAATGATATTAGGTTATGCGTGTTTTTATGGTGTTATTTATTCTATTCTTGTAAAATGATGAGATGTTTAAAGTTCTTTTATAATACCCCAAAAGGAAATTTTAGCAACAACATCTTTTATGCACAACAATCTCACACCATTGTCTTCATGTTGATAAATGTTACCTTAGAGATTCGTCCAATCTGAAATATTTTATCAACTATGGTTCTACATTTCATTCCACCATTTTAAGTGACATTTTTTCCTAAACTTTTCTTGAAGAAGAGGCAACAGATAAGAGGAGACTTTGAGACCAACTACCCGTTCATGGTTTGGTTTTTTTTTCTTTCCTCCTGCATTTTCAACTAATCAAAGAGTTCCCTTACTGACATTGTCAACATAACATGTTCATTGGTGTTAACAGATTTTTTTTCTTGATTGTTAATTACAAATTGTAACAATTTAGAAAGATTAGTTGCATGAGCCTTATGTTTTGTCATAAAATTTTGCATGTTATATAAAAATTATTCTAAAATATGTCAGATTCCTTAGCAAAAGAATTTAGCTTAGAAATTTAATGAGACACACTTCACAGTTTTTGTAATTTTAAAAAAAATAAAGATTTGAAGTTAAAATACTTGAGAGAAATTCAAAAAACGTGGATTGAAGGAATTTTTTTTTAAGGATTTGAGGTAATTGGAAATTGAAATGCATCTAAAGTGAATTGCAGTTCAAGTGGTATAAGGAGTCTATAGGCTGAAACAAAATCAGATCTGTTAGAGTGCTGGAGTAACATAGCCTGGTATGAAGAATCTCATTAGTAGTGTGCTGCTGAGGGAATAAAATGTAACTTTCAAAAACACTGAAGCAGCTGGTATTTTTGGAGAGTTTGTTCTGGACAACAAACTCTCAGGCACTCCCCCCCCCCCTCCCCCAACAACCAACATTGGTGGCTGTGAAGCATGCAACTAACCACTAAACACAAAGCTCGTTAAACTAACTAGCACCAGGTTTCAGAATGTTATGCATCCCATCCTTATGCACATTTTATATAATTGATTTTACACATTAAAAAAGAGTACAATTTTTTTTTATATTAAAAAGAGTACAATTTTTTTTTATATTAAATGTCTGAAACTTAAAAGATCCGTAATTTTTCTGACTAGCTGACTTGTATGTTGGTGTTGTTATATAGCTTGATGTTGATACACACAGCTATTAAATATGACACACTTAGTGTCTGATGTACATATGAATATTTTTGTTTAGTGCATCTATAACCTTTCAGGTCTGTTTAACAGCTTGACTTTGTACATTTCTAATGCAGATTGGGTTTGTTGATGTCACAGTAAAATTGTAAAGTTTGAAACTATTTTTATAATACAATATTACTGTCTATTGTTGTTAAGATTTATTTGATCATTCAATTAGTATAATGATAAAACTCAATTATAATTTAAATTTTTCTTGCATCTTCCAGTACTTATAAAAGAAATCCTTTTATGGTTAAAATTTAGAATTATCATTCAGTAAATAAACCACTGACCATGTTTTTCTTGTGAACGCATCCCCAGGGGTGTGCTATAGCCGTGCGTTGGCTACACAGTGTCCCCCCACCTGTAAATAAACCACTGACTATGTTTTTCTTGTGAATGAATCCCCAGGGGTGTGCTATAGCCGTGGGCTACACAGTGTCCCCCCCCCCACCTGTAAATAAACCACTGACCATGTGTTTCTTGTGAACGCATCCCCAGGGGTGTGCTATAGCCGTGGGCTACACAGTGTCCCCCCCTCCTGTAAATAAACCACTGACCATGTTTTTCTTGTGAATGAATCCCCAGGGGTGTGCTATAGCCGTGGGCTACACAGTGTCCCCCCACCTGTAAATAAACCACTGACCATGTTTTTCTTGTGAATGAATCCCCAGGGGTGTGCTATAGCCGTGGGCTACACACTGTCCCCCCACCTGTAAATAAACCACTGACCATCTTTTTCTTGTGAATGAATCCCCAGGGGTGTGCTATAGCCGTGGGCTACACAGCCTCCTCCCATCTGGACACAGTCCTCACCAAGCTGGACAAAGTGGCCAAGAACGACATGACCAAAAAATCCTCTGGGATCCTCGGGATTCTGAAGGTATTTTATAGAAGTTATAAAACTAAAAATAAGAGTTCTGTTTTGAGCCTGATAGGCCATGGAAAAAGTGAGTAGAGTTCTCTTGTTTCTGTGACCTCAGCATATGTAGGGATAATGTGCCCAGCACTATGCCCAGCTGTCAGGTACCCATCAGAGCTGGATAGATTTGGGGATATTCTACAGACTTGAACCTGCTTTCAAACTCTAGATTTTCAGGTTTGCCTACGTTGTCTCTACTGTTCAACCAAGACATCAAATGTAAAATTGTAGTTAATCATTTTAAAATTGTAGTTAATCGTTTTTAGAATTTATAACATTGCAGGTAACAATTTTGAAAATTGGAGGTAATCAATTTTGGAATTTAAAAAATGGTGGGGTTTTTTATTTATTTTAAATGAAAAGTGATCATTATTGAAAATTTTAAAATTACTATTAATCCTTTTCAGAATTTAAAAAATTATAGTTGGCCATTTTTAGAATTTTAAAAACTAAATTAGCAAATATTCTTTCTAAATACTTCTACCAACAATTTCTTTTGTTTGAATAGAGCCATCACTATTGGAAATAATTATCTATATTTAGGACAAGTCAGAGGTGAATGTAGAACAGGTCAAGGCCACACTCATGTTGTGTTATGGATTTGTGGCCCTTTACTCTCCACCCTCCCTGATCATATCTAGGATGGAAGCAACAATCCTACGCTCAATATCTCCCTACTTCCCTACAGTCAAGGTACGCAGATTTTATTAAAAATTTATTCAAAATTTTACAGTGATTCATTGTGTTGCAAACATTGACAATCAATTTTATAATTACATTTTTATGTTTTACCAAGGTTTTGTTAAACAATGATTTTTTTAGATTGTGTATACATCAGTAATATTACAAACGTTGCAAACAGTGACTTCTATATTTGTAATTCTATGTTTAAATGTTTGTCAAATCTTTTTTATGAAAAATTGCCTATTTTAACACAAATTTACATTCATTTAAAGCAAATATACGATGATTTTATTTATAGTAGGAATTTATTTTTAAATTTATTTTAATATTAAAGTCATAGTCTAATTATTAGGTAAATAATTTTTTTCCCCATAAATTTACTTTTATTTTGAAGTTTTGTTCATGCTTTGTTCCAAATGATGAGTTAAATTCAAACAATCCTCCAGGACACGAGTGTAAAACAGAACCTGATCAGATGTGCTGACCTGATAGCTCAAGCTCTGAACCCAGATCACCTAGAGCAGGAATACAAGTTTTCAACCAGAGGAGAGTTCTTTGTCCACATGCAGGTCACTCTCAGATTCACATTGCTAGTCTCGTAGGCAATAACGTATATAATGTGATTTAAGGGAAAAAAGATACATTAAAAGGATTCTATATCTTACAATTTCAGAAAAGTAAAGTTGACAGATTACTGTATCTTGTATTTTAGAAAAGTAAAGTAAAGTTAGCAGATTTCTCAATCTTTTATTTAGATAGTACAGTAGTCAGGCAGGTCTATGCTTTGATTATTCTGCTTTCTCTTACTATCTTAATCTGACCCACTGCAGTTTTTTCTATAGTATACCCTTCTATTCTCACAATTATTTCATTTTCTTTTGAATGAATATTTACTAAAATATCTTTTTTAAAAAGATGATTTGATATTTGTAAAGAGAAATTATTCAGGCCAGTGTTTACATTATTGTGTGATTCCTCTTGCAGACGTACATCAAAGCTGAACCAACCACACACCTGGGGACAGACACCAGGACACTGGCCATGAACACCTGCGCCAACCTGATGTATCCTAACACAGTAGTAACACATGCTAAAGTTTTGTTTGTGTGCCGCTGGTTGCTTCCTTATGATGTTAAATTTTGTTTACTGGATGGTTGAAGCGCATTGTTCTGTTACCAAAATTTTACACTTTTTTAACCAGCATCTTTAAATACTTTAGGTACAAGTAAATAGTATACATTCATGGTATGGTATTTTTTTTGATGATGCAATAACTAGGTCAGGCATGCATTGGTTAGCTTGAACCAATAAGTTAGACCTGTGATTGGTCAAACTAGATCATGTGATCAGTGGGAGATTCGAAGACTAGACAAAACCATGACAGGTTTCTTTAAACTTTCCTGCTGGTTGCTGTGCGGTTTATATTTTTTAAGATTTCATAAAGTCCTATATTTTATAAAAAAAAACAACCTTGACCTCTGAATAGTAAACTGGAGCCAAAGTTATCAGAAGCAGAAGTGTTTGACCTGGTGCAGACGTGCACTGACAGCCTGTTCCCCATGTCTGCCACTGGCATGCCGTTCAGGAAAGGGAAGGAGGAGAGCCCAACAGAACTGCTGGAGACGGAGGCCATGATGGAGGCTGCTTTCAGTGCCATGCATGATGTCTTCAAGGAAATCATCAAGAAGGACTGCACACCCTCTGGTTTGGAGAGTATTTTCAAGGTATTTTTAAGTTTCAATTAGTTTATCAATAAAAATTGAAGCAAGAAAATCATGAGAAAAAGTCAAAACAGATAGACCTCTTTTTTTTAAAAAAAAACCAGTTTCTTCATTTGCATTTAGAAGAACATTGTTAGAAAGTTTGTATGTCATAACCAATGTTTTTATTTTTTAATTTTTTTTTAAATTGATTTTAATAATACACTTCATATAAACAATACTTATCTGGCAACTTTCAGTTTGTCATAGATTATATAGTTATAAGAATATAAGGCTATGGTACAGAAATAATTGACTTGAAACAATCTATCTGGCATCTTGCAGCATCTGGCCCAGTGGATGTTGTCGGAGCAAGAACATGAGAGAGAGCGAGCACTAAACACCTGGCTCATCGTGCAGAAGTTTTACCTGGACATTGTGGAGGTCAAGGTTAGCTGTTCTATATTATGTTCTACATTTAGTGATCTCAGATAAATATTTAAAGAACAGCTGAATTAAAAGATAATTTTTTTTTTTCATCAGCACCCCCATGTTCTAGACCAGGAAGGGAATTTCCTGGCCCGCCTCATCCCCAGGTGTACAGATCCTGTGGTCAAGATCAGGCAACTGGCCATTGACTGTGTGCATTGCACTTTGTCGATAGCTTTAAGACATGAAGGTCTGAACTTTTAAAATAAATTTAGTGTTAATAAATACATATACTGACTAATATGTGCACATAAACTAACAAATCACATTGTTATTAAATGTTGGTTGTAAAGTGATGTTATGGTGACCCCGTACAGGTAACCCCAATAACTCCAAAGACGCCATGATTGATGCCATCCCCACCCTGAAGGAGAGGTTAAAGAAAAGTGACCCCAACATCCTGTTTAGTGTTGTGAATGACCTCTCCAAGGTAAAAGGTCAATTTTAGTGTTCAACTATCTTAGATGATGAAACAAAAACTTTCTTACAGAAAAAGTTCAATTCACCACCTCCTCTGTGTCAGGTTATAGCCAAAAAGCTACCAGCTGATTGCTTGGTCCCATTCATGGAGATCCTACAGCAAGGTTTACTGGATGTCCAGTCCTCCAGTTCTTCAGGTGCTTGTGTTGTACTGAATGCCGTCATGAAAATAAGAGGGCCAGACATACGCTCAAAAGTCAGTATCACGATCACTTTATAAATCTTTGGTTGTTGTTTTTTTACAGTCTTATGAAATAAAAAGTTTTAAATGTATTTAGTGTAACAGCATGAAGAAATCTATATAATGAAATACTTTGGTTGAAACAGCTAGAATATTTTAAAACTCTATTAATATTAAAAATAAATCATATATTATCTTGGGTGTATGCCAAAAGGTCAATATTTCTTGCATGGATTATCCTTATCATATTTTCTTTGCATTAGAATAAATGTCACTATTGATTTTTTTCTCTAGGTTGAAGTTTTCCTTGAGACTCTGTACGAGAAACTCTTTCAAATCCAGCACCCCCAGACTAAAACAGGCACCCTACGTACCATCCGTACGATGGCCACCCACCACCTCCTGCCCACACTCACCTCTCTGTTGACATATCAGCTGCCTTATGATGAGTACGTTTCTCCTTCATTGTTGTTATATGGGGGAGGGGGGTAGAGTAGAAAAAAATATTAACTGATAATCTATGAAAGTGTATAGGTAATCTATTAAAGTGTGAAGTTTTTTTTTTTACAATGAAAAATTATATAGTATACCGTATTAAAAATATTAATTAAACTTTTTTTTTTAGCAATGTTGTGGAAATTTGGAAAATTCTTTCCCAAGAATCAAATCTGACTGCTTTAATTCTGGATCATTTTCTGGAACTTCTGCAAAAGTCTTTGCCTTATGAGGAAAAGGCAGATCCTAGAGATAAAGAAAAGACAATCAAAACTGCTACTGTAGTGCCTTTAGCTGTGAGTTATCCTGCGTTTTACTATTTTATCAGAATATATAAGCTGTTGTAAACAGTTTTGAATGACTCAAACACAAATATACAGCTGTGATACAGACTGAAAATATATTTACTTCAATTGACTTGGATGGATTAGTGTGATAGTGCATGTCTTAGCTGTCTACTTTTTGTTTAAGTAATCCTACTTTATGTTTTAGCTCTCACATTTATGTTTTAGCTCTCACAACTGTTTTAGCTCTCTTAATATAATACATTTATATCTGTTGTTGTCACCACAGGTAACCTATGCCTTAACAGAAATATTCAAAGTGGAGGAGACGGAGGAAAATGTGACCAAAGTTTTCCCTCGCCTGTTTGCTGCTCTCATGGTCAGAGTTGGATCCTCCGTCGCAGCCAAGCCACCAAAAGAAAAGGTGAGAAAGTCATTACATTTAGTTCTACACAATCTTGCAACGTTTTATCAGTATTTTTGTTCAAATTTTTCTTTTCAATGCATGTTCTGTCACTGCTTCCAGAGACCATTCATGTGTGCATCCAACTTCCTAAAATATTTACACAAGATAGTTGAATTTTTATTTAATTTATGCTTATTTTCATTTTTCTCACTCCTCTTCTTCTTGTATTTTAATGAAGCCCCAAGTCAAAGCTTAATTTTTTAGTGTTATTACTAATGTTTCTGTATCTTTTTTTCTCACATACTTGGACTACATGGAGCAGCATAAAAATGATTGATAGTCCTGGAGTTAGATTAAATTAGCAAGCTTAAATTTGCTTGTTCAGTTTTCACTATTGAGACAACTTTATTTTCTGTGACAATTACATGTTAGTAAATTACCTGCAGCTAAGTGTCCAATTACATTTCCTTTAGAAACAAGAACTAACAGAATCAAAGCCAGAGAAAAAAAAGAAAGGAGTTGTTGAGAAAAAGCCACAAAAAGTTGTCCCCATTCAGTAAGTTGTAAGAATGTTTAGGAAGTAAACCTTTAACTTATGTGTTAATCAAAATAATGAGAGTATGTGCAGCCAGTATCTTTCTGATTGTTCCCTTTAAATTTTTTGTCATTTGGAATACATATTCTATTGATATTTAAACATTAAATAAGTTTTTAAAATTATTTTTTAATCGATTATTATTTCATCTCCTTAATTCTACTAAATACCAAAAATAAAAATATGTAAATAATCTGAATGTATAGTTTAAAATTTTAAACATTGAAAAAAAAATGACAGTGATTTCCCCTGTTGACTTGTCCCTTGTTTGTTGTCATAGGGTAGCCACCACTGCCCTAAAGACATTCCTGGAGCACACCAAGATGACTGACATGCTGGAGCAGCTAGAGAAAGATGGGGCCTGGTCTCTCATGGAGGATGAGGTCGAGTACCCAGAAGCCATCACTCTACTGGCCAGGTAAAGCTAATAGTGCCACTCTTTTTTTTTTAAAACTAAGATTTCTAAATTTTCAGTATACCTTTTCAAGATTTTAAATTAATTAATATTTCCCACAGGGCTTTATTGAATGAAGAGAAGGAGACTCACTTAGCGGATATTGTCAATTCTCTGACATCTGTGTTGTCAAGTTTGTATGAATCACAAAGAGTAACTGTTGCTGCTTTCTTTGCTGAGGTGAGTACCTGACAACTTTTATCACTGCATGGGTCAGGACTAAGATCTTTGTAAACAGCGATGTCCAAAGCTCTTTTAACCCTCCCAGTTTCTCTTATTGTTTAACCTACTCTTGCCTAAAATGAAATAAATCTTAAATGATTAAAAGCTTTCTTAGAACAGTATGCAATTTCTAAATGCAGATCAAATTTGTTTCTACTGCTAAAAGTTTTCCTCCAATTAAGAAAGTTTTATGAAATGCAACTTTAAGCCTCAGGAGAGAAAACTCCAAAATCAAATAACTGCTGCCTTGTAGTTTTTCTTTGTTGGACAAAGCAAATCCAAAAAGGGCTGATATCGAGGTCAATGGTCTCAATGGCGCATAACCAGTTGGCAGGTATACTTAATTGTGTTGGAGGCATGGTCGAGTCGGCAAAGCTCATGGTTGTTAAATTCGAAAAAAAAAGTCATGAGTTCAAATCCTCTGGCAGATAAGGCTTGATCCCTTACAACACTAAAAATTAAGAATGAAGAAGAAGATGTAACTTTAAGTTGGTAACTATTTATTTGCTTGAAATATGTTTCATCTGTTCATCTTTGTTCTTTAAACTAAACAATCAATTTTTGACCTCTATCCCCAGTTGATAAACCAGAAATGTAAAGGTGATGAGGGGCTGATAACTCTGATCATGAACAGCTTGTTGGGACGTCTAGTGGACGAATCCCACATTGTCCGCATGTTGTGTGTCAGAGGCCTGGGAAATATTGCCAGTGTAGGGAAGGCCCAGGTCAGTTGGAATGTTAATATTTTACAGTGGGCAGTTTGGGCATATTTTAAATAAAGTAAAAGTGGAATACTGTTCACCATTTGGAAACATACTGTACAGTCCATTGGATAAAGGGGCTGTGTGACCTGGTCATGTGAAGTGATTGTATGGTTATTATTGTGTGAATTAGGCTTTACTTCCCCTGATTTGAGTCAGGTATCTGAATGAATGAAGTTGGAAATTTAACTCATCACTTCTGGTTGGGCAATCATGCTTTCTACTACCTGACATGCAAGCTCATAAATTTTTAATATTATATCTATTTGCTATCTCTGTATATAACCATTATTTGTGATAGTTTTGTTTTCTGTGCTAAGGTTATTTACACAACTATTGTTGCATTGTGTACACAGGTCCAGAAATATGCTACAACAATTCTGTCTGCCATGATGGCTGGGATGGATGACAAGGAAGACCCAGAAGATTACATCACCATTGAGGCCATGAGTGGGCTCTCACGCATCCTGGGGGAGATTCAAGAAGAACACATCCGAGCTATTCTCATTAACGTTTCTCTGAAAATTAGGCCTTGTTTTGAAAAGGTGATGGGGTTTTATTTTTATAACCTCATTCTAAATACCTATACCTCTTAAAGTCTTTATTTTAAACTCAACAATATAGTCATATTTCTCTGAAATATTCTCCTTTGTGCAAACTAATAAATTTATCATTTTTAAAAGTAATATATTTATTATTCAAATAAAAAGCCATTCTCATATTATTTTTTATCTTAGATAATTATATTTATAAACTTCAGGAGTTAATGAGGCTAGAAGAATTAGAAACACTTTTAATTTTTGAACTTTTTAAAGCAATTGAAAGATGAATATTATTGCTTTGGAACTTTTTTTAATTTCCTAATAGATTCATTAGAGTATTGTGATAAAATGTATTGGGATATTAACACTATCTGATTCCCCCCTGCCCAGGAAAAATGTGCAGTTAGAGCCCAAGCCTTCAAGCTGTTTGGTAACTTGTCCAGGTTTGGGGATGGCCCTTCAAAAGCTCCTTTCTTGGAACAAATCCACAGCAATTTTATCAGTCTATTGTTACATTTGAATGATAAAGAAGAGGAAGTTCGACAAGTAAGAAAAAAGTTTTAATTGTTTCATAGATAAATAATGATGATTTTTTTTTGACAGATTTACAACTAGAGTCATTGTACCAATTCAATAATATGTTTACATAATTTTAGTCATGTAAATACGCACTACGTCATCTGGGTCCACTTATGGGGTCAGAAGTGATGAATGACAAATTCCAGCGCCATCTGATGGAAGATGGTCACCTTCATTATGGAGAGTTCATGAACGACCTAGCTAAACTAGTCGTGAGTAGTTTTCTTTGCCTTCAGATATTTTTAAAAAATTATTGTGTTGCATTGCATCATTATTAAAAAAGACAAGTAAATTCATTTATAAAATAACCTTTCTAGATCCAGGATCTTAAAGAGAAGATCAACTTCTATGTCATGGGTTGTGTGTCATTTTTCAAGAGCACATGGCCTGAAATAAAAAGCAATGCTGCTATGTTTATTGGTGAGTACACAAGTCAGCCAAACTATTTAACCCTTTACAGTCCGGTCTGCCCACAGTCACCCGAACTATGTATAGTAAATTTATTTACATGTAATAACTGATGTCTCTTTGGTAACTAGATTTTGAAGATACCAGCGAAAGCAGGAAATAAGTTTTATATATGTTGTTTTCTTGTTGTTCTATCTCTAGTGGGTTTTTTTCTATATTTCTAAAGTCAAGAATTTTTTTTTCAAAATTACAGGAATTATTTTTTAAATTGCCATAGTTGAAAAATGCATTGTCTTTTCGCCTGACCATAGGGGAAGTAAAATAGTATTGATTTCCTGGACGGGGAATGCTTAACCAGTTCTTTGATCTACTATTGTGCTTATTTTTAAAATCCTGGGCAGTAAAGGATGAACCAGTTGTAAAGAGCTCATTTATCTAATATTAGAATAATGTAGTTGTGTCAAATTTTTAAAAAATTATAATGTTGAATTTATAAAATATGAACATGTTTAAAAATATCATTTATGATTGTTGTTTGATTTTGACCAGGATTCTTGTTAGGAAATTTACCCAAAGACATGCAGTCAAATATAACCAAGGAGCATATTTGTTCAGGTAATAACTTAACTCTTTAGCCTACTATTTACAGTAAATGTCACCCTTTATACTGGAGTGAGTTACTTTGTGCATCAAGATAAGCTTCTTTGACCTAGAGATAAAAATAGGAGATCTAGGATATCAGTTTTTTAAATTTTAATTATTTCTAATAATTATTCTTTTTTTTTTTGTTGTAGAAGAAATGTTATTAAAATCTATCAGTATTTAAGCTGTCTTCAAAAAAAATAGTGAACTAATAATGTTAATATCCTTGGTATAAATTCAAGATTTATCAGAAACACATTTTAGATAGAGCTTAAAGTAAAAGTATTGTTACTCTGCATCTATTGGTCAGTCCCTAAACAGTTTCTCATTAAATCAGTAATAATGCTTTAACACTTGACTGTCAAATTTGGTGGTACAAAATGGTTCCCTACCTTTTCAAGTCTGATGTTCCTTATGTTATAGTTATAGTAACAGGAAGATCCAGTAAAATTCATTTGTTTCAATAGCTTAGGTATATGAGGACCATGTGGTCAACACTATGCCTGATTAACTTTACTGCCCCCCCCCCCTCCAAATTAAATCAGAATTGGGGAACTAAGAAACTCAAATACTAGATCACAATTCTAGGCTTGTGGTTTGCAATAACTTAATATGAATCAATTCATAAAATATTTGTATTGTTGTAATAATTGAACACTATTTAAAATGTGTATACAGTCCAAAATACAATGAGAACCCTGTGTAACCTATGCAACAAAATATTTTGTCTTTAGCTCTGATCCTGCTGCTGAAAGATTCGTCCCCACTGGTAAGGTCCAAGGCAGCTGAGGCTATGAGTCTGCTGTACGAGTATTAAAAATGGCATTCCTCTTAACTTAGAACTTGCTGAGAATGTCCTTCTATTGTACAGGGTTATGTGTTGATGTAAAGTGTTACACTGAATAATCTGTTTAAAATTGTGATACAATAATAAGTACTACCTGTGGTGAGTAGTAGATGTTGTGATGGTTTAGTGATGATTGCTAGTATAGTGCAGATGCACCGGTATTTGGTTTGTGTTAAAGTTAGTGCGACATTTTATGTATAGTGTGGCTATAACAGTTATTGCCATGACATATCTTTTTTTGCTATACAGCTGGATGATTGTAGCTGAAAAATACTCTTAACTTAATGCAGTCCCTTGTTAATGTATGTTAGTCTATGTGTATGGTGATGAAACAAAAATGTATACTATTGTATTTACATGAATAGTAGCAAAAAAAAACAATTTGTAATTTGTAATAGAAATGCTTCTAATTATTGCTCTCTTTTAAATAAAATTGCTGTCTATTGTTACAATTTACATTTGTTGTAGGTTTATATTCCTCATTTGTATTGAATAATAATTTCATACATGCATTATTTAATCAACTCATACTCTGTTCATGTGTTATAGTCCAATTAATTAGCATTAGTCATAATCTTGTATCACATATTAGTCACAAAGAGGTGAGTAGTTATAGCATGGCTGTCAATGGCTCTCCATTGACCTGGGGAATCAGACTCCATGTGTCTTGTATTTCCACCTGATCATTGGGATAGCTAGCACTTACAAATAGTATTAAGCAACAAGATTACTCTTTTTAAAATCAAAAGTAACCGATTGACTTGGCTGAAAACATTTTACTTAATATTAATACTGCTATTTTTTTTAACACCATACAGAAATAAGTAGGCCCAAGCCTATTCTTTTTTTTTTTTTAGAAATAAAAATCACAATTAAGAATTAACATGAATGTTCTAAAACTGTGTTGGATTATTTGACAATTTTTTTAATAAATTAAAATTACATTACCTTTGTATGAAATGTATTTTTCTAGGTTGAATGTTTATCAAGCATAATATTATAATTCAATTAGCCTAAATGTTATTGTTCTAAAAAGAGATAATCTATAGAATTTATTGCGTGGTACCATGTCTTTCAAAACGTCTATTTCAGAAAAAAAACTATCCACAGACATTGTCCCATTTTGTTGATATACTTGTTTTTGTATATACACACAGTTGATGTGATTACAAACCTTGATGTCAGTGATTTTTGCCATACACTTTTACTCCTATGTTGTTTTTTGTTTTGAGATATCAAGTAGAATAAAAATAATTCTACCTTATTACAAGAAAATCCTTAACAAACTTTTGTGCTCTGTAAACTAATTAGCATGAGAGAAAATTAATTTGTACCAGGAGGGATACAGGGTTTCTTTTATTCTGTGTTGATGTGACCATGATGTGTACTGATTTTACCTGTGTTCTTTATTATTATGAAACTACCTATTTGTTATGATTATTACAATAAAATGGGATGAATTTAAAATGATTTTTCTTTTTCAATTTAATGATTTCCAGCAAAATGTTTCTGTCCGAGTATGTTTTGATTAACTAACTTGATCTCTATGTCTCACAACTATTATCTGATTCAATGCTAGGTAAGTCATACTTGATTAAAAACTAATGTTTCATGGTAAAACTTTTACAGACAACTTAAAAGGAAAGGTTGCAGAGGTTGGTTTCCTTTTCAACATGCAGTCTGTTCCTTTTTACCCCCAATACATCTTTGCCCACAAGTACTTTAGAATAAGCCATTTTGTGGGTAATTTTTGGTGTACAACTACAACTCACATAAAATCTGCAGTTAATGTTTTTACAAATATTAAACATTATAAATGAAATAAAACAATATTTTAAACCTAAATATATTTCTCAAAACAATGTGTTAACAAATACAAAAGCACAATTATTACTGCTCTGAACAAGTAATGTTCAGGTACTTGTAAGCTTTTTCTACCAGGTCACCCTTCTTGTCTTTGGCCTTGCAGATTACCCCCCTTTCTTTCAACCATGCAGTCAGGGTTACTGTGTTCACCTTGTTCAACTGTATTAGTAACAAGAATTAAAATATAATGATAAAAATGTATAGACCAACTAAAAATAGTTATCAAATCAAAATATCAAGTTACATACGTAATTAGCTTTTACTGTGAATATGAAACTTATAACCAACCTGATTAGCTCTTGCTAAAGAGTCAACATCTAAAGACTGAACCTGAGGTTTAACTCTTGGTTTCTTAGTGCTTATCTCTCCCTAGGCACAATCATGAAAATAATAAATGGTCAATAGTTGAAATAAAAGCAGGTCATGCCTTTAAAACAAAATGTGGTAGATCTACAACATACATCAAATGAAATAAAACTCATTTTATATTTACCATATACAATCTCAGGAAACTTTTGCTTTTTAAATTTAGATTATTTAAGCAACCTTAGCACCTATTAATATAACTGCCTAAAATACAACGATACAAGTCCTACTTTCAAATATTAATACAAAGAAGATAAAAGATATCTGTCCTACTTCTTGATTTTCCTTCCTCTTTTTTCCTTTGCTTTTGGAATCAGTGAGGCTGCTGTTACTAGCTTGTGATAGGCTGATTCCACCCTCCTCAGCTTTACTGTTGTAAATGTTTTTACAACTATATCCAACATTGGTTGCCCTGATGGACTGCTGTACCTTACTGATGCTAGTCAGTGTAGTAGGTTTATCATGAAGCTGTACTAATGATGGGGCTGGCTTTAGTGTGGTAGCTGTGGGCGCACAAGAACTGCTAGCATTTACTTTAACAGTATTATTTGATTTAATGGTTGTATCTTTAACGGGGACATGTGTGTGATCATGATATGGTTTAGTTTTGAAAATAGGAACGATTGGATCTTTAGCAGAACTAGGTCTATTGCAGCTCTGTGAAGAAAATGGCTTTGTTTTTGGTCTGAACAAAGGCACAAATTTTTGCTCTGTTTTAAGAGAGTCTGATGTGTTTTCATGTCGAGTGTCTGCTGACAGAGACTGTTGTGATACGGTTTTGTCGTGACATGGTGGGGACAAGTTTGTGTCTTCGTTAAAACTAGCTGTAGAGATGAACTGTGATTGGGCTGCCGACAATTTAATTTCTTTGTTCAATTCAGGTCCATTTGGTTTATTGCTGGCAATGTCTGTAAATCTTTCTTTGATTGTCTTCTTTTCTCCGTTACAGTCACTGTTAACTTTTGAGCAGGAATTTATATTTCTTACTGGACCAGAAACTGTTTTGACAGGCCTTGCAGATAAATTTATCCGGTCAGAGGGCTGAAACAACAATTAAATGCTAAAATGAAAATTCAAAATTATTTTTTGAAATAACACAGCTAAAATAAAGTGTATTTTTTTTAAAATAAAAAATATGAGTTGACAAGTTATAAAGAAAAGTAATCTGTCGATATCACCTCTCCAGCTAAATGCAATGATGGTGCAGCGTAGCGAAGTTTTGGCTGAAATCTCAACATGCTGTTACAAACTGATGACATTTTACTGTGGAGTTCTTGTAAAAATGCAGTCAAGATAGGTTTGGGATCTGTGCGTTGAATGATTTGCAATGGGCCTGGTCTCAAGCAAGCACTGGGATAACTGTACTTGACTTAAGCAGAATTGTGTACCATATTGGTCTATATAAACACATTCTAAATTTACAGAATCTCTATACAATAACTAGTTAAATTTCATCCAAAAGTAACTTTTATCAGTATTATTTCATTATCACAAATGTTTTTTAATATAATACTTATACAAGTTTTACATGGCCAAAGAATTTTAAACTTTAACTTTTATTGTGATGAATGTTTTAAGTAATTCTACTGTTCAGTTGAGGCTAAGACTACAATGTTCTACAAACACAAGGATACGTGAACCTTTTACCAAGACCAGAGGGAAGGAAACTGACTTGACAATACAAAATGTCTTCATCTGTATCTGGAAGTCTGTAGCCATACTTTTCATGGTGAGGATAAGTAACTTTTAAAACTATACCAATTTTTTTTTAATGGTGATGATAATTAACTTTTAAAACTATACTAATTTATAGTTTCTTTTAAAAGTAGTAAAATTTAAAGATGTTCACAGAATGAATAAATATGTTTTTATTATTATTATATTACTTTTTTCTAAAAATCAAATCAATACACTGATCTTAAGTAATATGTAAAATGTTTAAATACAAAAAGATTTCAATGAATAATAAAACATTACCATGTTTTTCCAATGCCTCTTCAGGTCATTGTATGAGCTAAATGGACTTCCATGTGGGATGGTAAGAGACAATGTGGTAATTCTACCTCGCTTCATACTAGAAAAAAAACAAAGTGACTTAAGTTAAATACAAGATTATAAAAATATAAATTAATGTACTTGACTTGGATCAGAAGCATATATTATTTTTTAATTTATAAAATTATTCACTTAAATTTAAAAAGAAGTTGGTGATACATTTTATGTATCCTTTAGGGAAACAATCTCTCAACCCTAGTATCACCTTGGTAAAACATGACACCAACAATCAGCAATAGATATCTCTCCAGCATCACCTTCAGTTGATTTCAGTATGTTGATCATCTCTTGCTGGCTAAGATTTAAATCTTCAACCTAAGAGTTAAATATTGGTTACTTTCGTTATTCATTTGTTTTTCTGGCAAACAAACAATATTTTTTAAACAAAATTAGTATTTGTTTTAAAATAAGAATAAGGAAGCTACTCTAGCTTTCATCTATCATCTAAACTTGACTTATGGTATACACCTGCAATGGTGAAAACTTGACAACAGTTCCAATCAGGGAGACAAAAAGTTCATCTTTGTTGACAACCAGATCCATTTCTGTTAATACATCATATAATAATAACAACAACACTGTTAACAACAAAAACACTGCTGAAGTAAAATTGTCATCTTGAAGTCTGAATAAGGAAACAAAACAAAAGCTGTCTCTTATGTAATAACTTACTTATAGCATTTATAAATCCAACATGCACTAGAAACTCTCTCCCTGAAACATTCAAATAAATAATACTGTGTGTTAGGCTAAGTAAAAAAAATATATTAATAGAAATAAGATTTCATGCAGCTTTATTTAGTTGTTTAAAAAATGTCTGTCTTTCTATAAGCCAAATCTGATTTATTATATAATTCATCATCATTATCATCTTTGTAGTTAGTGCCCTAGACACATTAAGTTGAGTTCATCTGTTTCAATATACAAAGGGATATTTTAGTCAGCACTATGCCCATTCACCTTTATTTCCCTAACATGAGCCAGGTACCCATCAAAACTGGATGAACTCAGACAGACTTAGGCCAGGGATCCAAACTTGTGACTTTCAAGTTATCAGTCATGATTGTGTTATCAGTCATGAGCATCATATAATCATCAAAATAGATATTTTTAAAAAAATACTCTCTTGTTCAAAAGTTTACCTTGCAAGAACCAATCCCCTGCTTTATTCCACACAGGAGCCAGCTTTGCAATGATTGTGTATTTCAAGCATGATTGGTACAAATATGGACTAACCCGGTATGGTTTGCTGAGCTTTAAAAACATGAATGCTTGCAGATTAATGACATAGTACATTGTTATTTAATTTTGATAACATTATTAAAATAATTGTGTGACCCACAACATCACTCATCTGATGTTAGGTTTAAAAAAAATCTCTGGTTCTAGCCTCAATTTTGGGTATACCCTCTATGGTCCAAACACCACATTCTTTTTTTTATAAATCAAAAGATATTATTTATGATTAAATAAAAGATCCAATTCATTTGACAGATTTCCATGTTAATCTATTGAAGATTATGTATGATGAGTATGTTGAAAGTTTAGACAATTACTTCCCAAATTAATAAGATTACCTGCATTCCTTGTTTTTGAAGTCTTTGTTGTAATCTCCCAGTTTTGAAAAAGCTTTGCTGCAAACAGAAAAATATTTATCTTGAGGTGTACATCACTTCAGTGACAAAATAAATATGAATTTAACATAAGTAAAAAATAATAAACTAGACTACATTTTATATTGAGTTTATTTGATTATGTGAAAATAACTAAAATATTTGTACATTAATGTACATATATAGTCACCTTCATAATGATATTAAAGCTGTTATCACAATCATAAGATGGAGTAGCTATAACATCTGGCTCTGTAAATATGATTTCCCTAAAACATTAAAATAATGTGTATTATAATATATAATTATTTTCTTTAGAAAGTATCTCTTCTTTATAATTATTAGATATAGAAATAAAAGTAAAGGATAAATTAGCATGTATTTGTCAAATAAAAAGATGCAACTAAGATAAACTGCATGTCAAAATATAAAATCTTAAAAGAACAATTTTTAATGTTTTTTTATTTAAAATGTAATTGAGATACCTGCATTTAATTATGTGTGGCTGTATAGCTAGAAGTGGACCAGTTACAACACCCTGGGGTTTGATGGTCACTGTGACACAGCAAAGTTCTTCAAGGTTGGGTGGTGATGCAAAAAAGATAATAGGCTCCATTCATATTTATTTCTAGAAAAAAATATTTTATAAAGTGAGTTTTCATAAATGATATCACATGATTATATAAAATGTTCACTCCATACCCCCCCTCCCCCCCCCCCACCCAAATTCAGTAAATGTCACAAAATTTAGCCCATTAGTGGGTTATTAGGAGAATAAAACATCCTCACCCCATTTGAAACTTAATTTTTAGATTTTCATTTAAATGGTTCATATCAGATTGTTACACTTAAAAAAAACTCATTGAAATTTGAATAGTGAAATCGTTGCATAATCTGCTGGCCACAACATGGTAAAAATGTTTTTGTTAGAGTTTAAGCCTGGCTGTTTAGAGTTTAACCAATAGCAGACATCACACTACTACAGGGGTCTCCAAACTTTTCAGTCTGAGGGCCGCATTAACTATCAAATTTCAGTTCGGGGGCCAGTTTCTTCCAGGAATGTCTTTAATTTTTCTGGGCAAAGTTCCTCGGCTATCACCAACAAACGTTTTTTCCATGGACAAAAAGATCTCTGCGGGCCAGATGAGAGGACATCGCAGGCCGCATCCCGTAGTTTGGAGACCCCTGCACTAGATCTACTTATTACGATCTAGTCTACTAGATTCTATCTATTCTAGACTAATTCTAGAGAGAGAGGGAATACATAATTATGATAATACATATAGATCTATTTATCATCAAAAAAAGTAAAAAGTAATTCGAAATTCATACTCTCCCCTCCCCTAAAGTAAAGTCCTAAAGTCTTTAGTAAAGATAGTTTCTAATCTAAAGCCGACTAAAAAGTACTCAAGTCTAAAGTAAGCCAAGACCCCCCCCCCCTTCCCCCCTTCCAATTTAGTTGAATCTAGTAAGTAATCTACTACTACTAAATTCAACTAAATTGATAAATTGTTTTTTTTTATTACGATAAAATCATCTGTGGTGCCCCAACGACCCCAATAAATAACTAGATAAAATAAGGGTTAAAGGATAATTTGTCGATTGATTACTAATCGTCTAGATCTAATAATGACTAATAATAGTAGATAGTAGTAGTCATACAATATTATTTGTGTACAGCTAGCAGACTATAAACCTTATTTTTAGATAAATTGTCAAATTAGAATAAATATTTGTGTGTGTGAAAATAGCATTTGGGTTATTTAAAAAGTGTAATCAATGCAAACACATGGTAGAATCTAGAGTTTGTTTACGTTTACAACTCGCTGCATGCAATTTCATTTCGGTTTTCGATCTCGTTGTCTTTTGTAATATTCAGCGATGGGGAAAAATAAAACAAAACGATTTGGCGCTATGAAGCCCAATCCTACTGGGATAGTAAGTGAAAAAGAACTCGACTTGGAAGCTGAATTATCTGGAGATCACGATTCTGTACCGTCATCCATTTCCAACATTGTGGAAAAAGTAGGAGCAGCGTAGATTTTTTTTTTCGGTCCTTAGGGTAGGGGTCATCCATTTATATTTAACTAATTCAAGACGTCCACACGGAGGTTCGGGTCCTATTGAACATATGAGATAATTGTCGTCATGATTTTTAAAGATATTTAAAAATTATTAATTAAAATTATTTATTTATTTACCTGAACTCTCGCCTCCATGATACGTTGATGTTGCATATCATCGCAAAAATCCAGGAATGAACAAATAATAGTTAGATCTACGTCACACCTCAGACTACCTAAAAAAAAAACAACTTTGGGAGAATTTTTACACCGGTGTCCGATGATAGAATCTTCTTTTAAAAAGGGGTGTTAGCCCAGTGTTAGGTTACTGGTAGTTTAAGTTAACTAATTACTAGTAATTAGGTCGACATAAATTTTACGAAGTGACTACTCAGAAGAAGATTTTTCTCCCCAACGTCTCCACTTAGTCGGCAAAAGATAGCTGTGGCTAGGGTTAGGGCTAGAATGAGGATTAGGGATAGGGTTAGAGTTGGTGTTAGGGTTCTGCGGTTGTAAACACACGCATGCGCAGTACCATCGAAAACATCACCGTGAACGCAAGTCGTAGGTTCTCTCCATTGCACATGCGTATCTTATTCCGGCTAGCATCAGCCTAAATTTTATTGGACACATGGCTGGCTAATGCTAGCCCTATCCCTAACACCAAACCTGGTCCTACCATACACCTAAGTGTCCTAACCCTAATTTCAAATTTCTAACCATAAAATTAGTCAAGATTACAATACTACTACTAACAACACACCTATTTTATGGGAGAGTCTAGTATCGGACACTCACACTGGTATCTATAATCATCCAAAACTTCATCTAAAATATTCACTAAGCTCAGTCAGCACTTAGAAAAAGTTGGTATGCCTAGATAGATTTTTATTGTAATTTTTGAAAGAAAAAATGTGAACATGATGATGATTCAACAGCTTTTTATTAAATTCAGTTTTAACATTATTGTAAAAGCGTGTTAGCACACTTTCTGGAACCCTCCTAGCCTCTTATTTCACAAAATTCTGAACCTGTCCTTGAAGTGAGAGGTTCTTATGACAACCCCTAATCCTAATACCCAATAAAATAGTACCTCTTTGAAAACAGAAGTATAGGTCATGAACTGATGGACATCTTGCATCTTATAAAGGCTAAAATTAATTATTAACATACATCTGATTACAGAGAATAATACTTTTTTAACACCCCACCCACACACACACACACAGTGTTTAATACTTTGTATGAGTTTTTAGTTGGTAATGTGAAAATCACTGAAAAAAATAACATATTAGGCCTATAGGGTTTGCTGTTTAATTTTAAATCAAAGTAACTTTTCTCTCTACGTTCTAGATTTAAGTTTAGTATGTAGATTTAGGCCTAACAATAAACAACCAAAAGATATTACATCTGTATTTCAGTAATAGGTATACAATACATGTTATAAAAATATTGGACAAAAATGTTGTGTATGTCCTAAATGGATGACCCCTTACTTTACTAATACTAAACTTACTTTTTAATACTTTTTAATTATTTTTAGAATATTAACTCTTCTCTGGATCTATTTCTAATAGCAATATAAAGTTACAAACTAGACAATAGGTCTATATGTTTAACATTATTTAATAATTAACGAATAAAACAATTTTGGCAGTTGCAGTCACCAGACACAGAAGAGAGGGCCTGTGGATGTCAGCTGATGGCCAGCATTGTTTCACAGCCAAAAGCTATTGGGTATTTGCTCAAAGAAAATGTTGTGAAAATTACAGCACCATTGTTTCTTGATTCTTGTCTGGAAGTACAGAAAAATGCTTTGGGTGCTTTAAGGTAAAGTGCCATTTTTCATGTACTGCTACTACAGTGTGTTAGAGCAATTTAAACTAGCTAGTGTTTACTTAAGAAATTTTTGAGCCAGGGGTCATTTTGACAGACTAATATTCTATCAAAATTACAAATTACCTCTGGTCCAAAAATGTTGGACCTGCTATTGCAATAACACCCTTTGTCAATATTGCTATTTCAGTGAATGCGGCTGCTTTCACCTCTTCTTAAAACTTGTTGCTAAATCTCCTTTATTATTTTAATGCAGAACTATAAAGAAACAGATGATCTACATTTCAATACCAGAAAATGTTGGTTTTTAATTAAGAAATTAGGTTTTTTTTGTTTTTTTTAGAAGTCTCTGCATTAAAATTAAGCTCACATCTACTACTTTTAAAGTATATCTGTTAGCTTTAAAAGAATAATATAACTGAAAGTCTACAAAGATCTTTTTTAAAATTAGTCAAGCACTTTTTGACAAAAAATCGGCACTTTAAGGTACTGGTTCAGAAATCTATTTTTAGTCAAGCTTACACCCTTAACAGTTTTTATTTCTTTGTGCTGATTATACTGTTTTCTTGAATTGGATATGCTTCAAAAATGAATAGATTGAATTTTTTAGAAATTAAATTAACCTATTAATTAAGCCCAGTTAACATTTATAATGTATAGGAAAATATGTCAGTGAAGTTGTAATAAATCTTTCTTTATTATTAGGAACATGAGTGTGTACGGCCATTCAGATGTTTGTGAAGTGATGATTGATAATGATATACTCACACCACTAACAGCTCTTATAAAAGAGGTATGAGGGTCATCAAATAATAAATCACATTTGTTGTTCTGTGTTCCGGTCAATTAGGCTATATATACTTTTTTGTGGTAATTCTAGTACGTCACTTTTTTCCTGTTACTTGTGTATTCATATTTGTGCAACACTTTTTATTTCTCTAGTTTGGCAATGGCTGGATACCGCAGAAAGACACAGCCAAAAGTGACACAAGAACTGATGTGTTGATAGAAGCTATGGAGCTGCTCTCTAATTTATGGTGTGTTTTTGTGTTGTTGTTTCTTTTACTATATCTTATTGACAAGAACATGTCAAACAAAAATTAGCACATTGTAAAAAAAACCATTTCATTTTGTTGAGCAGTGAAAGTCATGGTGCTGCTGTCAAATGGTTCAACAAGGAGAAGTTGGTTGTTGTGCTTTTACCTATGCTGAAGCCAGATGTTTTTGGATACTCTTTAAGTATTGCTGTTGGTGAGCTCTTACTTTGTTAATCTTGGTGTTGTGATTGCTAATTTTACACTGTAGAGTGAATTTTTAAACAAATAATCATGTTTATATTCATATTTTTTTAGTTATCTTGTGCTCTTCGGTGTTAAAAAGTAAAAAAAAAAATTTTTTATTTAAACTTTTAAATAGTTTTTTTTTTGTTATCTTCAGCTCGTTGTTTACATATAGTCAGTGAAAACAACCCTGAGGTGTCTGTTGTTTGCCAGCAACAGGAAGTTGTCTCTCAGCTCTTACAGTTGATTGCGGAGGTGCCTAGTGGCATTGATGCTGTTTTATTAAAAACATATGCTATAGGTAGGTTGTGGAATCATACACAGCACTTTGTATGTCTGATGCAGTCATCTCTCTTGCGTGAATGGCAGAGATTATTAATTGTTGTTTAACGTGAAGTTTTCTGTCACATATAAACTTGTAACATACTGTAAGCTTTACTTTGATACTGTAAGTTAATCATTATGATTATTTGGTTATTATTATTTTATAATTGGGTTTCCATTTTGTCATTTTAAAAGGAATTGTTATGAACTTGTCTGAAGTGGATTTAACTGCTTACTACAAAGGGATAGTCACTACTATAGTTGGAGTTCTGGATTTAGACAGTTATTCTGTCCTAGACACAGCCATCAAGGGGAGTGAAGATGCAGCTGAAGTATGTTTGATTTTTTTTTTTTTTAGATCTTAGTGTAATCATGTTAAAATACATTTTCAACTTCTTTGTGTGATGTATGTTTGAGTGTGGGTAAGTTATATATCCTTTCATACATGATGGTTCTCAAGGGCAGATAAAGTAGAGTTCATGTTTTCTTGACTTGTTGGGATTGTATGGTCAGCACTATGTATCTGTGGGTTAAGGCTTTTGAGTTAGCAATCATATCTTGTACCACGCACTATGTCATAAATGTACTTATAACATGAATCTTACTTTATTGTGTGAAATTAATGAATGACTTTGTTTAGAATGCCTCGCATGAGAGTGACGTGACGTGGCCTGAGGTAGACAAACTGTTAAGTGCCCAGGCTGTGAGCCTTGAGTTGCTGGCCAATCTCTGCTGCTCAGGTGGTAGGTTTGGAGAGTAAACTAAAACAGTTATTACAATATTTCATATTACTTGTAATCTTTATATCAATTTTTTTTTGATGGAGCAGATATTTTTGTTTTTATCTTGATGTCATTAACTATTTTTTTTTTATCAGATGAATGGGAGGATCAAGAATGTTCAGGGTCAGGAGAGTCTTCTGACGACCAGGCAATGGAGGCAGAAAGTATGGATGATGTCGATGATGATAGTACTGCAGTGAGTGTTAGATTTGAAATATTTATTTTTTAATGAGGGGCTTTTATGTTTGTTATTTTATTCATGATTAAACTATACTATTAAAATAATTTCAGTGTGTATTTGAACCTTTTCTAGAATGCACTTTGTCTTCCAAGCGAGATAACTTCTGTTTTTGCTGAGAATGATATTTTAACAAAGGTAAGTCTGTTATTAAGAAGTTTTGTAATATTGTGAGCCTTTTTCATGTACATGAAAATTTTGGTCATAACAGTTATTCTTTTTGTTAGTTCATAATCAAAGTGTTGCATTTTTTATAAATAGGTTTTACAGAAAGCAGCAGCCTTGTCTGTTGAACTGATTGCCAAACTAGGAACTTCTTCTTGTGGTAGAAACACTTTAAAAAAGTAAGACGTGATACATATTTAAGTATTTTATTAGATGATTTTGGTTTTGAAACATCATTTAGTAAATCAATTGTATTCTTTTTTTATTTTTAGATTAAAAGTCCTGTAAACTAGAGTTTTGTTTAAATTGCATTCACTGTTTTTTATTTTTAGATTAAAAGACCTGCAAACTAGAGCGTTGTTGTGTTTTAGCAACATTGTGGGAGCTTTGGATGAGTCTTTAATTTCTGAGTCAACCCTAACAACAATTTGGGCTAGTCTGTACAGTTTAGTCAGTACAAATGAAGGTACGGATTGTTTTTATGATTTATGTTACTGACATTATTACCATATAAACTACTACAATGTGAAATTTGTTTTAAGTTATAATGCTTGTTTTTAGCAACCATTTTGTTTTCTAGTGTTTAGTAAGGCGAGCAAAAAATAATTACTTGCCCCAACAACAGTGCACATTGTTTTATAAATTTGAAAAAATGTGAATTCTATATAACTGTTATAGGTTCTTCAGATGGAGATTTCTCATGGGCAGTGACCAATGCCATGAGAGCAGTAATACAGCGTTTATCAGACATTCATTCTGCTAGTGTGAGTTCCCTCATTTTTGCTATTTTTTCAATGTTTGAAATTCTAGTTATGTAGTTTTAATACTGATTATGAATTTGAGAAATAAAGTATTATACAGTGGATTTTGTAACGTATTTTTGGAATAGCTTTAGTGCTTTAAATAACTTAATGAAAATAGCAGTTAAAGTTTCATTGTTTTCTGTGTTCATTCTTTTTTTCTCATTATTCATGTTTCTCTGGGTTTTTCCTTTCAGTTTTGCGATATGAAAGAGTCTGATCTAGACTTTATTGTGGGTCTGGCTAAAGATGGAGACAACAGGGAGACCCAGATCAATGTGGTTAAAATTATTTCAACTATTGGGTGTATTTTATCAGCTGAACCCAGCCCCATACTGAAGGTATTGATCAAGTGCTGTTTGCCTAATAATTCTGCACTCAAGACTTAACACTAATCAAAAATGGAACAAATCAGTTGTAGTTACTCTTTTTACCAATTTTATTCATATGAATAAAATTAAAAACTTAAATTTAACACACAAAAAATTAAACAATACCATGTATAAAATGAATTATTTCTCTTGACAGAAAATAGGGACTGTACTTCTGGAGGTGGCATCAAACAATGCAGACATAGTTGTTGTATCTGAGGCACTGGACTCACTCTTTGATGTGTTCAAAGAGGATAACACAAATCAGATTGCTAAGGACATAGGACTTGTAGATAAACTAAGATCTATGCAGCCTTCCTTCAGAACTAAAGTAAATTACTTTTATGATAAACCTCATGTGTAATTATTTGCTTAAGAAATCAGCATATTTGTAGGGCACATTAAAGTGGTTTTTTTTAAATTAGTAATGTATTATAAATGCATATTTTGAAAATTGCTTAGTTAACAGTATCACATGATTTAGCAACATAAAATTTAAAAAAAAATGAAATGAAAATATTTCCCTGACTCTTTCATTTTATATTAAAATGCACATAAAAACAATTGCACTGTAGATAAAGTGTAACATCATTGCTAATGGTTGGTATGTAATTAATCAAAATATTTGACCTGTTGAAAAATTATTCTTTACATTTTTACAGGTGTCAAGCCAACGAAAAAAGTTTGGAGAAAATTATGCAGTTGTCATGACAGCCAAGGCGAATCTTTCAGGATTTATAAAATACAAACTCTCGCATTCATAACAATTTTTACTATTTGTTTTAACTATTTATAAACAGCTCTGTGAATTATATTGTGGTCAAGTTAAAACATTGTTTTAAAGAAAAAACACCATTAGGTGTTACAAGTGATATATATACAAATATTTTTGTGAATAAAAATCATCCACAGAATTGGTCCATATTAGTTAACTGTCTTTTGCAAAAAGTATATAGAACTGTCATACAAAAGTATAAAACACAATTTCCTGAGGTATTAAAATGTAAATTTATGTAAATAAATAATGGCATATTCAATTGACTTTCCTTTTTACTTGCTATAAAAAATACATAATCTATAACAGGAACAATTTTTGAGTTTTTATACCAAGAAATTGAAAGACCATTGGCTTTAGGCAACTTGGCTTGTTTAAAAAGTTAGTAATATCATTAACAGTGAGGTATTTACTTTCAAATTAAAGCTGTGCATACAACAATAAATTTAGGATCCCTGAGTTTTTACCAAAAATAATTTGATAATTTTTTTTACATGTAAATAAAAATGGGACAGAAGAAACTTTACAAACATGTTTTATATAATTTTAACATGATACATACACAATTTAGGTTGTGTGATTCAAATTTTTAAAATACCACTTAGACCAAATGTTAAAAAAAAAATTATTTATAAAGACGCTTTATATTTACACATTCTGTTAGATTTTTTAAAATACTTATTTTGAACAGTACAACACAAATCAAGTAAAATGTTCACATGCTTTGTGCACTATCACTTGTGACATCCATAGTTTCCAAACATCCCTGACTCTAACAACAAATCTTATCTAAACTTTAGGTTTCCTGTCCCCAACAGAACAAGACATATCTAAACTTTGGGTTTCCTGGCTCCAACAAAACATCTCAACTTTGGGTTTCCTGGCTCCAACAGAACAAGACATCTAAACTTTGGGTTTCCTGGCTCCAACAAAACATCTAAACTTTGGGTTTCCTGGCTCCAACAGAACAAAACATCTAAACTTAGGGTTTCCTGGCTCCAACAAAACATCTAAACTTTGGGTTTCCTGGCTCCAACAAAACATCTAAACTTTGGGTTTCCTGGCTCCAACAGAACAAAACATCTAAACTTAGGGTTTCCTGGCTCCAACAAAACATCTAAACTTTGGGTTTCCTGTCTCCAAAAGCACATGACAAATCTAAACTTTGATGGTGTTTCCCTCATCTAGAAACTCCTCTGCCAAAACATTAAATTGTTTGGGGTGTTGTAAGTGCAAGTTGTGTTTCCCATCAGGCCATTCTATCAACCTGGAAATACAAAAAAGGGAAATATTAATTAGTACTTGTAGCTAAATGTTACATTGGATTGATAAGATGTAGAATACAAATAATATTTTTAGAAAATCTTATATAAATGAAAACTTGGAAATAATTAAAGTTACATAAATGTATCCTATAAAAAAATGTTTGTAAAATTCCTCATCAAACAGTAATTAAGACTACATTTAACAAATAAATTGATAAATATAAGACTCTTAAAATATCATTACTTCTGTCAAAGAAGTGCATTTTGCTATTTCTGAGACATCAATTATACTATGCTAGAGGCTGGCTGATTATTTCTACACTTAGAACATCTTTTGTCAAAATGTTAATTGTATAGAAAGTGTCTTACTTGCAATTAGGAATGTGTTTCACCAGAAATGCAGCATGTTCCTGTGATATTATGGAATCTTTTTGCCCATTCACAATCAGGGTTGGGCATTTAATGTTGGGTAAGCTGCCAATACAAATGTCACCTAGAGGATATGGTTTTTAATATTTATAGCTTTTTGTCTACATTACATTTTATTAATGACTTATTTAAAATTGCATATAGATAAAAAAAAAAATGGGAATACTGTTAAAAAATATTTTAACTTAATTTGCTTAATTTTTAAGTAAGAACTAACCATTTCTTTGTGTGAAGTAATTGTGAGTTGCATGAACCCAGGCTTTAGATTGTTTTGTTAAGTATTCTTCTCCATACACCTCCGTGTAGGCATCTCTCATTTTAGGACTCCAGTCTTTTACTTCTTTGACAGCTGAAAAAAAAGATAAGTTTTTTTTTCTAGAGTGTGCAGATTTAAAGGATTAATACAATCTAGGGTTATTGTAGGAGATAAAGTGATGAGACAGTTATAGTCATCAATGAGAGAGCCGTTTTACACAATGAAAAGAATTGAATGAGAAGTATGTGACGTGGATTGTCTATAACAAAAATGTGTAGGCACGGAATGTGTGTGAGAGTAGCCTAAGCCTTGAAAGTGGTGTGCTAGCAAGACAAAGTGTGTGAACAAAGTGATGTGTGAAGCAATGTGGTGTGGCGTCAACATCGTGTACCTACTCGTCAGTTTTTCTTCCTGTCATGTGTTCTTGTGATTGATGATAATTATACACCCATGATACTGATTCTCGTTGTGGATTGTATTTATGTATAATTGCTACACCTGGCCCAAACGAGCCAAAAATACATAAGAAGCCAAGTGTAACAAATATCTAATAAGGAGTTACATGTGATGCCATCAATAGATGTTTGAATGATTTTGTTTAGAGCCTCTGAATTAACTTACATAAAATATGGTTCAAAATGTTTTAATTTACCACTTAACTTTCTATACAGTGGATACTTACAGTTACAAAACTCCAGATCTTGTTCATTGACGTAAGCGTTGGCACCCCATACGAGCAGTTTCTGAACGCTTCCAGTGTAGTTGGCTGCGAGTATTAAACCCACAGTGCCACCATCACTCCAGCCGAGCACGGAGTAGCGGGGAATCCCAAGACTCTAAAAATATTTTAGTGACAATACATAACAGGTGCAGTAGAGATGAGATGGAAAGAGAAAAAAGACTAGAGTAAATAGAGTTAAACATTTTCATACCTGATGGAATGTTAAATTGGTTAAAGTTTTAAATCCCTAAGAAAAAAAATAATGTCAATATGTAAGTGACCTACTTTCATAAACTGGGCTGCGTCCTCAGCATCTCGCTGCATGTACATTAAAGGCCAGTCACGGTCTGGTGGCCGACTCTTACCAAATCCTCTGGGGTCAAAGGCTATCAAAGTATATTTCTCACTGCTAAGCCCAGTCAGTTGCGGAAGAAAAATTCGCGAAAAACCTATACAAAATTAAGTTTTCATGTAAAGGATAAAACTATACCAATGAAAAAATGTGATGAGAGGAACAGGTTAACTATCATGACGGTATATCGTGTACACTGTAACAAAGTTCATTGTTGATATGGTTGTAATCTTGAACTTGGGACAGGGGACTAAAACTGCAACTATCACAGCTACAATCCACTAAACAATCTACAACACAATAAGAAGAGACAAGACACAAGAAGAGACAAGACACAAAAAGAGGGCAAGTCTTTCTAATGAATGTGCGAGGCACAAAATTCAATTCACAATGGCATATCATTGTAAAGAGGTAAGCCATCAAGGGACCGCCAAAACAAGAAAAACCAAACACAAATGTAGGAAAGAGATCACAAATATTTTCAAAAACCTGCAATCAGTCATGGGGTTTAAGAATTTTAAGTGGCAAATTTAATCCTCTCTGGTGCTCAAACTATTAGGGATTAGCAACATAAAAGACTGTACATAACCAGAGAGAAAATGCGAAAACAAAGAGAGAATTAGGTAGTTAAGCATAAAAAAATTTGACATAAAAAGGTTGGAGAGATGACCAAGGTTAAGATAAGTGGGTTTGACTATATTATTATCTAAGTGAAAAGTTCTAAAAAGCTAATTTAAAACTTAAGTTAAAACTTAAAGAGATCTCAAAAAGGATGTTAATGAAATATGTGGTATAAAAAATGTTCACTATGTCAAACAACTTACCTAGAGCCCCAGGAATCAATAGAACATGATGTTCTCCTTTGCCTATCACTTCATAGTGGAAGTCTATACCATCAACATTTTTCTTGTGGGAAGTTAATACACTATTAAAATTAAAATACTTATTTATAAATTTTAAAATAGCCACGTGAGTTATAACAATAAAAAATATATCAATTAGTACCTAGATCTAAGCATTACATACAATTTATAGGATAACTTTTAATAAGTTAAAGATCAAATAACATTTGTCTAATTGTAAGTATTTCTTGTAATGCTAGATAGTATTTATAATAATATTAATTTTAATTTATTAACAAGTGTAAAGCAAATTAAGCTAGGTTTAACACGTCTAATCTCTTCTGAAGGAATTACGGCCTGTCCAATCAACATGGGGGATAACCCTCTTACTGCTAAAATGCCCTCAGCTGTTTAGCAGAGTACTGGGTGCTACCAGTGTCTGGCTAAAATAAAAGACTAATAAAAATAACTAAATAAGTAATAGGTTGTTAGTAGTATTGTGATATGTTAAGTGCTGTGATCAGAAATTAGAACTAGGGTAAGACTTGGGTTATGGTTCACAATGACATTGGTCTTTAGTTTGAGCCCAGGGGCAGATGTGGCTCGATAGCAACCAATCTTTTGGCATCTAGAATCTACTATCTAGTTAAGTAGTGTCTGTCTAGTATTTAGGAGAGAAAACTCCAAAATCCAACAACTGTGACTTGTAGTAGCAAATCCCCAAAGAAAAGCAGGCTGAAATTTGAGTAAATGGCATATCCAGTTGACACTTTAATAAATTAATATTAACGAGTCGACCCGCTGCGTATCATATGCCGCTATTTAGTTGTTTTTTTTTTCTACTTTTCAGTAATGTATAATTTGTGAATTCGACAGTACCAATGCTGCCACTGAAAATATTTCCTTAAAAACACTAAACCCCCCCCCCTCCCCCACGTGAAAGCAGCCTCCTCTTAGTTACCTCCTCTAAGTTTAAAATCGTTTCAAACTAAATTATCTGCCCCTAATAGCCGTCACTAAACCCGTCTCTATGATTGTAAAATGTAAATAGCGTGACCACAGCTCACCAGAGAATGTGGGGGTGGGGTGGGGTGGTAGTGATAGTGATAGAGAGAAAGAGAGGGGACTGCAAGGAGGCGCTTGCAGCTTGTTTTCTAACAGCTCCCAGAAGAGAATTATATATATAGATTGTGTTGGAAGAAATCCCAGGGGAATTTTATACATGACTAGCTAATGTCATTGTCAATGCAAACCCTGTCCTTAAGGCTTAACCCCAACCCTAGTCCTACCATACTGTCCATACGCCTAACCCTAAAATTAGTCGAGATTACATTACTACTAACAACCCAACATCGGGGCAACATCGGTACCTAAAATCATCCGAAATCCCTTCCCTAATGTCACGTAATGTGAGTAACCAACCAATTGTTTTGTTGTTAATAATCAATGTTTACAAAAAAAAATTACAAACCTTACGTCTCTCTGAGGTAATGATGTCGATGAAATCTGACATGACTGAAATAAGATTAGATTTTCGTGAAAAGGACGCTTAAATAATGACCAGGAATCAACGTTTAACCTCTTAACAGAAGGTTTATTCCCAAGACGTTTAATTATACAAAACAATCTTTTGGCCATTTCTCATTTTTCGATTACAAAGCTTGTAAAAGTAAAGTTGTTATTCTTCTCAACGGTGTAGTAAACATAACTGTTCAATTAATTTTTTCCAAATAGTCTAAGTAATTAGTTTAAAATTAATCGCTTTAGAAAGGATGCATTTAGAATATAATCTGTACTCTGCTTGTAAAGTTAATTTATACTAAGTTTTTGTTATTTTAATAATAATCAATAATCAGCAGTGGGCCAATTTTATATGGGTAGTATTTTAGAAACAACCGTTACTACTTTTAATAAAATTGGAAATTTCCAATCAAAGGGAAATCATTCTTATTTTAAAAATTAAGAAAACCAGTGATTTTTTCTTAGCCTAGAAGAACAAACTGAAAACAATTAGGATTCGGCTTACACAAAAATTATATTTATAATTAGCTAAAACTAGATTTAGATCTAGATCTATGTGAGAATCCATCTTTCTACTTGATCTAGTCTAGTCTAGATCTATCTATCCAAATCCTGTGACCAGGTTTTTAAAAACCTTTTATTTCAGACCATTTCAGTAAAATGTTCGTTTAAAATTCATTAAGTCAACTTCTCCCAGAACTTAAGAACTTGGTCCAAGTTCTTTAGTTCTTGGTTCTCAAACAGCTGAGTAGGGCTTACAGTTACTTAATTTACTTAAGAACTGATTTATACTATATGTTTTAAAAAAGAATTTCATTATTAATTTTATAGATCTTATGCCCGTATGGTGTACTTATTACTTATTGTTTAATTAATTTACATGACAGATGATCTAGATTCTAGTTCTAGATCTAGTAATACTAGTATATTACTATTATATTTAATTATATTAGTTTAGTTACATATATACTATATACATAAGTTAATACTTAGACATACTTAATTTTATGATATAGACGACTATTATTAGAATTATAGACTATAAACTATAGACCTATGTCTATGAATTTAGAGTAATAGTGAATGGCTCATTTGAAAACATTTGTATGCATGTATGAAATATATGTATGTCTATAGACTATAGGCCTATATATATTAATTTTATTATAATACATTACTGACTACCATTAATTCAATGGATAGGCCTACCTATAATAAAAAAAGTCGTCATTGTCTATTGTATATAGGCCTATTATTTGCTAATTTAGTAAAGCATTATCATTTATAATGATTATCCATTTTTAAATGAATCTCCCAGTTTTACCATTATACTTCATATGTATTAATAAAGATTAATTGCTATAGCAATAAATTAATTAGAAAAAAAGTCAAAAGTTTACACTAAATAATGATAAAGTTGATTACAAAAAAGTTTATTTTTCTGAAACAATATACTTGTAGCGAAAATCTCAGTGCAAAAGCCCGGTGAAACACATTTAGTGGTTCCTAATTTAAAAAGAATTTCAGCTGATGCCTATGTGAAAATGCATCAGTATTTATAACAAACTAACCATTCCATGCTCGCCCTAACCAGCTTGGTAACTGAAAATGAAATCCATGTTTTTGATCACCTAATCTAAGGGATAGTCCTAACCTTATTCATTATCCAGCCTAAACTTAACTTCAATGTAACTCTTTCTACTGCTTATCAGGATTCCTGAGATATAATCAGAATAAGCTGTATTGGAGTGAATGTTGCTAAGATTAAAAAAAAGTTTGAAGAAAAATCATCAGCTGTAAAAAGTTACAGTATCATTTGTACTTGCTAGCTGTATTCATTATATTTTATTTCACATACCCTTAATACACTAAGTAACCTGACTTTTTGTATCCATAATTACATCCAATAGACCTATATTGATAATTTAGCAAATGTACTTTTTGCATTTCAGGTCAGCATGGAAATAAATCTGCAACACTTAAAAAACATTTCAAAATATGTTGCCAGTCTCTGCTTTAGCTACAGAATTCCTTTAAGGAAAGCACATTTTTTAATTAAAAAGGATGAAATTAATCAAATGTGTGCTGCAAACACCTTCCCTTCAGACCTCAAGTCTTAGAAAATAATAAACATTATTCATCAAAAGACAAAGTATATACAGAAAGTGTTGTGAATTCAATCAAACAAACAGACTTTACCAACAAAGTGCCTACAATTAGTGAGCCACATAGTGATTCACTTTCCCAGCAAAGTGTATCTTTGAAGGATTCACCTTTTCTTTTGAATGATGACCCAGAAATATTGTGCACACAAAGTATTGAGAAACAAATAAGAGATTTAATGGTAATGTGGCAAGTAAGAACTGCAGTTGATTTGTTAAAAGCTGCATTGAAGGATGGAGAAAAACCTGACAGACAGATTATTGCAGGCATGCTACAGCAAATAGCTGTTCTAGGTGAGGTTAGTATAGTATTACATTGAATTTATTTATGTGTAGCCACATTCAAAAATCTTATATAGCCATAAGCCTCTCTCATTTTATTTAGTTGCAACGTCTGTTTGTTTGTTTGTTTGTGGGTTTCTAGCAAAATTTGTAACTCAATATTGACCCACTACTAATGCAGTGATTTCCTTCAAACTTTCCAAATACTTTTTTCTTTGTTGATAATACAAGAATATCTACTTTTCAAATTGATTAGATGTGTAATTAGTCATTAAAAATGGTGAGATAACTAGCTAGATGCTATCACCTGATCAGCTTGCTGAGCTGTGGTTCACACGAAATGTTTACAATTCTATAGACTAGTCAAGGTTGTAAATGCTATTAGGGGCAGATAATAGTCACTTTTTCCAAGCTTTTACATAGTTCACAACATCCATATATTGGTTTGTGGCAATTGTTGTAACTCAATTTTGATCAATATCTAATGCAGCGACTTCATTCAAACTTTACAGATACATTCACTTTCAAGGGCTATTCATGAATATCTATTTTTTATTTAATTAGATGATTAATTAATCATTACAAAATTAATAAAATGATTCAGGAAACTAAGGATAATAGAGAACAAATTTAAGAACTAGTGATCATCTATGAACAATCATGAACTGTTGCTTTCACGCCTGAAAGTACCCCAGGCTTTGAGGCACAAGAGATCACAAGCCACTGAACGTGTTTTAAAGCAAATATTTTTAGTTTTAGCCTATGTAATGTTGATTTCATAAATTATGAATCTCTTTAAAAGTAGAAAATAAAACAAATATAAAAAACCCTTATAACAAAATGCTATTAAATACACTGAAAATAAAAAGATATGACCAATTTGCTTTCTTTAATAAATACTAAGTTGCAAAAATATGTAAAAAATCTCACAAGCCAGGAAAGCTTTTTTTAAAGAAAACAAAGTATTTTCGTTTATTATTTTCAGTGCATTTAAAAGTTAGTTGCTAAAAGGTTTTTATATTTGCTTTATTTATAACATCAGCATTATAAAATTATACTTTGTTTTAAGTTTTCATCAAATTATAATTTTTAAAAGTTTTTTTTTATTAAAATTACATACTTTTTGTAATGTATAATTTTCTATTCTGTGTCAGGTTGATACTTTAAAGGAGCTTCATGAAGTGCTGAAAGTGGAAGAATTAGTTACTCAAGTTTGGTTCTACAAGTGTTTAAGTGATGCATACTGCAATAGTGGTAGGTTGGAAGAGGGCATCACCATGCTGAGACAAGAGTATGCATCTAACTACAACCTTGAGGACGTTGACATGTTTTTCATTATGCTCACTGTAAAGGTTGGTCATAAGTTCAGGAAGGAAATCAGTATCTGCTTATCTAATATGTTTGCAGATTTTTACATTTTAATTTCTATTTTAATAGAAATAAAACTTACCCAAAAATTTTATTTTCTGGCTGTTTTCATGTAGTATTTAAATATATTTTAAAGCTGGAAATAAATCAAGTGTGTGCATATTTTTGTATTGGTGATTTTTAATTCATCAATGCTCCCATTCCACAGGCCATCACTCACTTTCCTCATAGACTGGCACTGATAGAAGACATCATTAATACTCAAGAGACAGAAAGAAAATTAGAATTATGCGCTACCTACTGGCTGTCTTTTGTTTTAGCTGAAAAGTTCGATACAGCAGATACAATGTTAAAAGATTATTTGTTTCTGAAAAAAATGATTTCACTGCAGGTAGGTCCAATAAAAAATCGATTAATGTTTTAGTTGAAGTCTTAAACCACTGAGTTATTCTGAAATGTTTTAATCTTCAGCTTTCCAAGCTCAAAAGATCATCATTTGAAGTGGATTACAACAAAGACAGAGTCTTGGTCTGGCTGTTCCAACAACCCTACATTACTAAGGGTCTAAGAGCCAGCTTATTTGATTTTTTTATTGTTCATAAATGTAAGTAAAGTAAAAATTAAAATCAGGCTAGTTGTCTCTGACTAAAGAATACTTTACTATAAAATATTTTTTTTTAAAAGTAACTTGGAAAAATTTCAACTTTGCTAGTTTATAGAGACCAAATATTTCAGATAGCTATTATTTATGTCAATAATTTATTTAAAATTCCACTACAAATGTGTTCACTTGTTATTTAATAATTAGAAATAATTACAATTCCCAAATTGATAACCTAGTTGTTTTCCCCATCCCAATTCCTATTATTTTAAAAAATCTTTAAGTGCTGAGCAACATACCATATTGTACTGATAAATTCAGTATTAATTTAGCATTGACAAATCTTTACCTTGATTACTGTATTTCCACTAACTTTAAAGAATTTAGAGTTAATTAAAGTAGTTTGTTTTTGTTTCAAACTTAAATATATGTGCACATTAAAGTAGCTTGATAGTCATTATTGATATTTTTTTTAAAGTCTCTTTTAGATCTTTCTTTTAAATTTAAATAGTATATTTCAATGTTTTTATTTCCATTAACAACAAATTGCCCAACCTCATTTAAGGACAGTTTAAACCCCCTAATTGAATTTTAGTAATTAGACTTACTTTACCAAGTTTAAATAATGTAAGGTGATGATGAAATCATAAGAAAAGCTAATTTTTGCTCTCAAGTATTGTATATATTCATTTAAAATAAATTAAGTCTTAAAATTTGATGAAAAACAGACTTCATCTTGTACAGAGTATAACAAAAACTAACGAAGATATTCAAATAAAACTTAGCACCATTTATTCCCTTAAAAATATAATGAACTAAAAAAATTAAGTTGGCATATCAAATTTTGTTTTTTTTTTACATTTTTAGTCATCGGGCTGAAAAATAACAAGTGTGAGGTCCAGGAAAAAAATTGTTTTAAAAAAATCTATAAAATATACAGCTATTGTTTTAGTTCAATTTGTTCTTCTAGCATTCAGTTAAGTGTGCGCAGAATTTAGTACAAGTATATTGAAAATTGTCGGAGATATGATGTACACAAAAATTATTTTTCAAAATTAATGAAAATTTTTTTTTATGGAATTTACAATATTTATAAGCAAAAGGTGTGTTTTCTTGTGAGATTTACAACACCCTACTTGATTTAAAATAAGTAAAGTAAGGCTAATTTCAAAAAGTCAAATTAAAGGGTTTAAGCTGTTGTGTAATGTTGTTGAATTGGTTGTTTTTGGATGACAATGATACAGTACACTAGCACACAGCAAGAAATATGAACATTTTGTTTGACCTGCTGTTACTCGGATGATATAGCCTGTCCATTATCAGTGTGTATGATCACAAATACAAATGGTAGCTGCAGTGAAAATCAGTAATAGGTCAAGGGACATTACTCAAGCAATACTTAATAAACAGTTACCTCCCTTGTAAAAAAAATTCAATGAGAATTTCTTTTGTGAATGAATTGTGTACAGACTTGGATTTTGTTTCATATTTCCCGACTAGCTAACTAACATGCAATAACAATGTTTTATTTAAAACCATTTACTTGAATTATTTTTTTATTTGATAGGTAGAGAAAATGAGTGGGATGAAGCTTTAGAGCACATCTTAAGTGCCATGGAGCAGGGAAAGAAAGTTCACAAACAGACATTACAGATGTTTCTCTCTAAATTTCTCAGTCACATGTCTAAGCTGAAAATAGAACAGCTAACAGACTGGGTAGATAACCAAAAGAAAATGTGTTAAATATTTATAAATATTTCTGCTGCACTGACTACCATTGTTTTTAAATCCATTTACAACTATATTAGTTGTATTTTGTAATGTGATATATATCTATATATATATATATGACAAAGACATGAATTTTACTGTGTTAACCATTAGCAAATAAAAGATTTTAGACACCAGCTTTTAAGCTTTATTTATCCCTGACCCATATTCACTTGATGTAAAAATGTGTGAAGTAGTTGTTTTGAGTGAAGTCAATACCACTCATCTTTGAGAGTCTCTCCCTGAAATATGTTTGTGGTCACAGTGAAAATGACTCTGAGAACTGTAGATATTTAAGAAATTAAAACAAGGAAGAAAAGTGATTGTAAGTAACAATGGTGCAACAGAGGTGGAAGCAGGTTTCAAAGATAGTGTCTTCTTTTTATGAAACCTCTGCACAAAAGGAGTGAGAGATCCACAACAGCCCATTGTAGGTTGTGGTTGTCGTTTCAATGGGAAGCAGCTTTAGAGTCATAAAAGCGTATGCACTGGAGACAATGGGAGGGAGTTCTGTTCAATGACGCTTTTTGATGAACTTTTGAATGTAATAACTATAACCCATCATATTTTTTTTAGACACCCACAAAAACTTGAACCTGACAATCCACAAAATTTGTATCAATGTAGATGTCATAAAATTTTATCTGAAGAAGGTTCCTAAAGGAAAATTGCAACTTACATTGATAACACTTTATAAAAATGTCTATTTATTTCTTATACTGTTTTTTTCCAATTGTAAAATTCTTTATTCACAAACCTTATCTATAGATAACAAGGTTTAAAAGTTGTGGATATTGTTTCGTTTATGTTCTCTAATTAAAAGAATGACAATTGAATTCGCATAATCTATGGCAAAAATGTACAGTACCATGAACATTCTCAAATGGCAATCGAGCAAAAAATTATCAATATAATTATTATTCTTACATTGTTTACCATTCCAGTCATTAACTGTTAATTAACTCCCCATTGGAAGGCCTTCCAGCCAATGATGTGTCTCACATCGGGGGGGAAGGGGAGGGGGCATGAGGACAAGGAATCCCACCCAGTAGAAATTAGAAATTTAAAAAACCTACAGAAATGCTAGATACATAAATAACAAAATTTTGGCCTGAAAGGACACCATAATTTTTAAAAGATAATGTCAAAATGTTCTTCTGTTAGGATGTGAATGCTGGGAAGCAATCGCCACTACCATCTGATCACTGGATTCTTTCCAAAGTGCCTGCAAAGGATAAAAAACATCCACTGGCCTACCATCTCCAATGACAGATTAATAAAGAAATGGAAATGGAAGCTGTTTCAGAAGTAATTGAAAAAAGATGGGAAGGATGGGCCATGTTTTAAGGATGATTTTACGGGATACTTCCAAGAAAAAGAAAACAGTGAAGGCCTGAGAAACAACTGACAAATGCATGACCACCTTAGGGAGCTGCTGACAAAGTTTTTACTAGAGAGGTGGAGAGAGATTTCTGTGGTGACCCCATGTGTCCTGGGTCCAGAAGGGAAAAGATAAGAAGATGAAGGCAGTACAGAAAGCTTCAGAGATTGAAAGAAAGAAATTAGCATTACTGGGAGGCAGTTAAAAAAAAAAAGAGTTGGACAAACAAGTTATTTTAAAAAACCTGTTTACCTGGGGGAAGGGGGGGGGCTTTTTAAGGGTGGCAATAGGGTGTGGGTAAAACAAAACCTAAACTAGCTCTATTAGTAGTAGTAACTATTACTTTATTGTCAGAGAATTTTAAATTAGTTACAATAATCATAATGCCCTATAAAGTCCAAAAGTGGGACGTTGGTGTCACCCTACCCCTACACAGTGTAAGTCGTAGGGTGACAGTTACACATTGTCAAAAATGTCTGTTTGATCACTCACTGAGTATTCAGTCACTATATTTAACTATATTAGTATATTATTATACTATATACAATTTTTAGAACAAAGTTGATGCTGAATTTCAGAATTTAGCTTGCGTATAGAATAGTATTTTTTTTATTAGTATAGATTATAGATAGTAGATCTAGATAGATTTCTAGATTTTGTGATTTAGCGATCTAGTAAAATTTAGTTAGATCATCTACTACTAGATTTAGTCTAGATTCTAGATCTAGATAGTAAAAAAAAATATTTGTTATACATAAATAAATTTATAAAATATAAAGTTTTGCTTTTAAATTAAAAATAAAGCTCACTTGACTTCCTCCTGGGTATGTTGACATTGTAATTTGTTCGAGCATTTAATCAACTTTTTAAAATAAATACAGCGCTAAAACTATTTTATTTTTAAGGCAAATTTCGCGCACGAAACAAATTAATCTAAAATCTAGATATAATCTAGAATGTACCAAAATTACAATTTTCATTTCTCAAACGAAATTTTAAAATATCTTATTATCTGTATAGACTTTAGGCTTAATATCTAACACTAGTTATTCTAATATTAATAAATTATAATTTTCCTAACAAATAAAAAGCGTTCCGTGCCGTAATTTTATTATTTTATGATTTAGACCGAAATGGGTTAAAATTAGGCCTAATATTAATAAAATGCATTAAATTAACCTAAAGCTAGAATTTAGAACCTAGATTTCCGAATTTATTTATTATTTTTAGAGTTAAGTCTAGTTTTCTATTTTTTTGTCTGCTATGAACTATGAATCTTGATAGCAGTGTAATGAGTGTTACTTTTAACAATCTTAATCATGATTTCAATGTCAAATGTTAGTCTTTTTTTTTTAATTTCTTAAATTGCATAGATTTTTAGTCTAGATCTAGAACTCTAGATTAGATCCACTTACTGAAAATAATATTGATCTATTTTCTAGACGATTTTAACTCTCCGTTATTTTTTTTTTATCAAAATGTATAGGCCCGATTTTAGCTGTTTGTTTATATTTTGACAACACAATCTACATTTAATCTGGCCACATTTGCGTTTCAAAACAAACATTTTTACCTAAAAAATAACATTATTTCGCTATCCCAAACTTAACTTTAGCTACCTAGTCTAGATCTAAATCTAGATTTAGGTTAAGAATCTATTGTTTTTTCTTCTTCCTTTTTTAGAACTTACTCTAGATCTATATTCGAAGGCAGATCTAGATTAAGGATGAATAATGGTTTCTGAAGTTGACGTTTACACATGGATTGCAGAATATGCATGCAGACACAGAGTTGCTGATCTCTTATCTTGTAAATCAGAAATCTGTTTTTTTGTATTTAGTATTACTGTATTTTACATTAGTCATTAGGCCAATGTTCGGCATCAGTTCGTTAGCCTGGGCTGAGAAAAGAAGATGGATTTAAACCCCAAAGTGGCTTAGCTCCCCCTTCATCTATTTCTTACTAAGTCTTACTTATAATATTTCAGATTTCTAGATCTAGAGATCTAGTAGATCTAGATCAATAATTTTTGGCTTTTTCCTCTCAAATTTTGTTTGAGTTAAATTTTTCAAGATGTCATATAGATTCTAGATTAATAATAAGTAATAAGTAGGCCTAATAATAAATAATACAAAAATTACCAGATAAAGTTTTTATAGTCTTATGTTTATCTAACACTGCAAAAGTTCTAATAAATAATATTAAATATTTATTTCCCCTTTTAAAATATTTACACATCAGTAACAGTGATTTAAATTTTCTCAGTCGTATTACTTTACTGAAGTTCCAGTAAGATGGCTTTGACTTCTAACAGCAGTACTGACAAAAGATTTTAGTATTAATCTTTAGTAGTTAAATTAGTAGTGTATATGCCTGCTAGTGGTCATCTTATTATGACAACTTCACTAAGAATGGGAAGGGGAAGTTAAGCAAATATGAATTGGGTGAGGTTTGTGGCTACAAGTTAACCAAGTGTTTTATTAATGATGGTTCTGCTCTGCTGAAACAGGTTCCACTTTTGAATTATGACATGGGGTACTCAAAGAATAGCCATACCATCATACAATTGATTTTGATTTATCAGGGTACCAGTATCAGATTATTGGGTCAAACTGTAAAGAACATATTTGGGACTGTATTTTAACTTAACATATGTTACAGCTTTTTTTATTGGATAAAACTCCTCAACCTAAATGGGTATCACTTAAGCAGAAACAACCAAAGCCTTACAGAAGTTGCATTTGATTTTTTTGTCATTAATTTATGTTAACAGTTATATACATCATAATTAATTACAGCTGTTTACCAATACATCAAAAATAAATAATTTTTTTATCCTTAGGGGTGTTTGATGAGAGTAATAGAGATGCTGTGTCACTGAAAGAGATATCTGATATATGCCTCATACAAGCTTTGATTTGGCTAGCGGTTGTGAAAGATAAGAAAGATAACTATAAAGCAGCAGTTACTGCCCTTGACACACTAGTAGACAAAGCAGCTGATGCTCATTGCTTAGAGTATTTTATCAGACTCTCTCTGGGACTCCGCTTTAAAGTAAGTCTTATTTAATTAGAAATCAGTCTTTGACTTGTTATATTTAATTAGAAATCAGACTTTTACTTTCTCACCGACTAATGTTCATGGTGTTTTTAAATCACAAATTGTCAAAGTACAGATTGAACAGGAGATGTAATTTAACAAAAATAATCCTTTACTAATAGGTAGTCCAAACTGGCGAAAAAGTGCGTTTTAGGGTCAGTTTTTGCGGTTTTCAAAAATAAAATTTCACTACTTCTAGTTGTCCTATAAGAATAAAAATTATATGTCAATAAAGTTTAAGCCTTTATCTGTCGTAATCTGGTATTTTTATATCTGTAACACATGTTTGAATGTGTTTTATATTTGTTTGAAAAGTATCAGTTACGTCAACAAATTTCACCGTTTTGCGTGTACCGATCGACCCCACACTGTTTCATTTGGTTGCGGCTTCGCGACGAAGCATCGTAGAAGCATAATCTTAATGTCATTTTAAAGAGCGAATTCTAGTCTATCGGTTGATGTATAAATTGAAAAAATAACTTGCTTATTTCATTTTAAAAAATCAGTTTTTAAACTTTAAATGACGATATATACACGAAAACAAACTAATTCTGTTTCAATCTTTACACCGATGTAAAGTTCACTTTTATAACTACTTTGTGTTGTAAATTCAAGTCTTTCTGATTTACGGTCGCGAAGCCGTACCCTCAATAAGCATATAACCCTCGAGTCAACTTTCAGCCCCGAGTCAGTTGCTCGCCGAACGGTTTTAAAGGTTGACGACCGATGATGCTAAACGGATTTTACCCTTGCTAGAGCCTTCAAACAAGTTGTAAGTATCATTTTTAAAGTTTCATTTCCATTTTAATAAATGAATTTTAAATTTGAATGTCAGTTTGGTTTAATTAGCACACGTTATTAATGTAAATTTGAACCCTACTAGTCCACGGTTTTAGCGCGTGAACTACGCTTGTACACATGGTGTGTTTAAACGTGAAGCTATTTAATTCAGGACATTCTAGGGACTTAAAATATGGATGCACTTAACTATTAGATGCTAGTGTTTACTAATTCTTTAAAATCTATCGAATGGGATTAATGATAGGGTCGTATTACTACAGTTTATCTGGACTATCGCGTCAAAATTATGAATCGACAAATTCAAAATGGCCACCAGACATTTTTGGTTACTATGTGGACGAACTCAATTATTTACAGGGAACGAAGGTTAAATACTTATAAAATATTATTGAAACACAAAAGAAACTTATAATTGTAATAACTATAAATTTTTATCAATTTATTTAAAACAAAAGACACTAAATTTTAAGGACTAATGTGATTAATTTTTAATTTTCTGTTGTGCACTTTGATTCTGATTCCCCTGCTGAATAATGTGAAATGGTCTGCGCCAGTCTCCTTGATAAAATGTACCAGATCAATTTTTAGATGGTGGTGCAATTTAACAAGATTGTACATGTTGTGACTTAGTTTTAAATGTTATATTAGTTGTAAGTGTAAGTAGTACTAGTAGTATTTCTCATTATTTATTTATTTTATATGTATATAGTAACACTGAAGGACAGTTAAGTTGTCCTATATGATGTTGAGAACCACAGTATGGCATCTTCATCATTGGATATCTCAACCATTGTGGCACAAACAACGAATATTTCATTCAATAGAATTAATGTTCAAAATATACTATCAAGTATAAATTTCTTTAAACAAAAAGGTGTTTTCAGGCTTTTTCATGTTTCCAGCTACAGTCACAGGATAAATAGTAGGCCTACACAATAGGCTAGTAGTAAATCTAATTATATTTTATTTAATCACTAAATCAATTATTTATTCCATAGCTGGAGACATTTATGGTGGCCTATCCAGAACTTTCCTTACAAGGGAAGGGAAGAAGGCCACCCCCCCCCCCCCCCCCCCCAACTACAGTTCCCAAAACATATCACTTACTCTTTATGCTCCACAAGATCAAGGTTGAGGGAAACAAGACATACAAAGATGTGGAGTTGTCGTTTTAAAAACTGTTCCCCCAAAGCAGTTATCAACCCGATAGGTTTGAATGTAGCAGCAACTGCTGCATTACTTGTAGGCATCACGTCTTTATTAGATTACATTACATTACTCCACTAAATTTTGATTCTGTTTCTCCTGCTATAGATAACTGTGGCATTTTTTTTAAATAATATTTTAACTCATGTGATTTTTGAAAATAATGAACACATTATTCCTGTTAATGTTACCAACAAAATAGTTTTAGAGTTATTCTATGTCCAAAGCAAAAAAAAAAAAAAAAAAAAAAAATTATAAAAATAAAAGTGACCAAAACGCATTTTTGTCATTTTCAATTATTTTTTTACCTTAGAAAGACTCATTTTAGATAACTGAAAAAAATTGGGCATATATATTACAAACTTTGCAGTAACTTTACCAATTTCTACACTTCTATGTTATTTAGTTTAGAAAATATGGGTTCTCAAAAATGGCACTTTTTAAAAATCAGTTTTTTACCAAATTTTGCTTTTTTAAAAATCGCATAACTTTTTTATTTATTAAGATATTTTTATAAAATTTGTGGCATAGAGCTTACAATTAAAAGTTCTTTCATGACATACTCACTCCAGAAGTCTGCAATCAATAGTTAATTTCAGTTTGGACCACCTATTACTAATGAGTAAACTTGTTTTTCCTGCCTGGATCATTCAACATGAAGAAAAGGCCAAATGTTATGGCTGGGATACTAGTAAAATATTGGCCTGCCAGCATTCTAATTAAGCACCCTTGCTTATTTAAAATATTTTCAAATAATTTTTTTTTAAATATAATTAAAATATTTAATAAAATAATTAATATAATAATTGATATTTAAAATCATGTTAATTATAATTTTTCCTAAAGTAGTAAGTGCTTGCTGTAGATTCAAATTTTTATTTGTATTTAATTTCCAAATGACATTTTGTGCTCTTGTGATCAACAGTTTTATCATGACCCGCAATGTTTATTTTAAAACCTTCCATTCACAGGATGTTGTTCACAGTTTAACAGAGGATGTTCAGCTTAAACTGAGAGAACACTTTCCAGGGGGAACCTTTCAAATAAAATCACAGTATCTCAAAAATGTTTTTGTAAGAAAAAAAAATGTCTTGAAACTTCTCTTATTAATTTTAAGTGGCTATTATTTTGCATAATATCAGAATAAGATATCTTAATTAGATTTGTTATTATTGACTACTGTTTCATTTCTTCAAATATTATTAATACATGTTTCTGAAGTGTTGTTGTATATTTTTATTTTATTGATCAGACTGAAAATGAGAGCTTTGATGACTTCAGTAAGACTGTCCTTGTTTTTGTGGACTATTTTACACACATCACCCCATCTGCAATCAAAGAACTGTTAGAAAATTATCATGCACCACAGTCGATGTTTGGCACCCAACTCACAGAAAGCTTAAAGCAATTAACTAAATACTTATTTGACTGTTTGTTGAGTAGGCATCCATTAACTAAACTGGAAAATGTAATTAATATATTTCATATATTCTTTCTTTTTTCAATGAAAAATATACTTAATTGTAAAAACTTCTAACTGAAAAAAAAAGACTATTTAAACTAAAGAGGATCAATTTGTCTGAATTTTATAAGGTAGCATCTAATTTTTCCACTTTTTGTATAGTTTAGATTCATTTGGTTAATAAAAACCTTTGATTAATTAAAAATAGGGTTTACCCTTTACAAAATTATTTAAGGTTAAACTTTTTGTTTTACCACATTTTGATTCACCATTGAGTAAATTTTTTTATTTTACAGCTGGTCAAACAAGGTGTCAGGAAACAGCTGAGAGGTAGACCAAACACTTGGAGCAAACTGTTGGTGGAGAAACTTTCAGGTGTTAGCGAGCTGAGTGACGAACATGTCAGGAGCTTGTTCCTGGGCATGCAGTTGAAGAAACACATAGCTAGCTGTAAGGACTCGGGTGGGCCCAGTAAAGAGTTGCAGTTATATGAGGCTATAGTGCCTTCTTCAGTAGAACATGAGAATGATACACAGGTAAATGAAATAAAAAAATTAATTTAAAAATATTTTTTTTGTGGTATATGTGCTAGTTATTTTGTACAATGAGACATGTTCACAAGTCATGTTGTTCTGTGTTAGTCCTTCAATCAACATATCTTGGCTAAAGCTCTAATTTAGACTGGGAGGGATATGAGGCTCGTTAGCTGGGGACAGCCACTCTTCTAGGAGAGACGACTCCAAAATCAAACAACTGCTGCCTTGTAGTTTGTTCTTGGTTGGACAAAGACTATGGAAGCAAATCCAAAAAGAAAAGCAGGCTGAAATCGGAGTCAATGGCCTCAATGGCGCATAACCAGTTGACACGTAATCTTTAATTGTGATGGAAGCATGGTCGAGTCGGCAAAGCTCATGGTTGATAAATTCGAAAAAAAAAGTCTCAAGTTCATACCCTCTGGCAGATAAGGCTCGATCCCTACCAACACTAAAAATTAAGAACGAAGAAGAAGAAGATTATGAAAACCCCCCAGAAATAATTGTTTACTGAAGTAAGCCACAAGTGAATACTTTACCAACATATACAGAACAATCAAAAGAATTTTTCATCAGCCTTACCATGACTGTATAACACATGTTGAACAGAGCAATACAAATTGTATTTTAGAGACAAGAGAAAAGATGGTGAAAACATCAGTTCAAATACAGACTAAAGATATAGTACAATTGTATTTTAGAGACAGAAAAGATGAGTTTGTTAAAATACAGACTAAAGATATAGTACAATTGTATTTTAGAGACAGAAAAGATGAGTTTGTTAAAATACAGACTAAAGATATAGTACAATTGTATTTTAGAGACACAGAAGAGATGAGAATGTTTGTTTAAATACAGACTAAAGATATAGTACAATTGTATTTTAGAGAGACAGAAGAGATGAGAATATTTGTTCAAATACAGACTATAGATATAGTACAAATTGTATTTTAGAGACACAGAAAAGATGAGAATGTTTGTTCAAATACAGACTAAAGATATAGTACAATTGTATTTTAGAGACACAGAAAAGATGAGAATGTTTGTTCAAATACAGACTAAAGATATAGTACAATTGTATTTTAGAGACACAGAAAAGATGAGAATGTTTGTTCAAATACAGACTAAAGATATAGTACAATTGTATTTTAGAGACACAGAAGAGATGAGAATGTTTGTTCAAATACAGACTAAAGATATAGTACAATTGTATTTTAGAGACACAGAAGAGATGAGAATGTCTGTCCTGAAGTGCTAGATGTTCCAGACCTGCGGAAACATGTGAAGGCCAGCGGTTTGCCCGGATGTGTTGTTAAGTTAAATAGGGTGCAAGTACCTAGTCAAAATCAGCAACTTGCAAGACAGGTAAATTGTAATGCCGTAGTTTGTTTTCTTCAATTCGGTTCGTAATGTCATGTTACTTTAATATAATAAAAATGTTTTGAAAATAAACGTTAAGTCACCCGAGGGACTGGAAAATGGTGAACTAAAGAAAACGCTTAACAAATATACATCTGATGTTGTCAGTCTTAAACCTAGGTGTCATTAAAGTTGTGACCTATTAGCTTAAGTTTTTTAAACTCAACTACTTTACCTTTATTTTTTTCTTAGACCCATCAAAAGAGTAAGAAGAGAAGTAAACTGGTTGATTTTAAAACCGATGATTACAAGAAATATTCAAAGAAATTTTGTTTGAGAAACTGTCAAGTGTTTTTAAAAAAACTTCCAAAGATCTGCAACCAGAAATAAAACGGAATGGTTTTAGAACGGAAGTGTGCAATAGCCTCATGTGCCTTTTAAATGTGCTTTAACATCTTATGATATTAACATACGGGTAATTTGTGATAAGTGCAACATGTTGCTTGGTTTGTGTTGAAAATGTTTTAAAATTCTTAAAAATGTTTGTTTTAAAATGATTAATTGAAAATGTTTGTTTTAAAATGTTTTTTTAATTTGTTACATTGTATTATAGATATTAAAAATAGTTATAACAAAACTGTTTCCAGAACATTCTTTACCTTCAAAAATCCAACTATGAAGACAAATATTGCTACATTACTTTAAATACTGAGCAGATTGAAACAATATTCAGGTGCATTAACAGACAATTTTATTTAGTATATTAAAAATAAAAAATTACAAAAAGTAAATTTCATCTAATACTTAGCAGATTTTGTGCAGACATTTTAGTTTAAAAAATGTATGCACAATCAACCATTTCTGATCATCACACAATTATGTTCTTGAAGCTTAATGTAAAATGCTACCAAGGAAAACTAAAAATATTTTTTAGGAATAATATTAGCTCAGTTCAGTTGTTTCCTAAGTAATGTATACATATATATATTGGTATATATAGTTGGTTTACAAAACATTTTTAAACATGAAATTTGTAATAATATGCATATTTCAAGTACACTTGCAGCTGAAAGTTTATATTAAACAAAATGGGTGTCTAGATTATAATTATTTAATTTGTACACCATTTTATTTTCTTGTGCTTTTATGGCAAAAAAAAAATTATTCTCCAAAGCAACTTAATAGATGCCTCCTTTTCACAAGCATTCATATCCTTAATCTAACAGCAATCAATCAAATTAAAAACCATAATCATAAGAAGAAGACTGTTCTATCAAGTATTGCACTTCTTGGAAACAATTCTAAGCAAGCTTTTCAACTCATTACTTAGCAGAGTATTCAAAATGTATTTACAAGACTAATAATGGCAGCAAAGTAAAGTGTAAAAATAATTTACATGAATTCAAACTTTCACAGAATCTTCAAAGAACAGATCTAATTGACTACAAAAAGGCTTAAACATTATTTGTTACCACATATGCCAAGCTAACATATAAGCAATCAGTATACATGAAATTCAATGAACGAAGTCTTGGAATGTTGCACTGATAGACTGAGTAAATGTAAAATATACCGATTTGTTGACTAGTCTTACAGTAGTTAAGAAATTCAGAATCTTTAAGTATCGACATTTTCTATAATTTATTTTTTTGTTTCAATGTTATATGATAATTAATAAATTAATCTCATAATATGGTGAGATTTTTACATTCAACATGTAATTATTATAATAGAGTATGTAAGTTATAATGTTCATCTTTTCTATAATTAAGCTATACAGTATACTTGTAATATCTCAGTGTGTTAATTATTAGTTATAAAACTAGAAACAAAAATATGACAATATTTGAGTACAAAGCTTTTGATTATCAAATTAATATAAAACACAAAAAATGGAAGTGGAATTAAAACTATTTGTGTGATAATACAAAAAGATTAACAAAAGAATGGCAAACTTTCAAATTTCAAAAGCATACTAACAGTAATAAGCAAAGGAAAAAAATGTAAAGTATTTTTTTTAAATATCTATTAAATATAAAAAAAAATAATCCTTAAGATTATTCAAAAAATTATTGTTAAAACAGATTGTTAATTACTTTTCTCACTTTTAAGCTGAAATATTGGACTTTTGATTCAAAAAAATTGTTAGCCTTTAGTTCAATTATTTTCTAAAATACTAGATCTATATAACCGTTCAATTATATAGTTAAATCAATTAATATAAAAAAAATGTTAGTAAATTTTAAACTCAAAAAAATTATTTCTTTGAAATAATGAAATTACATAAATTTAATGTATTTCAATATACATTTGTAGTTTTATCACAGTATGTTAAATGTATTTTTTTAAAGAATGAACAAATGACTTATGAAATCACAAAAAATGTGTAACAACTACAATAAATAGAAATATCAAAGTATATAAAGACATGTCAACAACTTCACAGCAGTAAAAAATATTTGAGTTTGAACTACAATACTACACTAATATTTTAGTTTTACTTAAAAGGAGCAGCCTTTAAACAAAATTCTCCAATAAAAAGAAATACATTTTTTATTTTTACAGTTATTGTTATTCTCAATGTGCTTTTAATTTAATTCTAATCTTTTGTCTTGACGTTAGATAATTTTATTGGTGCTAATATAATTCAAAAATAAAAGCACACCACTTGCACATCTTTCAACTTGCTTTCTGCAAATCTAAATATTCTACTTCATTTTGGACATAAGTTTTTACATGTTTAGCCATAGTTCTGCCATTTTCTATGACTCAATACACCACAGCCGATGTTTGTAGTGAGTAAGAAGGGAGACTACTGAAGAAGTGGGCTGGTCCTCAATAAGAAGTAGTAGACAGATCGTAAAATGCACAGCAAACCAAGCAGAAAACCACCTAAAAGTAGAACCACAATGCATAAGAATTAAAAGTTTTAATGTGGCTGATCTGCAAGGATGTAAATTGTGTGGTATGCATAAATTTGGTCAACATTAGTTTTAAATTGTGTGCCACAAGTGCTGCAGATAACACTACTTTGTTAAATTAAGAACTTAATAAACTTCGATTAAACTTAGAGTAAATATATATGGATTTTACCTATCCAAGAAACGTATATTCCTCCATGTAAGTGAGCATATTCATACGTTCCAATCTAAAGAAAAAAATATTCAGTTAATCATTTAAAAATTAAAAGGATACATTTCTACTTGAACAAATCACCACCAAAAAAAGTTCACTAAAGTGTTAAGCAGATACACAATTCTACTTTCACTTTTAAGCAGTCAAATTATAGTATTCATAGCAAGATGGTTTTACTCACTGTGATACCAACTGCTACCCCAATAAAGAGCAGACCAAGGCATAAGAAAAAGATGGCTCTGCTTTTAGCATAGTTATAACCAGCTGCTGATCTGGAGAAGCAAATGTCAACAAGCCGTTACAAAAACAGGAATTTTTTCTTTCAAATAAGGAACTTAAGTCTACAAGGAAAAATAAAGAAAAATCAACTGGTTTGACTAAATATTTGCTTTTTAAATTTACATTTATGTTCTACTAAACTTACAGACGACGGCAATGAGGGCATCTAGCAAATTTTCGTATAATGCGAAGCTGAAAAAATGAGAGTTATGGTTTTAATAAAAAAGAAAAATCAAACAATATTGTGCATAAAATATTCACAAAGCTGTTTAAACTTTCTCCAACTTTGTTAAAATGATGCCTACATTAACAAAAAATAATAGCGTAAAAATTAATGAACGTACCACAAAAACCTGGCTACAATAAGCACATGTGTATCTGGTTGTTACTACTTGATGGATAGGATCAGATGGTGATGGCAGAGTTATCACCCTTTTGCTAATAAATAATGAATGTGTAATTAGAGTACAGCCAGATTTTCTTAAATATCTAAACCTAAATGCATGTATCAATTCATCATCATTTCTTCCTGTTTGTGCCCAAGACAGAAGAAGTAGAGTTCATCTGTTTCAAAAACCTTTACAGACAGGGGGGATAGTGTGGTCAGCACTATGCCTAGCTGCTTAAGTTTCCCTAATGTGAGTCTGGTACCCATAAGAGCTGAGTGGACTCAGGGACCTCCTAAAGACTCAAGCTAGGAATCCGAACTAGAGCTTTTGGGCTAGCAGTTCTGAGCTCTACCATCCAACCATACTGTCTCTGTGTATCAATTATATTTATTAAAACTATGTAGGACTTATCTAACAACTTATCTAACAGTTACCATGTTTCCCTTGGACAAAGAATTTTACTGGCACCAGACCGGCATACCAGGAGCAGATTACAAGGACATCGGATGTACTTTTTGCCTGGTGGTGGAGCTCTGATAGGCTAGAGCAAAAAAAATATTCATATAATATTTTTTAAAATAAAGTATGCAGATTGCTAGGTAAAAGTTGGGTAGCATTTTTTTTTAAATGAATGGGGAAAAAATAAGCTACTAACACAATCACAATTATAAATCAGTAGGCTACTGTTCATAACTGTTTGAAAATGCAGGGAAAAATAGATTTTCAGTGTTATTTTCACACTGGTATGAAAACAGTTAAGTCTTTCATACAGAAAATAAGATGCAAAATTACATGAACAAAGACAATGGTGTTCTTACTGTAGCTTCATTACAAACAGAACATTTGACAACAAACTGATGTTGCTTCCCTTCTAGGCTGATGATGGCTTGACAAACTTTACAGTTTATCATAGGAATCCCTCCCTGTGCAGTGGGGGTGTATGGTGGAGGAAGTTCATCTGTGCCCACTGGAAGTGTTGCTGCTTCATTGCTTTGACCTGCGAAAATTAGATATTTGAAAGAGCTTAAACATGGGATTGAGGACAAATATTTTAAAACTTGTGATGTCAACTGTTACTTTATATCATTAATTATACTTTATACTTTTAGTGTAGCACTCAAAGATCATGCATATATTAAATATACATAATACACGCAGCTTATCTTACTAAAGTGAAAATTCTGGTTAAAATTTCAGCACTAGTAGATGACTATTGCTTTTGTTAAAATGTTGTCCGCTTTCATTAGTTACAGTTACTCATTAACTTAAGTTACTAGTCCGGCAGTCAGGCCTGAAACTTTGCTTTAGATTTAATTTTTTTTTTTTTTACTTTTGAGTCACTTTTGACTTTTATATTTTATAGCCTATACTATAATATATATTATATAAATATAAATAATAATTAAAAATATATTTAGCCTATATTATTTATTATTTATAATATATTGTTATATAATTCCAAATTTCAATTTTGTAGGCCTATTATTTTAATTTAATTTATAGGCCTAATAATAATATTTTTCTAGTCAACCTACTCTTACTAACACTACCCACTACCTACACTGTAGGCTACAGTGTTTGTTAATTCAGTGTCTCCCTCAATCAATTCATTGAACTGAGTGAACTCAGTGTTGAAGGCTGAGTGTTGGTTGAGTGTCGGAATGTGCTAACTTACACTCAATTACACTGTCAACAGATTAACTTAAAACTTAAGATCTCTCTAGATTCTAGAAGTAGCACCTGAGAAAATTAATATTTACTTTTGTTTTTTACTTAATGTTCTTACCCTGCTGAAGATACGGAGGTGGTTCTGGTATATTACTTTCATTCTGAAGCAGGGGAGTCCTCTCACTATCAGCCATCTTTAAAATAAAGTAATAATAGTTATCACGTGATGAAATTCCGATTCTATTTTAAGGATAAATTCCAAGGCCGTTTTGCTTAGCTTAGGGCAGGCTAAGTAAAGTACATTGCAAAATTGCAACAATAAAAGAACTAGCCTAATAAATAAAGAAAAGCAAATGCCTTATGGTATTTCGTTTTATATATTGTTAATATCATCTAAAACGTTTAAATAAACTAAAATTTGGTTAATTACTAGCTGCCAGTTAAACCCTATACTTTTTTTTAAATTAAAAAAAATTGCCACGATAACTCAAGTTCACAACACACATCACACGGTGGTCATTTTTTTTCGCGAACACTTTTCAGAGCTTCAGTTGTGAATCGTTCACGCATGTGACATAGGGCCTAATGGATAGTTCATAACAGATGTTATGAGTCGACTTTTATATGACTTTTATCCAACCTCCAACTCGCCCTACCTTCTACCGTCACAATTAAATTAGTCACAAAAACCCACATCCCCTAAAACTAAAATGATCAACAAATTCCATCCCAACCCCTCAAACAACCCGATTTCTAACCAGTGGTTCTTCCAGACTTTTTTCTCCGGGGGGCACTTGAAATTTTCAGGGGGGGGGGGCGGTAGACTTTCTTCGGGGGGGGGGGGCGGACACTGTTAAAAGTATATATTTTCTATATAAATTATATAAATTTCATTTCGTTCGGGGGGGGGGGGGGGCGGTAGAATTTTTTCGGGGGGGGGGGGGGGGGGCTTTGCCTGGAAGAAACTCTGTTTCGAACGCAATAAACGTATCTTTCGCCACCTTCGTCTTTTAAAAATACGAATCAGAATATAACATACTGCTACGCAGCAGAGGCGTATCGACCCTTCCCGGCGCCCGTGGACAAACTTTCGAATTGCACCCCCCTCAAACTTTTCGATTTGCACCCCCCTCAAACTTTCAATTTGTTTTTCCAACCCATTTTGGCGCCCGGGACATGCCCCCCGCTCCCCCCCCCCCCTCGATACGCCTCAACTACGTAGTGACGTGCAGTATCGTAGTTACAGTGCGACCGAACGAAATGAAATTTATATAATTTATATAGAAAATATATACTTTTAACAGTGTCCGCCACCCCCCCCCCCCGAAGAAAGTCTACCACCCCCCCCCCCCCCGAAAATTTCAACCCCCCCCCCCCCCCGGAGAAAAAAAGTCTGGAAGAAACACTGACGGTGTGTGATGAGGGGGTGGGGGGGGTGTTCAGATGGTGACGTCACACTTTTGAGTTATAAAAAGTAATGCTAGAATACGAATTTTAGCCGTTATTTCGCGTTTTAGAAAACTGTTTCAATAAATAAAGTACAGAGTTAGTAGATCCCTTTCGAACCAGGCGGTCCATGGGACAAATGAAATAGAGTTCACCTGTGTCTGTGTGATAAGCACATGTCTATCAGAAAGTACAAACAGAACGTTATATTTTATGGAAATAACATACTTCATTGAGGCTTGATGCAACCTGGAAAGTTCATTGTATATAAAAAATTAATGTTATGAAGGAGCTTTAATCTATAGCCTACACATAGACCCTATACAACTATTTATAGGTTTTCAAGCAGTGCATGATTTATATCAAATTCAAAACATAGGTAGCCTATATATTTTACTGGTGCACAACATGAACATCAACATCACTGAGTTCAAATAACAAAATAAATTAAACTATGATTTTCACACAAAAAGAAAAATACTTAACTTAATCCTCTTTGCTCCTTATGGAACATAGGGCCTCCACCGGCTATTAATGCTGCAGTCTCCCAAGACATCTCTGTTGGCTTCAGTTCTTTGAGAAGACTCCGCCTCCAGGTCTGTTTTGGGCGCCCTCTATTTCAGATTTGGCTTCAGTTTCTGTAACTATATTTTGCTTTATGTGGACAAGTATTATAGTTAGCCCATCGCACAACCCCCAACCTGGAGGACCAGGGCACATCGTTTGGTCTGGCCCCTACCCACGCAGATCTGTCCGACTTGGTTAGACCTGCCAGGAGCACTAGGCTCCCGCCGGCATAGCTCTGTGGGTCGCTGGGGCACACAAGCCATCCCACCACTTCAAGGCGGTGTGCCATCAGGATGGAAGAACAAAAATACCGTAAATCGATGTGCTTCAGCTGTTGTCTTTTGGAAACCAGTCCAGAAACACGCATTTTCACCTTGAATTCAGCGAGCGTGGTGTTCTTGTGTTAGTGTTAGCCATCTCCATGCAACTTAAAGAAGTGTTCTCTTAGTTTTGCAGGAATTGCTCAACTTGGCATTGTAAATCATGCAATCAGGACTTTTTTTTAAATTTGCTCAACATAGTAAAGTATAAAGGGATTTAAATATTAAGAAATAAATCACACCACGTTCTATCAGGATAGTCATAAGTCGACTACTGGATCACGAGATACTTGCCGTAAAGCGGTGCTTCTTAACCTGGGTTAGATAGAACAGCAAAGGTTTGGTGAATCAGCCCCAGGGGTTTGGTGAATCAGCCCCAGGGGCTTGGCGAATCAGCCCCAGGGGTTCTGCGAATTATATCTACTTTCTCGCAAAGGTTTCTGTCATAAGCCTTTCTTTAATAGACGTCTCTCCGGCCGTGGTGTGGGCGATTGATTAAGCAAGATTGAATGGACAAGGGGATCTGGTAATACATTAATCAATGGTCACACTGAATCATGGGCGTCCTAGAGCACTGAGCATCACGGGCTCTCTCGTGAGCATAAAACAGTTTATGCATTACTCTGCAACATTCATGTGATTGCCTAGAAACTTTGCCAGTACACTACTGTAGTAATGTGCAGTTGGGCGCCCTGAGACCTCCGCGGCTACTTAAGCACATGGGGTCCGCTGTTTAAGCTTCCTCCACATGGGTTCAGAGCAGAGGCGTAGCGACCCTTCCCGGCGCCCGGGGACAAACTTTTCGATTTGCACCCCCCCCTCAAACTTTCGATTTGCACCCCCCTCAAGATTTTCATTTGCACCCCCCCTCAAACTTTCAATTTGCACCCTCCTCAACCTTTCAATTTATTTTTCCAACCCATTTTGGCGCCCCCTAAGGTCGGCGCCCGGGGACATATGTCCCCCCCCACACTACTGGTTCAGAGGTTAACGGTCGAACTCCGTCCTACAGTCGCCGGCATTCTTGTGACCCGAAACGCCCCGGGCTCCCCCTCCTACATTTGTTTTAAAAAGCCCGCTACACTAGGGATACCTATAGCTACTAAAGTCGATGATAAAACCGAACCAGCTGTGGCACTCTGCGGTAGTGTAACTTGTGGCACTCAAAGAGAGAGCTTCCAATCCTGATACTTGGGCGGTCGATGAGGGATGTTCTACCTTAGCCTTGCGGAGACTGATCAACGAACATTCAATGTTTTCGCCATGGTTTCTTTCAAGCATCTGTTGGGGAGGGAGCGCGCCCAAAGGCCCCGGATGAACTAGAAAAAAGCTATCTTTATCAATATATAGACTACTGTAACTATTGCCCCCCCCCCTCGAGAAAATTTTTGAACACACTGGAGATAATGTAAACAATCCGCACCCAATAACTAGGATCCAAGAAATGTAGTGCTGACATTTATATTTAAATAACTCGAGTGCTAATCAACTGAAAAATTATACATTTATATCAAGTAATAGCTGATAGCCCAACTGATACCCTGTGCTGATATAGAACGGCATCGCCAACCTAAATAAATAACTTCACATTGTTATGTTTTCCAGGGCACACAAAATCTTTCGTATAGTGTACTGAATTTTTACATTTACCGCATTGTGTAAAAAATGCAGCAAGTAAATTAAAAATAATAAATTGCTGTTAAGCATTGTAAGTTTAAAGATCAAAATTAGGTTTAGAACTGATTTGTAAATCTACCAAAAAATTCAAACAAGGGATCCCTGTTAAAATATGAACTTCACGTTTATTCATATAGAACACTTGATTAAATCAAAATTGTAAAAACAGTAAGGCACATACAAAGTCAGTTAAAAATTGGAAGTCCTTTACAGCTTACCAGTCTAGATAACAACCAATTCAAAAATATGAATAGTTACTTTACTCAATTTTCTTTTCCTCTTGTAGGAAAGTTCATTATAAACTAATATTTTACAATAGGCTTGTGAATGATTTTTTTTCTTTCTTGTAATAAACTTGTAAATATTAACAAGTGAATCATGAAGGAACACCTTCACAAAACAACAGTACACAACAATATTTTAACAAGGTATTAGATAAATGCAAGTCAAGATATTTACATTTGAACACAGTGACTCCCTAAGGCAATTTACTTCTTTAAAATGTAAAATGAACATTGCTCATTAAGGCACATTTTTTTTTAATGCTAACAATCATCCTCAGAAAAATAGACCATTGTAAAATGTTGCAAAAATTTCCATAGAATATTTACATTTGAACACATTGAATAAACAGGTAATTTACTTATAAAAAAAAGTATGTAACATTTGATCATTGGATACAATTGACAGAAAATATTTTAAATGTCGCAAAAAAAAAATTTCCATTGTTTGATTTTTTTTTAAATAGGAAAGACAAGAATTGCAGTGAGTTTTATTAAAATGATGGCAGAAATATATATATATATCAAATACAGATATTCAAATTGCACAAATTCTGTTTTTGTTTACAAAAAATAATTCTTTTACAGATACCAGTCTGCATCAACTGTAGCTAAAAACACTTGTGGCAATAATTAAACGTTTATAAAAATCTGGCCAATTTAAAAAAAATCAGTCAACACACTCTGCCTCAAGTGTGGCTGTCAGGGTTTTCCCAGTAGCTAATTCTGTGAACACAAGCTGATCTTTGAACTTTGCCACATGTCTTGGTTTGAAGGTCACAGGAAAGAAAACCTTTTTGTCTTTGCTTAAAACAGAAAGTATTAAAATAAAAAAAATAAATACAAACTAAGCTGCAGTATCTATATAAACATACTTGAAAAAGTTATTTAACATAAGGTACCAAAACTAAATATGAAAAAGACAAATGTTTATATAGAATAATTGTATTTAAAAAAAAGTATTTCCAAATACTCACCCAAGCTTGACAACAGTGTGTTTGATAAGGAAAGGTGGATTGGGCTGACTGGTGACTGCAAGCTGTAACAGACATTTAAATAAAGCTTAATCTAGTAATGATTGAGAGGTCATAGACAGTAATGTCAGTATCTGGAGTGTCACTAAGTGTCAGCGATTAGGGTGAATTATGACTGGGATTTTGAAATATATTTTTTTTTGTTACAAATTTCAATGGCTATATTTAAAATTCTTTTGGTAAATTAAAAAAAAAACAACATATTTCTAGTGGTTAACATTTAAAATGGTTTTTACCTCAGTGGCTTCACTTGGGTTCATAATATCAAGTTTAACAATGGCACATTCCATTTTGTGTAGAGTTGGGAACTTGAGACTAGGGTTGGGTAGATGGACACACCTCATGCTCTTCTTGCTTGTTCCTGATCTGTTGTGGACAAGAGAAACATTGGTATTATATTCACAATAATCTTGTGGATAAGACAAACATTGGTATTATATTCACAATAATCTTGTGGATAAGAGAAACATTGGTATTATATTCACAATAATCTTGTGGATAAGAGAAACATTGGTATTATATTCACAATAACCTTGTGGATAAGATTTTAAAGAAACATTGGTATTATATTCACAATAACATTGTGGACAAAAAAAACATTGGTATTATATTCACAATAACCTTGTGGACTAAAGAAACATTGGTATTATATTCACAATAATCTTGAGGATAAGAGAAACATTGGTATTATATTCACAATAACCTTGTGGACAAAAGAAACATTGGTATTATATTCACAATAACCTTGTGGACTAAAGAAACATTGGTATTATATTCACAATAACCTTGTGGAAAAAAGAAACATTGGTATTATATTCACAATAATCTTGTAGATAAGAGAAACATTGGTATTATATTCACAATAATCTTGTGGACAAGAGAAACATTGGTATTATATTCACAATAACCTTGTGGACAAAAGAAACATTGGTATTATATTCACAATAACCTTGTGGACTAAGAAACATTGGTATTATATTCACAATAATCTTGTAGATAAGAGAAACATTGGTATTATATTCACAATAATCTTGTGGACAAGAGAAACATTGGTATTATATTCACAATAACCTTGTGGACAAAAGAAACATTGGTATTATATTCACAATAACCTTGTGGACTAAAGAAACATTGGTATTATATTCACAATAATCTTGTGGATAAGAGAAACATTGGTATTATATTCACAATAACCTTGAAGCACGGTCAATACCATTATCAATACCATCCAAGGGATAGATGACAGAGTTCACCTGTTGCTTTGTTCCAGGCAAATGAATAGATTATGTGGTCAGCACTATACCCAGTCATCTTAACTCTCCTCTACAGGTCTGTGTAGCCACAGTTTGGTTGGGGTCATGTCTGTTGTACACAATCAAGTCCACAAACCAAGCTAGAATGTAGTTTGGTAATTTTTAAACTCAGCTGTATGACTACACCAACTTGGGACATTTAAGGGATTTGATGACTGCATCAAACTTCACAGTAAACACATTAGATGCTGAATGTAAAAGTTGAAACAAATTTTAGCATTAAGGGATTTGATGACTGCATCAAACTTCACAGTAAACACATTAGATGATGAATGTAAAAGTTGAAACAAATTTTAGCATTAAGGGATTTGATGACTGCATCAAACTTCACAGTAAACACATTAGATGCTGAATGTAAAAGTTGAAACAAATTTTAGCATTAAGGGATTTGATGACTGCATCAAACTTCACAGTAAACACATTAGATGCTGAATGTAAAAGTTGAAACAAATTTTAGCATTAAGGGATTTGATGACTGCATCAAACTTCACAGTAAACACATTAGATGCTGAATGTAAAAGTTGAAACAAATTTTAGCATTAAGGGATTTGATGACTGCATCAAACTTCACAGTAAACACATTAGATGCTGAATGTAAAAGTTGAAACAAATTTTAGCATTAAGGGATTTGATGACTGCATCAAACTTCACAGTAAACACATTAGATGATGAATGTAAAAGTTGAAACAAATTTTAGCATTAAGGGATTTGATGACTGCATCAAACTTCACAGTAAACACATTAGATGATGAATGTAAAAGTTGAAACAAATTTTAGCATTAAGGGATTTGATGACTGCATCAAACTTCACAGTAAACACATTAGATGCTGAATGTAAAAGTTGAAACAAATTTTAGCATTAAGGGATTTGATGACTGCATCAAACTTCACAGTAAACACATTAGATGCTGAATGTAAAAGTTGAAACAGATTTTAGCATTAAGGGATTTGATGACTGCATCAAACTTCACAGTAAACACATTAGATGCTGAATGTAAAAGTTGAAACAAATTTTAGCATTAACTACCTTGTGGAGTTGTTGTCTCCCCCTGGATAAAGACACTGAGTTGAGGAGGTTTTAGACGAGGCAGATGATGCAGACGGTGTGTTGGACTCTAGCCCTGTTGGAGCAGAAGAACTGTGGGGAGATGGTGTGGCGGCATCCCTCGCTGTCACAGGACTCCACGATGGGATGCTTTTAGCTCGCCCCAACTGGATATGGGGGTCAGAGTCTTTCACAGTGTGGGGTGATGCATCAGGGTTGGCAGTCCTTGGTTGTGTCACCTTGCCTGGTGACCCAGCGGTCCTTGGTTGTGTCACCTTGCCTGGTGACCCAGCAGGCCTTGGTTGTGTCACCTTGCCTGGTGACCCAGCGGTCCTTGGTTGTGTCACCTTGCCTGGTGACCCAGCAGGCCTTGGTTGTGTCACCTTGCCTGGTGACCCAGCTGTGACAGTCCCCCTGTCTGGTGACCCAGCAGACGGAGGCCTGGTGTGATCCTCAGAGCTAGCTGTGCTGCTGAAGGAGTGACTAGATAGTTTACCATGAGACAGAGTGGTTTGGCTCAGGCCTGCTGGTAGCTCATCTGACTTTTCAGCAACAGCCATTAACTGACTAGGTATTGCCTGGAACATTTTTAATTGCACAAATTTAATTAAGTTAAAGAAATAACTCTTTAACAATAACAAATCTAAACCAAATGAAATTAAAAAAAAAAATAATGCAGTTTTGTGGATGGAGGTTTTTAGTACAACATTAAATAAATCTCCCATAAAATGTTATTACTAGATAATTTTGAGAGAAACTCTACTACTCACTTTAGCATAGAGAGTAAACTTATGAAGTGAACTGTGATCTCTAGTTAAATCATTTATAATCCAAGCCTGGTTGTACGAGCCCTTTGTCTTCGGACTAAACTGGACACTTATCTATCAGAGAAAAAACAAGATTACAGTCAGACTTCAATACATTTTAAAAAATAATAATCTATAAAAATACACAATATTGTATTTTATGAAGGACAAATTGTAATTGTCTTTTAATAAACATTTTCAAATCATGCTGCAGCATTGGTTGACATACAAAATGCTTACTTTTATTTTTTTCATAAAAACATTTTAAACTCCTACCTTTGCAGTTTCATTAGGTTGAAGAGTACCATTAGTGGGAGATAACTTGAATGCTTCATAGTCTACTCTGTACACCTGGCTTGTACTGTTTGCATACTTAAAAAAAACAGCAATCATGTTATTTCATAAAAAAAATAAATGACAATATAAAAAAAGTCTTTGTTAATATATAAAACTTGAATTATATCCATCCTGTGTAGAAAGACTAAAAAAAACATACCTGCACATAAGGCATGGCCAAGGGGATAATATTCCAGGAAATTGATTCAAAGCTTTTGTTGGTGAACATGTACATACAGACTATAAGAGGTAAACAACAGAGAGTTAAAAACAAATTGCACAGGTGCAACATTCATTAGACTTGAAAAGTCTGATAAAATAGCCAATTTATAAGAAATATCAAATAAAGTATTCCAATGTTCATAAAACAGTAAAACCAAATGTAGGTTGACAATGCATTTTTAAAAAATCCTTAGAATCAAAAGCGAATTTAAAAAAAAAAAGAAAAATTAAAAAATAGCAACCAGTCTGTATTATTTCATCAGAAATCGTTAAATGATCAGTAGTAGAAACAAAATTGAAACAAAATTTAACTTATTCACCTGCAACTTTAACTGCCCAGCTCGAATCTGATACATACCAATTTTAGAGCCAGCAGTCGTGGTTGGAACAAAAACTTTATCAGAGGCCTCAATTAATAGCTTTGTTTTATCTGTGGGTAATGTAGCTTGTTTACTGGCAAGTGAAGGTGAACAGACATTGGCCTGTTCTGCTGGCAACTTCTCTGGCAAGTCCATGGGGTAGTCAGGCATGGCTGGAGCATACTGCTGAGAGGGGGTTACGGCAGAGCGGCTGAAGGTTACAGGTATTTTGTTGGGCGAGGCGTGCGGAGAGGATAGAGTAGAGTGGACAACTGGACTAATTCCTGGGTTCTGGAACCATCCAGGCTTTTGTATGATAAACACCTTGATGTACTGTAACAGAGCAGAAGACATCTGATGTCAACATTACATTTTTTTAAATTGAGTTCATAATAAATGATGAAGGAAAAAAAATCTCCTATTAATTAGTGGAGATTACTTTCAAATAGGCATTTAAATTTTGCAGGCAATTTTATTAGTATTTGAAAATGGGATGAAATCATTCTGCCTTTTGTGGCGGTGTGAAGCAGTTTGAAGGTTACTGAGCATAAATGTAGATGTGGAGCAATACATTTAATACCTAATAGTTTATAAAAAAAATTAGGTATGCTGTACAGACCTTAATTTCCTGTTGACAGTAAACACGAACAAGTCCGCACTGTGCTGAACTTTTGTTTGCTAGGGCTGAGGGATTTACTCCAATGTTTAATGACATTGTGCTCCTGTTGACATAAATGTTATTAAGTTGTGATAGGATATTTTAGACAAATAAATTTCACTTTTTAAAAACAATACAGCTCTAAATACATACCTTGCTTTTAATAGGGTTCTTGTTGGGGAGACAGAAAAAATGTTATCACAATCCACAGAAATCCTGAAGCAAAATTAATTTTTAAAATTGTGAACTTTGAAATTTTATAAAGTTCTAAACTTTACTTTTCAATGCTTTTATTTTAAAATACTTTTCCAATCAAAAGACAAAAACTTACATAATTTCAGAGGAAGAAAAATTAATCACTTGAACTGTACTTTTTGAAGAAATGTCATCAACTATAAGTTTAAAAAAAAAATAACAATAACTTTTCCATAAAAAATGCTTCAATTAAATGGTGATATACCATGTAAACAGTGGGACGGAGTGGTCTAGCGGTAGAGAGCTGGACTGCTAACCCATTAGTCTCGAGTTCGAATCCGAGTACAAGTCAGTAGACCGTCTCTGAGTCCACCCAACTCTGATGGGTACCTAACTCCTGTTAGGGAAAGTAAAGGCGGCTGGGCATAGGGCTGACCACACTTTCTCTTCATATGCCGAGGTCACAGAAACAAGTGAACTCTACTTCACTTGCCCCATAGACCGTCAGGTTTGAAAGGGAAACTTTTCACTTTTTTTTCATACCATGTAAACAACAAGCTAAAATGATAACAAAAGCCAACAAATGTTCGTTAAAATATATCAAGAAAAGATAGTTAAAAAACTTTGAGAAGTGAGTAGAATTACCATTGAGCTGAATTTCTTGAGGCGCCACATTCCAGTCGTCTTTACTTCTGTTCTGTTGGGGCTGGATGTTGGTGTTCACCTGGGTCAGAGCTGGCCGTTGTAGGGTCATGGGGGATCTGAATATACAAAACACAATGGATTGGGCAAGTTGGCTTTATAGTCTAAAGCACAACAGCTTCAGCAGTCTTCAAATGTAAACTGCCATAATGAGTTAGACCCAGGAATGGTCCAACAACCTCTACTTGTAAAAAATCAATTTCTACAAAAACACAAACATAGATAGTTACAATCAACAACACAATGATCCATTAAGAAAACTAGCTCAGCATTGATTTGGCAGTCTACATTCAAGTGTAATAATTGGCTATTAAAGCCATTAACAAATTAACTTATTCTACGTGCCAGATTGCCTGTTACCAGGCTAGTATAAATGACAAATGTTCACCTTATGGTCTCTGTCAGTGCCAGGTGAGGGACAGGCTGGACTTCTTGGTGCTGTCCAAACAAGCCTATCTTGACCACGGACACACTTTTCTTCAGAAATGAATAGCAGTCACCATGGCAGCTCATATTCTTCACTGTAAATTTCACGTGTAATCCTTTTTTAAAGTGGATACTATTTTTTATTCAAATTACAAAAAAGTAAGTTTGTAGCAATGTTTGAAAGGTCTAATCATATGATAAATAACACTTTTACTTTCAGAGGAACTTACTCTCCAAATCCACCTGTTGTTTCTGTGTATTGGTCAGTGGGATGTCAAAGTTGTAGACAATCTGTCGTGAATGTTTCCCAGGATTCCTAGAGTGAAACCATTAAAAAATGTAACCATTTAAAAATTTTTTTTACTTGAATACTTACATGACATATTCAACTATTCAAATAGTATTGAACTATTATTTTAAAAAGGAAAATAAAATTGAATAAACATGCACTTACGCCAGGAACATCTGCCTGATGACCTCATCCCCATAGGTTATCTTTATAAAGGCAACTATGGCCCGTCCTGACTTGCACAAGTCCATTTCTTTTTGTGTAGGACAGAACATTACTATCAACTCCTGGTTCAAAACAGGTTAAAATACTTCTTTATCAAGGTATAGATTTTTTTTACAAGTAATATTGCAAAATAAAAGTATTTCTATTACAAGCTCTTAGGTAAAAACAATTGATGATTAAAAGTACAATTTTGGAACGATGAAGTGTTTGTAATCAAAGAACAATAAAACTTACTTTAGATTCATTAGGCAGAAGGAGCAGGGCTGAAGGCATGACAGTAGCTCTGTTAGGCTGGAACTCTAGCTGCGAGACATCTGAGAAATTATTTAAGATATTACAGATACAACTAGTGACATGTTCTCCTTAAACAATCTTAAAACATTGTTTTCAATTTGTAAACATTTAACAACACCCTTAATAAAAAGCTTATTGCTAAATAAGTTCTGTAATTCCCAGATCAAGATAGAAGAAACTGACCACAGCAAGTAGCCTTCACAAAGCAGCACCGGACTCCACTGTTTCTGACCATGACCTTCTGTAGAATGGAGGTCCCAGCCTTGAGTACTCCGAGGTCCAGCCACTTTTCTCCAGTGTCTAGGGTGGTTATGTTACTGAAGGTCAGGTTGCTGGTTCCTCCATAACCACTGGTTGGGATCTGGTATGGCAGGCCACAACATCGTTTTTTAAAATTGTAAATAGTTTTAAATCATTTTTAAGTTAAAAGTCAACAAAACATTTATCATTAAATATATTTCAAATTTAAAAAAAATTTCTTTTTTACAAATTTGACTTCAATATTTTTAGTCAGCTTTTCTTGGAAAATAAGCAAACAGTATTTTCAGGTTCCAATTTAATACTTTCAAGATTTTGAGGAAAAAAAGAAGGTTGTAAGTTGCTAAAAGATTTACACTAATTGCGTAGAGGCGTAGCTAGGGAAGGTTGGGTGGGGTGGCCGCTGACCCTCAGGGGCGCCAAACAGGGTAAATTTTTTTTTATTATAAAGATCATTTCGAGCAGCATTACTAAATGATACACAACCAAAGTAAAAAAAAAATTTAATAGTTCGCCCCAGAATGAGAATTTATGAGCCGCTACGCCTCTGATAGTGTCAAAACTTGATTTACAGCCATAATTAAGAAAGGTATAAAGGAATAAAGTAGTTACGGTAAATCTGTTGGCATAGAGTATCTGAAGGGAGAGGACAGTAGAAAAATGATCGACTGCATTGGGTGTAAAACTGACAGCCACTGAGTACTGCTTGTCTTTGAGGACTTTCATGTCGATGCTGTTACAGCTGGAAGCTTCATCAGGGTAAGTGAACTGAAAATAAAAACCGACATTCTAACTGTATAGGTCTGTTCATTTTAGATTAGCTGGCTAATGCAAATGACAAATTATTATAATTTAATAATTTTAAATATTTAAACAAAAGATCTTTTTCTCTTAAGATATTTAAAAAATTGAATAAGAACAAAAACAAAGAAAATTACTAACTTTGAATATAGAGCTATCCCCTCCAATGCGCAGTTTAATATCAGCATCATCATTGGCAAAAAATGTAAACATTAGTTTCCTGTAGAAAAAAGGTATACATGAAAAACTTGTATATCAATTTTTCAATTAAAAAGAAATATACATATACGTACATATAAACTTATACAAGACTTAAAAATTAATGTTTATTTTTATTAAGTTGTCCTACTTCTACACTTGAATTAAAAAAGCCACCAAATAAATAAAAAAATCCACCAACTTGGTCTGGCCTAGGCTGACTCCGCCAAAGTTCAGTGCTGCCACTGTAGCAGATATCCTCACTTCCTTGGCTCTGATCTTGCCCACAACAGATATATAACTATCTGTATCTGTGGTCTGTAGCATCAGGTGCCTGGTAGATAATGACATTGTGTTCTAGTGAATGTTGTCTAGTTGAATTGAACTTTGTGTTACAGTTGATAACTTTGTGCTAAAGGGAATTTTGTTCACACAACAATCAATATTTGATATGGTGCATACATACAAAGACAAATTCTGGTTATAAATGAAATGCATCTTTACTTATATATGATGCAAATTTAATGCCTTGTAAAATGTTTTGAAATTTTCAAGCGCTTGAGATAATTTCAAGGTTTCTCTTCACAAGAAGCAAAAACTAAAGTAATGAAAGCAAAATACCCTCTCAGACAAATATAGAGAAGTAAGAGCTCTTCTGTTTCTGAAGAGTCAACATTTAGAGAAATTTTATAACCAGCATAAAGTCCAGATTGGAACTAACGACCAGCTTATGAGCATAAATCAAATTAAACTTTCCAGGGTCAGTCATCACAGACCCAACATTCTACCTACCCAGAACACAGCACTAAATGCTAACTCACACATTGTTGTCCTCAGCGCTGTCCCGTGTAGGCTGTGGTGTGAAGGTCACATACACCAGCACAAACTTTCCAGGGTCAGCCATCACAGACCCAACATTCTACCTACCCAGAACACAGCACTAAATGCTAACTCACACATTGTTGTCCTCAGCGCTGTCCCATGTAGGCTGTGGTGTGAAGGTCACATACACCAGCACAAACTTTCCAGGGTCAGCCATCACAGACCCAACATTCTACCTACCCAGAACACAGCACTAAATGCTAACTCACACATTGTTGTCCTCAGCGCTGTCCCGCGTTGGCTGTGGTGTGAAGGTCACATACACCGGCACGTCCCCGCCACCTGGTATGTCCACATGATTGCTGCTGACACTGAACTGATGTCTGGAAGGCTCAAAATAAATATCTACAGGCAAGGTGATGTTGCCAGAATTGATCAGCTTTACAACTCCCTGGCCAGATTTTCCTGGTATGGCATAGATGGACATGTTCTGAAAACAAACATTTATAAACATAAATATTTTAGTTTTATTAAAATAAAATATACTAGTTTTAAAACTAGCTTTATTTCATTGCTCTGAGTAAATTCACTTTTCATATTTAGTCCAATATATATATATATATATAAAAGGCATTACAAAAATAAATTGTGTATATGAGAAAAATTGTCATACACTTTTGTCAACATGAAGCTTTGAATAGCCCACATTGACACGAAGTTTAGTCACACACAGGAGATCAATGTCCTCTACTGGCATGTCTACCCCAAGACTCAGTGTGGCATGGAACTTCTCGGCAGTCTTCATGTATTCTGGCATCACATTATGAATACACCAAATATTATTATTCAAAAAATATAGAAACACAACAATTTCTCTTTCTACTTACATAAAATAATTTGCAATAATTACACAGAAATAAATAAAATTCAACTTACTTCGATTAACTTTTTGTGCATCATTAGCATGGCAATACACATGTACAGTCTCAGTACAGATGTTATCTCCCTTTTTCCCTGGCAAGGTAATGGCAAACACGCTGCCAATGCCGATGGGTTTGGTGGTGAAAGAGATCATGGACATCTCAGAGACCCTCTCAGATTGGAAGGTGAACTGACACAGAGAGGACTCTTGCTGCAAGCATATACATCCACTGTTTAAACAGCTTTATATACAGGGTTAGTGTGTACAGTAAGAAACAGCAATATCACAAAATTCTCACTTATTTAAGACAAATAAAAACACAATTATTTTTCAAACAATTTAAAGTAAATTGAGGCATTTATAATTTTCTCTTAAAAACTAAATCACACATGTAGCTTATATTATACGTAAGAAATATCTCACCCTGTTAATAGAGAATCTTAAAGGAACCGTTGCCTTGCCAATATTCTGCACCCTGATAGACCTACAAGCTGATTTCCCCCAATGAAGATCTCCAAAATCTATTTCATCCTCAACAGGTGACAACTGAAAAAAAATAAACCGGGAGTGATCTCCCCTAAACTTTCTCGAATATTCTAATATAACACTACGTGGGATGTCAACTCTGAATATAGACATGATTTTTGTTTACTTAAACTTTTAAAATAGAATAAAATCTAGTAGAAAAAAAAATGCGCACCAAGCTAGCACCAAAACCAAATGTGCGTAATAGTGCGCAATATTATTAGTACTTTAAAAATTTACATTAGTTTTTTGAGAAATCGGAAGTAGCGTAAATTACTACTTCCGGTCAACGGAAATTACTCAAAATTTAACAGAAGGTAGAGAATTAGATCTTTTACTTACATGTGAAATTTCATTTATCTATCTGAAATAGTACTCAAGTTATAGGCTTTTGAAAAATTCAAAGTAGAAAAAGTACCACTTCCGGTTGTCGGAAATCGCTCAAAAGTTGATACGGATCTACGATTTTGATATAATACTTATATATGAAATTTCATCAACCTAGCTGTAACGGTACTCAAGTTATCGTGTTTACACACGGACACACACACAGACACACACACACACAGACATACGGACAAGATTGCTAAATTATGTTTTTCCGTATGAGTGAGGTGTAAAACGTCGAGATCTGTAAAAATCTCAATTTTTTTTTTTTGCACGATTACAATACTTTCTCTATACTTCGTATATACGAGAAAGTAAAAAGTATCACACTAAATATGTGGATCAAATATTTGCTTCGGTCCATTAAACAATTGGAAACAAATTGGACACTAAATATGTCGACCTATAAATCATACAAATATTTGTTTAGTCATATTTAAAAAAATTTCAATAGGTAATCAACAAAATAAAATTAATGTCAAAGTGAAATAGTAAAACATCTGAATAAGTTATTGTCAAGCAACAGGTAACAACTTGCCTTAAGGGTAGGTAACTCAGCAGTTGCCATTAGTGTCAAGGTGTACGTCCTGTTCTCATTAGGGCTGGTCAAATTCTGGGCATGGACCTCAACCACAGCTAAATACTCCCCACCATCTTTTGGCCGAAACATAACCTAAACACACATTTCAATAAGAATAGTTAGAAATGTTTGGCTGAAACTTAACCTAAACGCACATTTTAATTAAAACAGGTAAAAATATTTAAAGGGTTGAAACGACTACTTAAAAAAAAAACATCTAAAAACTGCTGAACTGTAAAATTAATTTGGTTAATCTACATTTAATGAGATTATTTAACACAATGCAAACTAACAAAATTAACAGGAATTTGCCATAAACAAAAAAATTTCTAAAATTATGTTGTCATAGTGATAGAACTATGAACTGATGCCCCACACCCCCATTAAATAAAACACAAAGTAGGTACTTTAGAACAACTATTTTCTTCCACAAAGATCAGTAAACAAATGAAACTAGTAACAGCATTTAAATATAAGAATCAGAAAAAAAATGTGCATACCGGAATCTGTTCTGTGGAGCAGGGACTCAGGGTGTGTTGCCTCTTGAGCTCAAATGGATAGTGTCCAGTTGTGATCCTCTGGTTGTTGAACCTGACATCTCTGAAGGTCAGCAGACATTTGACCCCCTTGTCCAGCAGGTTTGTGATGGGAAAACTGGTCTGCTGTGACAAGTGCACACAGCAGGCATCGGGGAAGTAAACTGTCTTGGGCAGCTCCAGAAAATTAATGGCAGCATTGGGAGTCACTAGTGGTAAGATAGCTGGTGGTGGGTGCAGGGGGATACATTACTATTTTAAAAATGGGACCAAATACATGGAACAAAACAAACAATGTTAACACCCTTGAACATTTTTATATATTTTTAATCTACAGGATCTTTGAAAATTTAAATTATAGACATGACATTGTGTATTAATTCACAGCAGTATTTTAAAACATTGCTAGTAACAATTTTTGTTTATACTACAAACATCAGTTTGGTAATATAGTATTTTATTTTATTCTGTAAGTATTGCTCTTATAATTAGGACCAAGATTTAGTTAGGGATAGTGTCTGGAATGGTTTGGCTAAGCCCTGAAGGTATCCTTTGAAGTTCATCATAGAATAAGTTTAATTAATTAACTAAACGGATTCAAATAAATATTCTATCTTTTACACTTACATAATTTTTAAAATTTTTTAGTCAAAGGTAATAATGGCATAACTGATAGCCAAATAACTAAGAACATAAAAAAAAAAAAAAACTGAAGTTCAGACAATTAATGTGGTACAGTACTCACATTTCTCAGGCAGCTTGCTATAATCAAACCTCTTCATATTGGGGAGGTGTCCAGTCATTGGCGTACTGAAGGCAAAGTCATTGTGAAGCTCTGTCTGCTGGAGGATGGACTGGGTGTTGTCCTGAATCAGGGAGTGGAACTGTAGAACCGAAGCATCCTCTCCCAACGTTGTGGCATCAGCATACTCATAGTTCTGAAAGTCTTTTGTGGTCCTGTTGCCTATGAGTGATCTGTCTTGTTTGGGTTGAAAGTTCAAAGTATCGTTGGGATGAGCTTTCCAGTTGTGATGGACAGAGGTGGGCCAGGAGTGTGGAGCTTCAAGGTGGGAGTTGTAAGCATTGATGGACACACTCTCTAGCGTCATGTTTGTCTGGTTGGTCTCCTCAGCCACCAGACTGTACAACTGTTTTTGTGACTGGGATATGGAGGGCTCGTAGATTTCAGGTATCTGCGAGAGGTGCGACCTTAGTGACAAGTCCTTATATGGAATGTGAGCTGGCGTCATCATGTCTGTGTTGGGGTGGGAGCTCTTCCCTAGAGGGTGAGCCGACTGATGAGACATAGACACATGCAAGGTTTTGAACCCAGCTGAGCTGTGATCAGGCAAGTCTGACTTGCCATCGACTACCACAGTTGAGTCGGAGCTGTTAGCCAGGTCCCCAGGGGCAAGTGAACACTCCAGCAGCGTCATGCCACTGATGGACCCCAGCTCTGTACCCCTGTGGCTGAGTTCAACAGAACTTGGAACACCTGAATCCTTGGATCTCTCACTCTCCTGACATTCCGGACCTCTAGGCTGGGACGAGCCAGGTTTGCTAGACTGCTGTGCCAGTCTGGGAATCCGACTCTTTGATTTGTTTCTATGAGGCAACAAGCTACTTGAAACAGGGAACGGGACTTTGAACACAGGCGACACCTCTCCAGCATCAGCCTTGTTCTGTGTGTCAACTCCCTCAAATCCCAGTGTATTTCTAGTCCCAGATTTTCCTGCACCACTAAGACTGTCCTCATTACTTATCACAGGAGAACTCACTTGGCTAGAACTTCCTTCACTTTTTGCCACAACCCCCTGCTTGTATTTACTGCCATCTTTACCACCCACCGAGGCTTCACTGACTGCCGCTGCACTCCTTATCTCAACAAAACTCATCTCAGGTTTGGGGAGTTTGTTTTCCTTAGCAACGGCAGATCTGGCTGCCTTCTTCTCATCCACTTTTTTCTCCACCTCTGAGAGAATCAGCTTCTCTGGGTTGGTCATGTTGAACTGGGACTTCTCTAGCAGCTTGTGCAGGCTGCTGAATGTCAGGTCTGAGAACAAGAAAAAGTTGTGTCTTATGAATCATTTTCATTAACTTTTGATATTTGATAGAAACTAAGGAAACTAAGGATAGTGATAACTATTTTCCCATTCATTATTTTTCCCTAGAGCCCAAGACACAGTGTAGTAGAGTTAATTTGTTTTAATAACATTGGCGTGTAAAGGCATTGTGTGGTTAGTACTATGCCCTGCTGCCTTAGTTTTCACACTTGAGTCAGGTACCCATCAGAGCAATGTGAGTCAGGTACCCATCAGAGCAATGTGAGTCAGGTACCCATCAGAGCAACATGAGTCAGGTACCCGTAACATGAGTCAGGTACCCGTCAGAGCAACATGAGTCAGGTACCCATCAGAGCAACATGAGTCAGGTACCCGTAACATGAGTCAGGTACCCGTCAGAGCAACATGAGTCAGGTACCCATCAGAGCAACATGAGTCAGGTACCCATCAGAGCAACATGAGTCAGGTACCCATCAGAGCAATGTGAGTCAGGTACCCATCAGAGCAACATGAGTCAGGTACCCGTAACATGAGTCAGGTACCCGTCAGAGCAACATGAGTCAGGTACCCATCAGAGCAACATGAGTCAGGTACCCATCAGAGCAATGTGAGTCAGGTACCCATCAGAGCAACATGAGTCAGGTACCCATCAGAGCAACATGAGTCAGGTACCCATCAGAGCAACATGAGTCAGGTACCCATCAGAGCAACATGAGTCAGGTACCCATCAGAGCAACATGAGTCAGGTACCCATCAGAGCAACATGAGTCAGGTACCCATCAGAGCAACATGAGTCAGGTACCCATCAGAGCAACATGAGTCAGGTACCCATCAGAGCAACATGAGTCAGGTACCCATCAGAGCAACATGAGTCAGGTACCCATCAGAGCAATGTGAGTCAGGTACCCATCAGAGCAACATGAGTCAGGTACCCATCAGAGCAACATGAGTCAGGTACCCATCAGAGCAACATGAGTCAGGTACCCATCAGAGCAACATGAGTCAGGTACCCATCAGAGTAAGATAGACTAAGGGTCGACATGCTAACTCATGTCCAGATTCCAAACCTTTGGGTTAGCAGTTTCATGTTTTAATATCCTATATTTTCCCAAGAATTATAGCATAAGTCATAAACAAAACTACCTGTCATTAAAAAAAACCACCCACCACCAACACAATTCATATTTGGCTGCAACCAGAAAATAAGTTTCTCAAAGTAGCTTTTGTTTTCACCTTTTAAACCCAATTTAGTTCAAAAATATAAAGTTAACCTTTTGGACTTGGGGATTAATAAAATAGAGTGAATGGCAGATGAAGTAGAGTTCAACTGTTTCTGTATATACTAAGGGATAGTGTGGTCAGTTTTTTAGAAGGTTGGATGCAAGGACATCTTACCAGTTTAGAGTCTTTTAATCTCAATGTCTTAAAGTTACTACATTCAGCATCATAGTAAGAACCTACCAGTGGCAGTAGAGTTGACAGTCATATCTTGCGCTTCCCTCAAGTACTGGGAGAGATTGGAAAAGGAAGAATCAGGGTAGGTATCCTTGCTGTCTTTAACCCTGGGGCTTGAACTTGGTGTGTTTGTGTTTTGGGTGACTTCTGCGAAGGGGGTGCTTTTCATCCCTTTTGTGTCAACTTCAGAATTTGTTTTTGTAACCTTGCTGATAGTAGGCACATCAATAAAGTTGAGGGGCGGCTTGTCGAAAATCTGAGAGTCCCTGTCAAAGACCGGGCTCAAATTTCTAGTGATGTTGTCAGTGAACTGTTTGAAATTTGGCTTCAAGCTGATAGGTGGGCTTTGGCTTTGTTGTGAGAGGGGAAAAACAATGGAGTCATCCATCAGGTTTGTCTCTTTTGTGAAAGTTCTGAGCTGAGCAGGCAGTTGTTTGAGTTCAACAGAAGGCGTTGGCTTCTTGGTTTTAGGCTCTTCAGGGCTGGATACTAGAATGAAGTTGGAAATTACGACTAAAATTTCTTGCTTAATTGGTTGATCCAAGTATAGGATATAAAAAAAACCATGTACAGGTGGAAAAGAAGGAAATGGAGTCGAAACAAATTTGGTAAAACATACGTTTTTCAGGTGAGATGATAGGGTTGACAACTCTGGTGGAAGGTGGGCTAAATACTGGCATGCCCAGGTCAGGCTGTAACAAGGACAGGTTAAAACAATTCAACAGATGGACGATCAATGATAAAACTTAAGCCCTAATCATATCAGGTATAGGCACCAGCACATACCATGATCTGCTACTGACCACAAACGTCTAGATTTACAATTACTAATTGTTTGGTCGGTGAAATTCGTCTCCCTCCATCAGATCTCTATCCTCTCAAAAGAGATAGTTGTTTTCAGGGACACTTAAGTTAATCATCTTATTTTAGCCTCTTACATTATGCTATATTAATGACTGGCTGTATTGTTAATAAAGAGAAACTTTATTTCTTTTCTAGGGCTGTAGTACGGCAAGCTTTGCAGCGCATCAGTTATAAACATAAAGAACAAACTGTTACACTGACCCTCTTGCAGGAAGTCAAGGAACCCATCTCTTCAGACTTAGCCCCCATGTAGGTTGCTATTGTCATGTTCATAAAAGTCTGGTCGTCACCCCTAACAGACCCCGTAAACATAAACAACAAACAGTTACACTGACCCTCTTGCAGGAAGTCAAGGAACCCATCTCTTCAGACTTAGCCCCCATGTAGGTTGCTATTGTCATGTTCATAAAAGTCTGGTCGTCACCCCTAACAGACCCCCGTAAACATAAACAACAAACAGTTACACTGACCCTCTTGCAGGAAGTCAAGGAACCCATCTCTTCAGACTTAGCCCCCATGTAGGTTGCTATTGTCATGTTCATAAAAGTCTGGTCGTCACCCCTAACAGACCCCCGTAAACATAAACAACAAACAGTTACACTGACCCTCTTGCAGGAAGTCAAGGAACCCATCTCTTCAGACTTAGCCCCCATGTAGGTTGCTATTGTCATGTTCATAAAAGTCTGGTCGTCACCCCTAACAGACCCCCGTAAACATAAACAACAAACAGTTACACTGACCCTCTTGCAGGAAGTCAAGGAACCCATCTCTTCAGACTTAGCCCCCATGTAGGTTGCTATTGTCATGTTCATAAAAGTCTGGTCGTCACCCCTAACAGACCCCCGTAAACATAAACAACAAACAGTTACACTGACCCTCTTGCAGGAAGTCAAGGAACCCATCTCTTCAGACTTAGCCCCCATGTAGGTTGCTATTGTCATGTTCATAAAAGTCTGGTCGTCACCCCTAACAGACCCCCGTAAACATAAACAACAAACAGTTACACTGACCCTCTTGCAGGAAGTCAAGGAACCCATCTCTTCAGACTTAGCCCCCATGTAGGTTGCTATTGTCATGTTCATAAAAGTCTGGTCGTCACCCCTAACAGACCCCCGTAAACATAAACAACAAACAGTTACACTGACCCTCTTGCAGGAAGTCAAGGAACCCATCTCTTCAGACTTAGCCCCCATGTAGGTTGCTATTGTCATGTTCATAAAAGTCTGGTCGTCACCCCTAACAGACCCCCGTAAACATAAACAACAAACAGTTACACTGACCCTCTTGCAGGAAGTCAAGGAACCCATCTCTTCAGACTTAGCCCCCATGTAGGTTGCTATTGTCATGTTCATAAAAGTCTGGTCGTCACCCCTAACAGACCCCCGTAAACATAAACAACAAACAGTTACACTGACCCTCTTGCAGGAAGTCAAGGAACCCATCTCTTCAGACTTAGCCCCCATGTAGGTTGCTATTGTCATGTTCATAAAAGTCTGGTCGTCACCCCTAACAGACCCCCGTAAACATAAACAACAAACAGTTACACTGACCCTCTTGCAGGAAGTCAAGGAACCCATCTCTTCAGACTTAGCCCCCATGTAGGTTGCTATTGTCATGTTCATAAAAGTCTGGTCGTCACCCCTAACAGACCCCCGTAAACATAAACAACAAACAGTTACACTGACCCTCTTGCAGGAAGTCAAGGAACCCATCTCTTCAGACTTAGCCCCCATGTAGGTTGCTATTGTCATGTTCATAAAAGTCTGGTCGTCACCCCTAACAGACCCCCGTAAACATAAACAACAAACAGTTACACTGACCCTCTTGCAGGAAGTCAAGGAACCCATCTCTTCAGACTTAGCCCCCATGTAGGTTGCTATTGTCATGTTCATAAAAGTCTGGTCGTCACCCCTAACAGACCCCCGTAAACATAAACAACAAACAGTTACACTGACCCTCTTGCAGGAAGTCAAGGAACCCATCTCTTCAGACTTAGCCCCCATGTAGGTTGCTATTGTCATGTTCATAAAAGTCTGGTCGTCACCCCTAACAGACCCCCGTAAACATAAACAACAAACAGTTACACTGACCCTCTTGCAGGAAGTCAAGGAACCCATCTCTTCAGACTTAGCCCCCATGTAGGTTGCTATTGTCATGTTCATAAAAGTCTGGTCGTCACCCCTAACAGACCCCCGTAAACATAAACAACAAACAGTTACACTGACCCTCTTGCAGGAAGTCAAGGAACCCATCTCTTCAGACTTAGCCCCCATGTAGGTTGCTATTGTCATGTTCATAAAAGTCTGGTCGTCACCCCTAACAGACCCCCGTAAACATAAACAACAAACAGTTACACTGACCCTCTTGCAGGAAGTCAAGGAACCCATCTCTTCAGACTTAGCCCCCATGTAGGTTGCTATTGTCATGTTCATAAAAGTCTGGTCGTCACCCCTAACAGACCCCCGTAAACATAAACAACAAACAGTTACACTGACCCTCTTGCAGGAAGTCAAGGAACCCATCTCTTCAGACTTAGCCCCCATGTAGGTTGCTATTGTCATGTTCATAAAAGTCTGGTCGTCACCCCTAACAGACCCCCGTAAACATAAACAACAAACAGTTACACTGACCCTCTTGCAGGAAGTCAAGGAACCCATCTCTTCAGACTTAGCCCCCATGTAGGTTGCTATTGTCATGTTCATAAAAGTCTGGTCATCACCCCTAACAGACCCCGTAAACATAAACAACGAACAGTTATACTGACCCTCTTGCAGGAAGTCAAGGAACCCATCTCTTCAGACTTAGCCCCCATGTAGGTTGCTATTGTCATGTTCATAAAAGTCTGGTCGTCACCCCTAACAGACCCCCGTAAACATAAACAACAAACAGTTACACTGACCCTCTTGCAGGAAGTCAAGGAACCCATCTCTTCAGACTTAGCCCCCATGTAGGTTGCTATTGTCATGTTCATAAAAGTCTGGTCGTCACCCCTAACAGACCCCCGTAAACATAAACAACAAACAGTTACACTGACCCTCTTGCAGGAAGTCAAGGAACCCATCTCTTCAGACTTAGCCCCCATGTAGGTTGCTATTGTCATGTTCATAAAAGTCTGGTCATCACCCCTAACAGACCCCCGTAAACATAAACAACAAACAGTTATACTGACCCTCTTGCAGGAAGTCAAGGAACCCATCTCTTCAGACTTAGCCCCCATGTAGGTTGCTATTGTCATGTTCATAAAAGTCTGGTCGTCACCCCTAACAGACCCCCGTAAACATAAACAACAAACAGTTACACTGACCCTCTTGCAGGAAGTCAAGGAACCCATCTCTTCAGACTTAGCCCCCATGTAGGTTGCTATTGTCATGTTCATAAAAGTCTGGTCGTCACCCCTAACAGACCCCCGTAAACATAAACAACAAACAGTTACACTGACCCTCTTGCAGGAAGTCAAGGAACCCATCTCTTCAGACTTAGCCCCCATGTAGGTTGCTATTGTCATGTTCATAAAAGTCTGGTCGTCACCCCTAACAGACCCCCGTAAACATAAACAACAAACAGTTACACTGACCCTCTTGCAGGAAGTCAAGGAACCCATCTCTTCAGACTTAGCCCCCATGTAGGTTGCTATTGTCATGTTCATAAAAGTCTGGTCGTCACCCCTAACAGACCCCCGTAAACATAAACAACAAACAGTTACACTGACCCTCTTGCAGGAAGTCAAGGAACCCATCTCTTCAGACTTAGCCCCCATGTAGGTTGCTATTGTCATGTTCATAAAAGTCTGGTCGTCACCCCTAACAGACCCCCGTAAACATAAACAACAAACAGTTACACTGACCCTCTTGCAGGAAGTCAAGGAACCCATCTCTTCAGACTTAGCCCCCATGTAGGTTGCTATTGTCATGTTCATAAAAGTCTGGTCGTCACCCCTAACAGACCCCCGTAAACATAAACAACAAACAGTTACACTGACCCTCTTGCAGGAAGTCAAGGAACCCATCTCTTCAGACTTAGCCCCCATGTAGGTTGCTATTGTCATGTTCATAAAAGTCTGGTCGTCACCCCTAACAGACCCCCGTAAACATAAACAACAAACAGTTACACTGACCCTCTTGCAGGAAGTCAAGGAACCCATCTCTTCAGACTTAGCCCCCATGTAGGTTGCTATTGTCATGTTCATAAAAGTCTGGTCGTCACCCCTAACAGACCCCCGTAAACATAAACAACAAACAGTTACACTGACCCTCTTGCAGGAAGTCAAGGAACCCATCTCTTCAGACTTAGCCCCCATGTAGGTTGCTATTGTCATGTTCATAAAAGTCTGGTCGTCACCCCTAACAGACCCCCGTAAACATAAACAACAAACAGTTACACTGACCCTCTTGCAGGAAGTCAAGGAACCCATCTCTTTAGACTTAGCCCCCATGTAGGTTGCTATTGTCATGTTCATAAAAGTCTGGTCGTCACCCCTAACAGACCCCCGTAAACATAAACAACAAACAGTTACACTGACCCTCTTGCAGGAAGTCAAGGAACCCATCTCTTCAGACTTAGCCCCCATGTAGGTTGCTATTGTCATGTTCATAAAAGTCTGGTCATCACCCCTAACAGACCCCGTAAACATAAACAACGAACAGTTATACTGACCCTCTTGCAGGAAGTCAAGGAACCCATCTCTTCAGACTTAGCCCCCATGTAGGTTGCTATTGTCATGTTCATAAAAGTCTGGTCGTCACCCCTAACAGACCCCCGTAAACATAAACAACAAACAGTTACACTGACCCTCTTGCAGGAAGTCAAGGAACCCATCTCTTCAGACTTAGCCCCCATGTAGGTTGCTATTGTCATGTTCATAAAAGTCTGGTCGTCACCCCTAACAGACCCCCGTAAACATAAACAACAAACAGTTACACTGACCCTCTTGCAGGAAGTCAAGGAACCCATCTCTTCAGACTTAGCCCCCATGTAGGTTGCTATTGTCATGTTCATAAAAGTCTGGTCATCACCCCTAACAGACCCCCGTAAACATAAACAACAAACAGTTATACTGACCCTCTTGCAGGAAGTCAAGGAACCCATCTCTTCAGACTTAGCCCCCATGTAGGTTGCTATTGTCATGTTCATAAAAGTCTGGTCGTCACCCCTAACAGACCCTAAGGTGGTGCTGAAAAACTGGGAAAGCAAATTGTGTGTTGTATGTTTCATTTTCATTCAAAGAATGCACAGTAATATAAAACATAATTAGTTAGAAACTAAAGAACTATGTATAATAATATCAATAAACAATCACTTTGAAGAAATAAATATTTGCATAACATATAAACAGGATTTAGTATCCAACTTTTACTTAACTTAGATGCCACTAATAAATAGCAACTATCTAAATATATCTGTGTCTGAATGCTGTTTGACTTCAACAACTTATTACATAGTTCTCTGGATGAGGGAGCATAGGATGGAGACTACGATAGGCCAACAAAGATCAGCATACAGTTCACTCCTGTTAAGTCACCTCAATTAAAATATGAGTGTTTGTTGAAGGAACTAAAGCATCAAGTCGGTTTAAAATCTAACCTCATTAGTGTCCAGATGATCCTTTTTGAATTGCTGCTCATCTTCTTCCAGCATGGCAGCAACAGCCCCTACAGGTTCAGAAAGTGTAACAATCTTAAAGACTTAAATTAGGATTTAAAATTGTCTTTACCCTCAAGCCATTTTAAAAAAAAATCAGAACATGAATTGAGTAAAAATCAGTATGCCATACATTTATGCCCTTTGTTACAAATGAAAAGTGAAGATCTAGAAGGAAACAAAACGTTTGAGTTTAAAAACAGCTAATTTTTATGACATACCTGAATCCTCCATGAAATCTTCCCCACCAAAATCCTCATTGAAATCATTGCCAAAGTCCCCAAAAGGGTTGTAACTTGACTGGCTGTTCTGGTTGTCATTTTGTTCTGTAAAAAATTATTTCTAAAATGTATTCGCTGCCTGCATTAGTCAGTAATTGTTATTTAAATTATTAACAATAAATTAATACCAGAAGATAAATCTGAGATGTTTTTGTTTGTTAAGCTTCACTTAAAATTCACGTGAAAGTTAATATTTTGAGCTGCCATTTTCCCAAAGTTAAATATTAAACTGAAAAACAAAAGGTAGACAATAATGACCTGGCTGTTAATTACAAATAGCATGTACAGGGTATTTACTAAGCAATGAGGGAACTAATTGAGAAATTTTATCAAAGGGTACATGCAACATAAATGCGGAATTTCAGCAGGTTTCAATGACATTCTGGAATTCCATGAACCCTGTCTAAACCTTTTTTGTCGGGTAGTTGTCTCAAATGGATTGGTTCAGTGTCTGATCGTATGCACACATAATTTTTTCAAGCTGAACATACAGGAACTTGAGGAAACTCAGCTAATTTTTAGAATTCTTTGTGCACTCACTGTTCTCATCAACACTCCATGTGGCCTGGTGAATCCCTTTACAAGAGAGGGGCGTCTCAGGAAGCTGGACAGAATCAGCAAACTGGATGGAGGGCCCCCATTCTGATGTTTGTTCATTAGTCTGATGAGATGTGATGGAGTCCACAAACACATTGGAGGTTTCCGCATCAGGTGAGTGGTTGGCAGACGATGTAGCGTTTGGACCAAAAGGCTCATTGGCTAGAAGGGTACAAACAGGTGAAATTCTTCTGCTGGTAATTTTTAATTATATTGATGTAATAGTTACATAATTTATTCATAAATTTTAAAAAAAAAGCACTGACCTAATTTATTTAACGTGAGTGGCTTTTTGGGTGGCAAAGGTATTTTAAATGGCCCATCCATAAATGGAAATGCAGCATCCATTATTTTGGGTGAATTTTCTTCAATGGTTTTTATTTCATTCAATATATCTAATCTGTAATGTAATTTAGGAAAATATTAAAAAATGCTTAAATATATACATATAAATAATTATATATATATATATATATATGTGTGTGTCTCTCTCTATATATATATTCCCATACACACCCACAAACAACAGTAAACAGCCTTAAAGGATGAGGACATCAAGTCAGTGCTAAGTTACAAAATATACAGGCTATCCTTCCTGAATGCATAATATAAAAAGGTGAATAAGTATATGATAATTTAACATCATCATTACAATAAAACAAGTGAGTAAAAGTTTGTTTACCTCATTTCCTGGCTGTTTGCCCTTTCAACTTTTTCTGGAGACAACTCTGTTTTAAAATTTGATCAAAGTTAAAGACCAAATCAACAATAGCAGTGATTTTTAAAAAGTTACAAAATGATTAGAAAAATCAATGTTACCTTCATCAGAAAAATCATTCTCAAGATCTGAAAAAGACTGTTCCAATTCTTTAAGATCTTCAGCTTCCAGCTCAATCTATGAAAATATTGTTATTTCTCAGATATAATAATTAAAAACTCAAACAATTGTGTAGAAATTTTAAATATAACTTGTGCTTCAAGAGTCAATTTCTTAAAACTTAAAAAAAATTATCTACTTTGCTGGGTCACAATTTACCTATAATTATTTTCAGCAAGAGCTGAGATAAAAATTAGATTTGGATTTTTTGACGAAACACTTAAGATTTAAATTCACTCTCACTGTAGCTTGGAGAGTTGTTGACTTGATGAATAAATAAATTTGAACTCACTACATTGATGGTATGATCCGCCTCATCTTGGTCCTCCTCTTCCAGTGCTTGATTGTAATCTTGCTGCTGTCCCTTGATTTCTGGAGTTGTCTGAACAAAAGTGATCGCTCGACTCAGCACCCCAGCAAAATCTGAGGCACTAAAGCTCATATTTTTTCTGCTTTCAATCAACCGTTTGGATTCAAAGCTGACAATGCTTTTCTCTCCTGGCTGAGAGGTCTGTGAGGCAAGAGAACTGTCATCAGCATCACCCCCATCAAACAGTTTAGCCAGCGTTTGTGTCTTTGAACTATCCGGCATGCCGGAGCTGCTGGCCTTGTCACCAGATTGGTTCAGTTCATGATGGCTCCCAGCAAACACTGTCTGCCCCATGCCACTGTGGCCCACATAGCTGAACTTTGACCCTGTGAAATTAGTTTGCCCCATTCCTGAATCTGTGGTTTGGTGGAACTCTTCAGCCACATGTCTGGACTCATGAGTCTGCCTTACATCGTTCCCTTCTGGCGCATGGCCCTCCAGGTTCTGTTCGTTCTCTTCCTCAACACTCTGAAAAAGTGCTTGAGGGATGTACCGACCACCCTGCCTGCCACCAGCTCCTATGGTGAGTACAAGGAAATCACAATAGCAATTACTACAGCAGAAAAAATATGTATACTAATAATGATCTTTAAGATTTAAAAAAATAATTCAATTAGTTTTAGCAACCAAATTACAATCAACCATAAACACACTGAATGGGGAATGTAATAAAAGACAAATATGACCAATATCTCATTCTGTTTCATATTTTAATGATTGCTCAGCAAGTATTGTGGGACGGCATGGCCTAGCAGTAGAGTGCTAGACTGCTAACCCAAAAAGTCTCAAGTAAAAATCCAGGTTCAAGTCATAAGAATGTCCCTGAGTCCACCCAGCTCTGATTGATACCTAACTAACAATAGGGAAAGTAAACTTGCCCCATGAACTGTTAGGTTCGAATTGGGAATTTTATTTGGGTGTAGGACAAAAGGCCGACATCCAAAAGGCCGACACGACATAAGGCCGACAAGCATGACAATCATCTAAATGGGATTCCAGAAAGGGAAAACAGAACTACACTTGAATTTTTACGTGGTGTAGCATACAATTTGTCATACTAGGCACTACTTTTTTCTATTTTGTAATATACCTTAATCATTATGTAACTGGTTTTCAATAAAAATTAAACATGTCTGTAATTGTAGTTTGTTGTTTTATAAAACTTGTCGGCCTTTTGTCCGTGTACGCCTTTTGTCCGGATCCCATTTTATTTAACTTACATCAAGTATCAAAACAGATAAAAGTTCCTGATAGAAAACCCCTAAGACAAAATTGTATGCTTTCATATACTGTAAAACACAATGTTCATTACAATCAAACAGCTGCTAGTACCTTGAGGACATTTCTTGACTGTAGTGGGGAAGTCATGAGAGTTGGAGTCTGAGGTTTGTTCACGTGATGAGGCAGATTCCACAGAGGAGACCTTGCTGTACAAGTTGTTGCTGCTGCTGTTCACTGGAGCCCGGGCCAAGCCTGGTGTATCCAGGGGTAAAATACTCTGAGAGAGACCTGAATTACAGTAACCATTAATAAAATAATAGAAAAAAAGTGGACAAAGAAATTTTAATTTACTAGAAATGGGGTGGCATTATTTTAAAAAATTACTTTCAATTAGAGAAAATTTGTTTTTAAAAAATGAATAACAAAAATAATCTTTAAAAAGAGTAACAGAAAAATACATTTTTTCATGTTAATTATAAATTACCGCACGTATATATAAAATGAGTAATAAGAAGAAAATGATTGCTGCAAGTAAACTTTTTAATATAATTGAGTAATACATTTAAATATATCACCTTCTCCAAAACTAGATAATCTAAAAATTTATAAAGCTTCACTACATCTTAAAGATAGAAAAATAGACGTGCTTCATGCTCTCATTTATTAAATACAACACCAGTTATAAGATATATAATTGATGTGTCTACATTCAGGTTAGTAGTTGAACAAAGTTATAGCAACTTTATAATAAAAACAAAATTAAAATTATAAGTTTTGTGATAAAATTGTATTAGATAACCTCACTATTTTAAAAATACAAAATTTCTTTTTGAATTATTTAGAAAATTTTGTTCATAATTGACATAAAAATAATTCCACTAATAGTTCTTTATAACTTAAAATAGAAAATATTTTATGAAAGGCAGAAATTATAAATTATAAACGATCAACTACTAGCAGAATTACAGAGGCTAAATAAAAATTGCAAAAAAGTACTATCAACACATTAGCAAACAGAATTGTGAACCCTGTTCATCTTACTTATAACATCCTTGCGTAGAAGGTCTGTTTCTATACCAAAGAAAAGTTTCAAACATATTTAAAAATAAAGAAATAGTAAAAAAAAAAAAAATTAACTTAATACCTAATAAATAAATTAATATTTAATAAAAGTTAATTCTAGTGTTAATTTACAAAACAAGGAATAAATTACCTAGCAGGCAATTACTTGGTAGAAGTCCAAGTGAAGACCTATCATCACTGCTGGATCTGAAAAAAAAACGTAAATTAATTGTACATTGTTAATTAGGAAATATATATATATATCAATACCTTAAGCTTTAAAAAAAAAAAAAAAAAAAAAAGAATAAATTTCTTTAAATCATGAAAACCAAACTAATTCTGAACCCTTGAGGAAAATTAAATAAATTAAATTTCGGGTACCAAATTTGAAAAAGTTGTTCAAACGCTGTATAACCTAATCTAACAGCAAAGTCACAAACACTTAAACATTTTATAGTACACCAATTTTCTGAATGGTTGATGATTTAGATTTTTGTGCCAGAATACATAAAAATATGTTGACTATTTTTATATTTTACAATTTCAAAATCACTTTCTTTTATTCTATATGAATTATTGTTGTAGGAACTATTTAAGCAGCTTTAAAATTAAACATTTCATGATTACTGACTCAAAAGCCCCAAAAAATTAAATGTGGTAAGGACTTTACATCATAGTAGAATTCAACTTACAAGTTATTGTCTACTTCTGGTGATAAGGACTTCAAAAAAGAACCTCCAGTATCTTGAGGAATTTGTCTGCGAAATCTAGAAAAAAAAAATATCAAAGATCCAACATTAAACTACTTTATTCAAAAAGGTATGTAAATAAACCTAGATTATTAAATAGTTTTATTTTAATGCACGGGTCAAGTAAAATGTTCTCACCCTCTCTCTCTGCCAACAGTGGACGCTGCCATAGGAGCTGGGGTACATGCTAAAGTTCTTTCATCAATACAAGATGTATACCCTTCAGCCCCAGTCAGTAATGTCTCATCTATTGGGCTGTTTGTATTATCCATTTTTTAATATGTTCTGTGGAATAAACACATTATATTCTACTATTTAAAGTATTTTAAAGAGCAGAGACAGATTTAACTATAGCTAATATAATTTATTTAACAATTTTAATATGTTTATGTTATTTTATACGGCTATCAAATTTATTTTCTGTTGGTATTGTTACCCTTACAGTGATAAACAGCAGAAATTTTTTTTTTAATAAAAAAAAACAACAACAGGTGTTTTGTACAGGTGTTTTGTGGAAGGAATCTGATCACAACACAAGTCTGCTTATCTTCCACCTCTTCTTCTGGCTTATAAGAATTCTTAATTCTAGGACTGCGGGGTCTACACATAATTAAAAAACGTAAGCTTTTTATTTTGCTCGGTTACTATTATTTAACTAAATATACATAAGCCTATGTATAACTTGCTAATGACAATGCTTACCCTATCCCAAATGCTACCATACGCCTAACCCTAGTGTTTTATCAGACATTGGTATACTTATATATTATTTTAGGGAATTTTATGGTGTTTGTGTGGCATTTCCTTAGGCCCTATAGTCTATAGCCCTATAGGCAGATCTTTCATTCTTTGTTAAGGGCCTATATCTTCAATTTTATTAGGCATAGTCATTGCTAGATGATGAGATCTATGTGAAAAACCAAATTATTGATAAATTGTTTTGAACTTTTTCAAAATTTTGATTATGCTAGTGACTAATCTTATGACTAATCTTATCACTATGTGTTGTGAATGTGACTACCAGTTACTGAAATTACCAAAACAACAAAATTTATTTAATGAAGTCCGATAGGATAAACGCCAAACAATCTAGTTTTCAAAAGGCTAACTATTAATTTAATAATTAGGCCTAACTTTTTAAACTAATTTAAACTATTTAATGACCCATTCTTAGCTTTTCTTGTTGTGTCCATTGACAAAACCCAAATAATTAAAATCAGTCAGAAAATGTAGACTAAAAATTTAAAATGATTTGGTTTGACAGGAGTGAAAAAGACACAAAAAGACGAGTCGAACAAACTGCAACGAATATGTCAAAATAGTAAATAAAACAGAAAATCGATAATCTAAAATGTTTAGTTGTCGTATTTACATTGACTGCGTTGGCAGACACATTGACGCAATATTAACGATGAACAACACCATGTAATAGTGTTGTGTGATCAGTCATCGAATCTTTTAAATAGCCGCCATAGAGCCTGCACAACATATGATATCATTCCTTCCTAACCGAAATGTGTTGTTTGATTGGCCAGAGCAAGGTTAATATTTTTAATCGAAAGCTAATCAGTTTTAGCGGTTGAAAATTTTACGCTAGAGAGTTGCCCCTACCCTAGCCAAGTCTAGTCTACTTTCTAGATCTAGATCTAGATCTATCACTATTATTTTATATTTACCTTCTTTATTTTGAAATAGAATTCGCTGCATTATTTTGTTTTATTTTAGAAGGCCTTGTAAAGTTGAACAAAACTGTTCTGAAATCCAGTTAGTATAATTTAATAAGTATAATAATACAGATCTAGAATCTAGATCTAGATGAAATGATTAAATTTATATTTTATTATATTTTATAACATAACAGTAATCAGTAACAGTATTCAGTATTCACTTCAGATAAACTATAGTATATTTTATAGCCTAAAGTATATTAATTAATTAAACCTAAACTATAGGCTTCAATAAATTTTAAATTATTTAATAATTAAATTAGATATTAAAAATACTTTAAATGAACATTTTAAAGAATTAACTTCAGTGTATTTGTATAATATTAGTATATTAAAAATTATTATTATCTCTAGATTACTAAACATTCTTCAATTCAACATTTATCTTAAAATTTCAGAAACCGAGGGAGAGGTAAAGCACAATGAATAAACTAGCAACAATATTACTTTGTGCAAACTTCATTACAGTTTTGTTTCCCCAACCAGGGTACATTCATCCTGATGAGTTTTTTCAGTCTTCAGAAATAGTTGCAGGTATTTAGTACTATTTACTGCTTTGTCTGATTTGTCTTGAACCATGTATACTTAAATTTACCTTACATACATAACATTGAGCTATATCATAAAAACATACTTCAGATTAAGTTGAAGATATAAAATAATGATTATAAAAATTATAGTTGTCATTTTTATTTCTCCAGGTGATATTCTTAAAGTCAAACACTCAAGAGCATGGGAATTCAATGAATCATTTCCTGTACGTAGTATTGTCTTCCCATACCTGGTTATTTCTCCATCAATGTACTTGCTTCGATGGTTAAACTCAACAGGTGCTGCAAGTCTCCAGTTATCAGCAGTCAAGGTTGTCACAGCAACAAGACTGCCACAAGCTTTTCTTAGTGTCATCGGCTACCTAGCAACTGGAAAACTAGCAAGTGTTTTTGGCATTGATAAATATTTTAGCACAGTGCTTTTCTGCAGCTCTTATGTATGCTGGACTTACTTGACCAGGACGTTTTCTAATTCAGTCGAGGCTGCGTTATTTGCAGTGGTGCTACTTCTGGTCCTGCCAGGATTCAGTTCATGTAAAACAGATTCTGATCAGTTGGAGAAGAAATCACAAAAGAAAAAGACTGAAATTTCAGATAAGGAGCAAGATGAAGACAAAGATCCGTCAAGCACTCGAAAGCCTACTGACAATGATATATCAGATACAGCAGAGCATGACAACAGAGAGGACACGGATGAAAGCGATGATAAAATAAAAGACAGTGATGATGTTAAATTGATCTCTAATGTGGATAAAAATCTTCCTTATGTAAACAATGATGGCTCTACATTTATATCTTTTCTTTTAGGCGTAGTTGTTGTTGCTGGGTTTTTCAATCGGCCAACATTTCTTGTGTTTGTTCTTATTCCAATGCTGTTCTGGATACGACAAGTGTTTGCAACAAACAGATTTTTCTCTCATTTATTCTGCCTGATTATAGGCTCTCTTTCAGCTTTTTCTTTTTTTGTGGGAGCTGATACATTTTATTTCAATCCTAAATTTACCAAGACTCTCTTATCTATAATGGATCATTTAGTATCTGGCCAGTATTCAGCAAACTCTGTTATTGAGAGTGTTCAGGTTTTTACATCTTCTTTAGTTGTAACCCCCTGGAATTTTATAAAGTATAATACAGACTCGTCAAATTTAGCAGAACATGGCATTCATTCTCGGTTCACTCATTTTTTTGTGAACCTTCCCCTGCTAGCTGGACCATTATACCTTGTGTTTGTGATTTCTTGTGTGCTAGAAATGTTGAAGCTTACTCAAAACCAACGACCAAAAGGGAGGAATACTCTCTGGTTAGTGCTGATGGTTCTTGTTCCAGTTCTCTGCTTGTCTGTTTTCCCCCACCAGGAACCAAGATTTCTAATCCCAATCTTGCCTGTTCTGGTTGTCATGGGCGCAAGAATGCTTTCAAAAGGTGTGCCAGGCAGGTTGTCTTTTATTGCTTTGTGGATATTCTTCAACCTACTTTTGACTGTTGTGTATGGCTATATGCACCAAGCAGCTCTCATTCCTGCTCTGTCAATCTACCAACAAAAGTTGTCTTCCATCAAGTCATCATTAGGAGAACACCATGCAATTTTTTACAAAACATACCCCCCACCCCGCCATCTCCTACTCCTAGACTCATCAAACACCCAAGTCTCCATTCACGATTTGGCAGGTGCACCTGTAAATAAGCTTCTGGCAAAAATAAAGGAAGAAAAAAAGATCTGTACCAAGAGTAAATCCAACTGCTATGTTTACATTTTTCTACCATCACCTGTGATGCCCCAAATTCAGAACCATCTATCTGGCTATAAAGTCTCAACCTCCAGCATATGCCCGCACCTTTCAATAGAAGCTCCCCCACGATTTCAAGCTTGGTGGAACAATAAGTTAAGCTTTGATGACTTCATAATGGATTTCTGTTTGAATATTCTTAAGATAACGTGATTGTTATAGTGGAGACATTTTTGTGTGTAATCGGTACATTGAATTTATCTGCTGTGCATAATAAGTAGATTTAGAACAATACTCTTCAGCTTGAGACTCTACATAATCAAATATTTTCTTGCTTTACTGTTTTATTAATTTTTGTATTATACTTTTTAAGGACAAATTATGTTGGTCTTCCAATATAAGGTTAGTAAAGCTAATGCATTTATCATGACAGATCTGTACACTTTTACTCATAGCTTGAGTTTTGCCAGCATTGGCTATACCAATATTGTCATTGCTACATCAATGTACAATACCAGTACTAAATAGTTTTTATTACATCATTTTTCTAGCATTTTTTAGAAATATTTTTTACAAATTCATCTGAGGCAGCAATTTATTTACAGGTTTTGAGTCAAAATTCATATTATTGTACTTGATAATTTAATGCAAAGCTACATAATCTGTTTTAAAAAACTTTGGAATACAAAATGAAATGGAATACAAAATGAAACAAGTGGGAAAATGTTTCTCTCTCTCTGGAAACAATCAGAATACAACTGACAGTTTGGTCTGGTTAATAAATAGTAATGCTAATGTTAGTGGATAGTAAACCTTTAAATTCTTTCTTTGTGGAGTATGTAGGCTACTTAGCAGCTAGTACATGAGGCTTGTAGCAATAAATAGAAAATTTAACAAAATTGTGTTCAATTACATATTTTATATATAGCTTTTCTCAATAATGTAGTCTACTGATTATTAGGGAATGTAATAAAGTAGATTGACTGTAGAAGAATGAGTGTCTAATCATAACTGTTTTTTTTTTTTATTTATTGCTATTTACATACAACAGGTATTTGAGGTATGTAGAACAGAAGCCATTAATTTGTACAGGTACTCCAAGTGGAACACAACCACTTAACATTTTTCTTAAGACATAGATCTATCTTCTTTATCTCCTATACTCAGAAACTTCCCAACATCAAAGAATAAATGAAAATAAAAATATTCAAAAGACAATAAAGGAATATATTGGAATAGATTTAATTTATTTTAAATAAATAATCCTTAGGTTTCTATATACAAAATATCCTTATCTAAAACTAATTTTGGACTGAAGTAGATAATTGGCCTGTATACTTGAGGCATTTTAAAAATATCAACAATTTCATTCATGTCTCTATAAAACAAACTAAATTTTCAAATATAAAAATGTATCTCAATACAAACTTGTCAGGATCATTTACCATTAGTTTCAAAATAAAATGCAGATACAAATAGTATTTGAAAGACAGCTTGGTTGAACTTCAACAAAGTAGTGTCAGGCAGATATACACATTTTACAGAATTTAACATTTGTCAAACTGACAAAAAATGTGGGTCTGCAGAATTCAACATTCTAAATTCACCAAAAAAAATGGACATACAGAATCCAACATTTCTCTAAAATGACAAGAAAAACACTCATTCACCTAAACTGAGTAACATATTTTCTCACACTTTCAAAGTTCATGCCAGTACAGTAAGTTTATATTTTTAAGAAAATGAACTCTCAAAGTCAGTCAAAATGTTTCATATCAATACACTGAACTATTAAAAGGCATAGAATAAAATACATATAGTAACTATGCTGCAAGGGAGGTAGCTTTTTCAATCTACATTTCTGGAGAGTATTGTTCCATGCATAGCAAAAACTTGTATTTCTTTATCAGTAACAGGTTAACAATAATCAAATAATCACAAGGAAAGAATTTACATTTTTAAAAATCACATTGGAAATAAAAATCTATAAATTTTGATAGATAAAATATCTAAACAAAAGCAAATTCAATTTAACATTAGTGGCTCACAAAACTGAGATACTAATTTTGGTATTGGCAGTCCATGTAGAATTACTAGAATATATCATTTAAGATCTGCTTAAAAATTAAACACCAGTATTAAGGTTTTAAAATTATACCTTTTGTACATTATGTTTTCAATATACTTTTTTCAAGATTAAACTAATCAAGCCTGAACAACACTGACATGTTTCACCGCTTAACTCTTGATGGCACATTACAAATTTTAAACTGCTCCAATTAAACATTCCATATACATCTGCTATACATCTGTTTGATTACGATGCTCAAACCTTAAATAAGAATAAACCGTGTCGGCTGTTAACGAAACCATGTTGTCATATAGGACTCTGTATTTTGCTGGAATGAAGTAAAAATTGACTGCCTGAGCTGGTGTCCATAAGATCAAGTCTGCTAGTAAGAGACGCACCCCTGTTTCCTGAAATTCTTTCTTCAACTTCGCAGTCCCTTGACCTTCACATGCACCAACAGTAAGCAAGAAAACTGTAACACAAGTTGGCGAAAACACCAGCTGATCCACAAAGATCTGAATAAAAAGAGGGTTAGTTAGAAAACAGATGTATTAAGATTTAATTTAAAGAAAAATTAGTAACAAAACGTCAGAGAAACTCTATGATAGGCTATTTTAAAATTAGTAAATTTTTTTAAATCTGGGAGATGTGGTGGCAGATGAATTATACTTTTTTATAGTTATTGTTATGCATATGAAGAAACTGCACAACAAGTACAATCCTTCACTTTCCCAGAATCCGGTTACACACTCGAGAGAGCTTGGTGGTTCCAGGCATACATGCAAGACTCAAGCTACCTGCTGGAATCTCTTAATAAAATTTAACAAGAACAAAACCAGTTTACTAAAATGCAGGATCCAATTTTCTTAAGCACATAGGAATATTAATGTGTACATACACTGATAACTTTGTATTATTTTACACAACTAATAATGAAACAAAATGTGCTTACCTTCTTAACTAGAACTTTTAAGCAGCGCCCTGGGAACCGTTTTTCCAAGAAAAGATACCAGTAATGAACAATAGGTCCAAGAGCAAGACCAGTCAAAGCCATCTTCATTGTTCGTCTGAGATCCCAGGTTCTAGCCCCATCACTTTTTAACCGCTGATAATGTTGTTGTATTGAATCTCCACTAACTGACATAGTAATACTTATGCCTGTATTGGTGTATACTATAAACTTCTTACTAAACAAAATACTAGTTCTCTGTCGAAGAAATTTCACGACTGGACGAGAGGCAATAGAAACTGCAGAGAGAGCCCTGGTTATCATGTTTGGTTTTAAACTGTTAAGGACTGGTTTACACAAGCTACTGGTTTATGTAAGTAATTAATTATGCCAATCAATAAACTAAATACTTGAAGCAATCTTGTCGTAAAATTAAAATCCTGCATTAGGTGTAAAATCTTTGCTAAGCTCATAAAAACTGATTCTTCTGGATACTTTTTCTCCATAATACAACTTTTTTTCCCATCAACTTGCCTGCCTTTATTCAAACAGATGTAGAGCTTGAATTACTTGTTGCTGTAAAATAAACAAAAGAATTTTTAAATTGACCTTTCATCATCATTTGTCCAACATATTCAGCTGCAAAGCTAGCAGTTGTTAAAGCATTCAACACAATTCTAACAAATCAACCTGTATTGAAAAATAAAATGTTTGGCAAAATAAGCTCAAAAACTACTAGAAAAAATTGACAAACAGGAACTATAACAACTGTTATTAAAATCCAATATTCAAACCAATAATGTTAATCACATAATATAACAAAAAATGAACAACTTTTTATGCATGAAATAGCAGTATAAAATATATTGTAATAAAAAAAAATAAAACAATTTAAAAATTAAATTTACAAATGTTGAAAGAAGTACACAACTAAAAGACAGTAGTATGAAGGCTAGTTTTATTAATGACATATAATGGATAAATGCATTATTCACAAGTCAAAATATGTAAATGTCCTTTAAAATTTTTATAATTGCATTCGCTTCATCCTATAATTCTGATAATATAAAAATAGAAAATTTTCAGAATCTGCTTAAAATATCATACTAAACATCAGGGAACCATCATTTTTTTTATTTATCCTCTGCATAACGATGATCAAATCTTAAATATGAATAAATCATTTCAGCCACGAGAGATACACTGTTATCATACAAAACACGGTACTTCGGTGACAGGAAATAAAAGTTGATAATTTGAGCAGGTACCCACAGCAATAAGTCTGTACAAAACATGAGAGTTCCTGTGTCTTTGAAATCATTTTTCAACTGATCAAGACTTCGACCTTCACAAATTCCAACGGTTACCAGGAAAATGGTTACACACACTGGTGAGAAAATGAACTGATCCAAAAGAACCTATTAAAAACCAATAGTAAATAAAACTATTACAGTGGCCTTCAAAATATATGTGTATTTTAAGTAAACAATTCTGAAATTCTATGATACAATCATTTCACTTTTTCATTAGCCAACGTAACTTCACATAGATCAGCCATTGATCTCACAGGTCCAATGTGTGGATTATGAATGAGGGAAAGACTGGGTCTAGTACTGACCACACTATCACTTTATAGTCATAGTCAGATATTTTATTGATTGTCAGGTTGGAAATGGCAGGGTAACTTATATTAATTTAAAAAACACAGCTACAAATGTGTTCACTTCGATCATAACAAACTTAAAAGGTAAATATAGAAGCTATATACCACAGTTGACATACCTTTTGTACTATAGCTTTTGTGCTACGGCCAGGAAATTTATTATTCAAAAAAATATACCAATAATGAACAGTGGGTCCAAAAACTAAGCCAGTTATGGCCATCTTCAAAGTTCTTGTAGGGCTCCAGGTTCTTGTATTATCATTTTTCAAACGCTGATAATTCTGTTGCATCAGATCTCCCAGAACAGAAGTCGTACAGCTTAATGCTGTATTAGTGTATAGCAAACATTCTTTTGAAAACAGATATTTTCCCCCTTGTTGCAGAGATCGTACGAGCAAACGTAATTTTGCCATCAAATTTGGCAAGTACAAGAGCAATCTGTGTAATTATTATTGTAAAAGTAATCAAACACCTAAAGAAAATAATTTATAAACAACCGTTTCTGAACTATGCAAAATTGACAAGACAGTGCTCATGCTGCATCAGAGAGTAAAATCAAGCGAACATTGAGTTCATATGATTCATCTTCATCTAGTAGTTTAGTTGAAGTATATAGCAGTAAGGCAAGGTGTGGCTAAAAGTCACAGGGACAAGCTGACAAAAGATGAAAATTTATTAATTCAATTAAAATTAAAAACTAATGATAAGATCCTTACATGAAAGTAAACTCATGGTCATGGTGTTAAAATGAAATGAATCTACTTATACCGCGTTTACACTTATGCCATGTATACTATACATTTCCAGAACACAAAGCCCGCCATAAGTTATTTTTATCTGGAACAATTTTCTCCACAGAACATATATACTTTAGTGTTTACACTTACAGAACATGTTATAGAACATTTATAAAACAAGCATGACCTTTGACATGGAGCTTCTGCTATATAGGCCCAGACAATTAAAATAAAGAGTAATCAAAGTAAAAAAAAACCGTAGATAGTGGGCACACAGCTTTATTTTTTTAAAAAGGAAAATGGTGTAGCTACGGTGCTTGTGATTCAACAATGAATTATCTAAAAAATTAGAGAACATGCAAGATTTTATAAATTTTACTGGAGTGCCAGCTACTGGAGCTAGAATGTTTTAATAAATATAATGCTGTGTATAATACCACGGGTTGTAGACATTACCCACCTGTTATAACCCCTCCCTCCCATCCCGCAGTACAACCACCCCTTCCCACCCCAACTGCATGGTAGCCATTTCCCAGCTTCTCTAATTGCTTGTCTATATCATTAAGAAACAGCTTTCAATAAACAGGGCTAAATATTTGTTTGCTGAAAGGCCCGATTTCTCAAAAAAGCTGAAAGGCCAGATTTCTCCAAAAACGTGCATCTGCCAAGTTCATTAAACGTATTGAGATCGTGTTATAACTATACTGAGTCTATTATTAAGAATAAAAGTAGATCTAGTTTTTAGAGTAGGGCCTATGACATCCCCCCACCCCACTTAATTCTTTATGTTAATTATGTCCCATTTTAAACCTAAATAATTAGCCTATGACTTTTTTATCTGCCTGTTTTTATAGTTAGTTGATTATGTGTGATCTACTAGCACATTCTGGTGGGTGGGCCTAAAGATTTATTTATGTCAGACGGAAACTGAAAATATGTTGATACACTTAAAACAAAATATTGGTCAAGGAAAAATTGGAGATAAATTTGGTTAAATTATATTTTTAATTAATTATTATTTTCGTAATTAATACCTAAACTGGTTTTAAGGCAAAATTGTCATGCCTTAGACACTACATTATTTCATTAAAACGTGTTTGGAATGTAGACTAATTAAAGAAATACTAAGTAATTATAAAAATGTAAATTTTAGTAGGGCCTAGAGAAGTTATAAATTATGAAATCGTGTGCTAAAAAACTCAAAATCAGCAGAATCTATATTTAATTTCGCAATCAGCTGAGACCTAGGATGCGCTTACTACTTTGGACGCATGCGCACTCATCTGAAAATTCAGAACATGTCCTATGTTTTCGCTCAGCGAGCGAAGACAAAAACTTGATCCAGAACAAAAACAGGGCGTGGTTTTGTGCCCTGCAACTCAGAAGAAGTTCCATATACACGTAACATGTTTAGTATACACTTTAGTAGGTCAAGTCTAGTATACATGTCATAAGTGTAAACGCGGTGTTACACATTTTGTTCTTCACCAACCTTAAAGCAAGTCAAATTCAAATTTTCAAAGTTGATTTTGAATTTTTTAAATCTATATAGATCTAGATCTATATAAGAAACAAAATTGTCACATTGTGACTTTTAACCCTACCTTTCCTTACTACTAACTAATAAGAATTAGTAAAATAATAGGCTTATTAGTTCTATTAAAAAAGAATGTAATCTTCTATAGGCACTAACTAATCAATAATCATCATTAATCTAATGAATTTAGATAGATCTAGAATCTAGATTCCACCTGATTTCTTCTTTACAAATCTTTAATTTTTAATCTTATCTTCAATATGAATATCTTAAGTAATCTATCGGTTATAGGTGCATAAAATCTGCTGAGGCAACAGCTAGTAATGTGAAAAAAAAAAAAAAAGTTGCCTCATACTCATTGTTATATGTCATAATTGTTAAGGAATTTGTTAAGAGGCTGTTAAGTTAAGTAGTTATTAAGTTAAATTAGTTAAAATGGTATGTAGCACTAGAACAAAGGGAGATAATTTTCATACAAAAACCTGCCCAGAGATCTGTTTTGACTGATTTTTCAAATTTTGTTTTTACCACTGTCTCTTATTAATTTTAAATTAATATCATATTAATTTCCAATACACAAAGCAACTACATGTTATAAATCTACTGATGTTCAGCTATAAACTAGCGCAACTACTTTTAATTTTTTTTTCATTTTTTTGCATTTAAAAAATTTAATTTGAAAACAATATGCTCTAAATCAACTTTATTTTAATACATAAACACTTGCCTGCACACAAAACTATGCAAAATGAGTTAAATAAACCACTTGTGGTTCTTATTTTATAAAGAAATTGTGATTCAATTTTACAAATACATTTTTTATGAATTTTTTAAAGATTTGGACCTTTATCAGCCATGTTGTTTTGGTAAAATTATAGTTAGAGATTAAGGGGAAACAACTCTAACTTAGTTTAAACTTAAAACTTAGGCCTACAGATGGCAGCAAATCATGCTTGCAAACACTGCTGTTTAAAGTTAATTTCTGGACTAAATATTGATAAATTTAGTATTTAGCCATTGATTTTTGTTGGTAATCTATCGTTTTAGTTATGTAAAATCGGCAGAGAGTAGTAATGTGAAAAAAGGTGACTCCTTAAATTTTAGTAATTATTTCACATTTTTTGGAGGATTTATGTTTTGAAAATTATAAAAATGTTTCTAAGATACCTGTTTTTAAACAATTGTATTACAACTTTTCAGTAATAAATATATTCATATACTTCATAGCCATTGATTTTGGTTTATTATTCAGTTATCTTTAATATTTGACACAAATTTATCACAATATAAAATCTACTTCTATTAAAGCCTTAACATTTTTATAATAACATAGAGGCAACTTCAGTGTGTTTCAGTTATAATAAAATACGCTAAACTGGAGGTGAACGTGAAGCGGGAAATAAAATACGCTAAAGTGGAGTTTTACCACAATATTATCAATTATAGGGCCTATAATATAGGGCTACTAATCTAGATTTAAATAAAATACTTCTATTGCAGCCTTAACAATAATGACTAATGAGTCATAAAAATTTAATGTCATTATTATTAATTAATGAATAATGAGGCTACCGGCAACTTTTTCGCACATTACTAGTTACTAGATCTAGATAGAACTATATCTAGCCACGGTTGATTTTAATTTTAAATTTTAAGCACCTAAAACAAAACGATACATTGATTTAGACCTTAGTTAGATTAACAACAAAAGGCAACAAGTTTTGGTAATCTATCGTTTTGGGTACGTAAAAATCGCCCGCGGCTAGCAATGTACGAAAAAGTTACCTCATTGTCAAGGCTTTAATAGAATGATATAAATATATTTGTGTCAAATATTATAGATAAATGAATAATAAACCTAAATCAATAGCTAAATGTATCAATATAGGCAAGAAATTAACTTTAAACAGCAGTGTTTGCGAGCAGGATTTCCTATATATATATAAAAAGCAGACATTTGTAAAATAGAGTTGCCTTCCCCTGAATCTCGCGCTATAAGTTAACAAAGAAAAACTTAAACAACATGGCTGCTATAGTTAAATGAGCATGGTTGCATCTGTTGGAAACATCGCTAGTCTTCATTTAATAAATTAAAATTAATATTGAAAAGTTTTAATTCAATTGTTTGAAAACAGGTACATAAATAAATGAAACAAGGAAACATTTTTGTATTTTTCAAAACATTAATTATTAAATCCTCGGTAATCTATCGTTTTAGCGTAATCAATTCGGCTGCAGTAGTAATGTGCGGGAGAGGTAACTGATAAATATATTTGTTTAAATAAGTATATTTAAGTCAAATTTTACAAAATATAACAGATAATTGATTAAAAATAACAATCAGTGACCAAAACAATTAAAAATAACATGAAACTAACTTTAAACTAGGTGTTTGAGATAAATATTAGTAGATAAAAACAGCGGCCATCTTTCCAAATAAAATTTAGAGTAGTTTCCCTTTATATAAATGTCTATTCGTATGTATATTGTGTTGACTTTGTTGTTTAATATACATAGTTGTCTTGTTAATAAAAGTAGGACAGAGGGCCATCTTCTTATCTTTAAGGCTATGTATGTATGTACATCCAAGATATCAAAAACTTTTGGGAGGTCCATCATTTATTAAACCCTTTTGTACGGATGAACTTGTCAATTATTATGTCGTCCATATTCTTCTTAAATGACGTTGGACTCAAAATATGGGACGGGGTAAAATATTTTTTTAAAATTGATGAAGAATATATTCGTTTTCGTTAGAAATTGTGATTATGCGTTCGGGTATAGTAGAACTGCGAAATGATATTAAATCAACATCTTGCTTTTAGTGACGATTGGGGGAAAGGGAATTCATCGGGAAAAGTATGACGTCATTTATGGACAGGACCGGCGCTACCTATAAGGCGAATTAGGCTGTCGCGTAGGGCGCTGTCCGTAGTGGGGGGCGCCAAAATGGGTTGGAGAAACAAATTGAAAGTTTGAGGGGGGAGGGGTGCAAATCGTAAGCTTGTCCCCGGGCGCCGGGAAGGGTCGCTATGCCTCTGATAATACGGGGGCATAAAAAAAGAGGGGGGCGCTTTTATTAAGTTTTGCATAGGGCGCTAAATAACCTGGCGCCGGCACTGTTTATGGGTGATCCATTTAAGCCTAGTTGTTTATTTTGTCTGTAGATATTGGTCTTATGCCTACACTTTTTCTGAATTAAGATTATTGTGTTTATAAAAATAGTTTTAAATTTTAATTAGTTACATCTGAATACCACATGTTTTTTTTCTTTGCCTTCTGCTTTCATCAGTTTTTTATTTGTTCAGTAGTCGATGTTTACCCATCCCCACCATCCATTATTACAAAAACAAAAAACACCCACTATATAGTGGTATCTCCCTCTAGAAAAAAAAAACTAGATCAACCTATAGTTCGTAGGAAAATTAGAATCTATCACTTATTCGTCTGTTAAAAAAAAAAAGAAATACGTCTTTTTTCTCAACCCCGCCGTTTCATCCCCCACTTAGCACAACGTCACCAAGTTCGCGGCGCGCGTGACGTCATTTGTCATTAGGCTAATGTTAAAGAAAGAGATACCGCGTAATTAAAAAAAAGTCAAATCAGGCACTATGGCGTTGAGACTTTAGCGACGTTTAGTCTGACGAATAGATCTAAATGACTTTAGTACGGTAAATTATATTAGTGTTTAATTTATTACACAGTGGTATGCGGTGCTCCCTCTACTCTACAAATTCACGTGCTTTTAATTTCTGCAACCTGCTGCTCTGAGACGCTCGGCTCTAAAATGCCCGTGACACAGCGGCCTCCGGAAATACATTTAGGCTCCCGGTCCCACCTATAAACTTCGTCTGCCCATTAAGCTCCACGCAAAACTTGTGATTGATATGTGGACATAAGCGGCGCTAGTGGTGGTGTCAACAAGGACCCCTCCCCCAGCTCAGCTCTTAAAGATGCTCCGCACTTCATAAAAGACAAACTTGATGTTCAGACATCGTCGGACTCGGGCGTTTAGCCGACTGCCGTATTCCTAATGCACCGTCCACTGCTAACACTATTTCTATATTAAACTCAAGCCTATACTGAGCTCTGGCTTTTTACATTAGTTATGCCCCCATGTCGCGAAACTTGCTGTTTTGTCCAATTTTACCTGCAAGCCAATAATTGTCGGATTCTTGTCGAATATCGTTGCCAGGAGCTAGTTGGTTTGAGCCTTATTGTCAGAAGTTATTTCATTCCGAGTCAATGTAGTGCGGCCTATTTTCGTCGGTAGGCATTTAGTGGCAGGCCCTTTTTGGCGGGGATGGTGTGCTGAGGTTGTTTAACACCGCTTAGGACAACAGGCTTGCAATAGTTATGATCATTCGTTATGAGCAAAGGTATGCATGAAAACGAACACTTTATGTTCCTCATTTTCATTGAGCACAGCTTTATAGGAGTCTTCCATAATTGACGTCACTCACCCCCCCCCCCCCACCCCGATCACCCTTTCATTATAGGTCATGAATTGCAGTCCTACGTAAATTGACGTCACATTAGAATAGCATATGTGACATCGTTTATGGACAACCCCATATTTCTCATTTTGGGTATTTGGTATCAACATTTTGACAACAAAGGTTGTTCAAAATGTGTATTGGAGGTTATGACTTGACATCTACCATAAATGACATCACGACACACTTAAGGAGTGGAGTAACTGGTTTAGAGACGACGTTTTACGCGGGAAAGGGGAGGGGTGAAACGTTATGTATTTGGCCTAATACAAAAATGCTGAAACAATTCTTTTTCGTTCGAATTATGGCTTGACTTCTTAACATTAATAACAGGCAGGGCAAAAAGGTAATTTTCGACATTACGACTATTTCGTGACGGCGAAAATGGGGGGGGGGGAGGTTAAGGTGAAGAGATGTCAAAAAACGTGACGTCGTATATGATTAAATCACTAATTAAAGGGAAAAAGCATGAAAATATGAAATGAAAATAGCAAATAAACAATAACACAAACAATAACAATCAACTCAAACTAATATTTAATTTAAATAAACATTAGATATGTAGTGGTAGCTTTATAAAAATAGGGAGTTTCTTAAAGTATAAAACTTGCATCTCATAATAATAATTCTAGAACTGATGTTTATTTTCATTCAATTAAATTTTTTAAAGGGCAGAATAAAAAAAAACACATGCTTTATATTTAAACACAAGACAATCGTATTTTATAGCAAACATCTATACTTTTCCATACAAATAGAAATTAAAGAGAAATGACTCAAAATAATATTTTTTTAAGATGGCCGCTGTTTTTAATAGCAAATTTAGTATCTGGAACATCGTTGTTAAACCTTAATTTTATGACATTTTTATTGATTTAACCCTTAAATGTGGTTTAATATTCAATTATCTTTAGTATTTTAGTAGAATATGCAAAGATATATTCATATTTAAGCCATATTTATTAGTTACCTTATCCCTACATTACTAGTGACGACCGAATTGATTACGCTAAAACGATAGATTACCTAAATCCTCCTCAAAATGTGAAATAATTATTAAAATTTATATTAATTTAAGGTCACTAAGGTGTCACCTGTCTTTCACATTACTAGATCTAGTCGCGGACGATTTTACGTAAGCTACCTAAAATTACTAAAAAGTTATAGATTACCCAAGCCCAAGTTTTATAATTATATTTCTAGTCTATGATGATAGATCTAGATTCTAGATCTAAATCTTAATCTTATTTAATCTAGTTTAATCTACCAGTGATCTATGACACTTGCCTTTCTGAGTTACTTAAGTTAATGAGAAGAATGTTGCGTCATTGACGACATTGAAAGGCTGCAAAGCATGATGTTTACTGCAAATCTAAGCCGTGGATCTATTTTTTTTTACGTCTACGCCAAGGAACAAATTGTTACTAATGTTACGTCGTTTTTCGGTAATTTAACATTACAGCCCACGTGACATAAAAATCTAAACGAAACAGCACAGGCGTAGGCCTAATATATTTTAAATAGATGAATCATTAGATTACATAATAGGCCTAAATTTAAAATACCTAAAAATTGTAACTTGTTGATAACTACAAATAGACGAATAATAAAGATTAAAAATTTACGTTGTTATGGACGTAGTTAGTATCCCCCCCGAACAATTTTTACCCCCCCCCCCCGAACGAAATGTATATAATTTATATAGAAATTTTCGGGGGTGGGGCGGTAGACTTCCTTCAGGGGGGGGGGGGGGGCGGACACTGTTAAAAGTATATATTTTCTATATAAATTTTATAAATTTCATTTCGTTCGGGGGGGGGGGGGGGTAGAATTTTTCGGGGGGGGGGGGGGGGAAGCCCCCCGAAGAGATGCCTGGAAGAAACTCTGATGCAGGCCTATAAAAAAATTAAATACATTTTTTTCATTTTTGTTACAATAAGTTGTACTAATAGAACTATAGAACTTTTTAATATTTTCAGTGTAGGTCTATATGCCCATCCTTATATTGACTAATAATATACTAATTATGCGTGCATGATGTAGGTTACTAAAAAGGCAATTTGGTTTCACCCCCCGAACGAAATAGAAAGATTTATATAATTTGTATAGAAAATATATATTTAAACCAATGTCCGCCCCCCCCCCCCCATGAACAATGAAAGAAAGTGAAAGAAACCCTGCCATCCACCTGCTTTATGACCCTACTGGCTTAGTGGCTATGATGGTTTATGTTGTCTTTTAACAAAGGCGTCGCAGGTCGGGTATCACCCCCCCCCCCCCAGTGTTTCTTCCAGACTTTTTTCTCCGTGGGGGGCACTTGAAATTTTCGGGGGGGGCGGTAGACTTTCTTCGGGGGGGGGGCGGACACTGTTAAAAGTATATATTTCTATATAAAATATAAAAATTTCATTTCGTTCGGGGGGGGGGGGGCGGTAAAAAATTTTCGGGGGGGCTTCGCCCCCCCAAAGAGATGCCTGGAAGAAACTCTGCCCCCCCCCCCCTCCGTGAACAATGAAAGAAAGTGAAAGAAACTCTGCCATACACCTGCTTTGTGACTCTACTGGCTATGATGGTTGTTGTTGTCTTTTAACAAAGGCGTCGCAGGTTGTGTGTCACCCCCCCCCCCCAAGCTAAAAACATCAGACCTAAACAAATTAATACATTTGACTGTAGGAGGCCTATTATATATTAAATGTTCTACATAGGCCTATAAAGTTGCCTAATGGTGTCAATTTGCGCGCACATTATATTAATACACCTATTAAATATGTCATGTGGAAAAACATCGTTTTCATAATTAACTATTAGATGATGATGTCACCCCTCCCCGGTCATTGATTGACTTATCAGTTATTCAAAGTACTCAACCAAACCTTTTTTCCTTTGTACAATTTTAGTCAAAATTTAAATTTAGGCTGATTTTCTCTGTAATTCATCATTAATGGAACTGTCAAAAAGCATATCTATCTATCTCTATATATAATTCTCATCTGTAAGACGCTAGAAAACAAGCTGTAAGCGCGCTCCCTACCACCCCTACATGGTCTGGTGAGCTGAGGTTCACGCTAAATGTTTACATTCGTAGAGCCGGGTTTAGTGACGGCTACTAGGGGCAGATAATTTAGTTTGAAACTAATTTAAACTTAGGGGAGGTAACTAAGAGGAGGCTGCTTTCAAGAGGGGGGGGGGGGGAGTGTAGGGGGAAAGGAGGGTGGGGGTAGTATCGTTCTTAACGACCTACTGATAGTGTTTTAAAGCAAATATTTTCAGTGGCAGCATTGGCACTGTCGATTCACAAATTATGAATTACTGAAAAGTAGAAAATAAAAAAAACAAAATAGCGGCATATGATATGCCGCGCGTCGACTCGTATATATATATAATTCTCTTCATGGAGACCATAGAAAACACCGCGCAGCTTAGCCACCACCCTCGTCCCCACCTGTCAGGTTAGCTGTGTTTCACCCCGAATTTTTACACTCGTAGAGCCGGCTATTAGGGGCAGATTTGAAATGAAGGGGAGGTAACCATTTCTGATTGATCTTTTCTTTGCCTGTAAACGGCTGCTTTCACTGGGCGGAGTGTATAATCCAAAAATTAGGAATTGCTGATAAGCAGAAAATAAAACAACTAGATGGCGCCCGTCACGGGTCAGCTCGTTTCTATATATTTTGCCATGGTGTCATCCGTACCCCCGCCTGTCTTTTAAACAATTGCGGCTAACATCAAACATGTTTCTTCTCAATCCCGCACATTTGAAATTTAGAAAATGAATTGTAGCTACAAAGAAAGTCTTCAACCTGTACAAATCATTATAGTCATCAGCTTGCTAGAGTGGACTATATTTTTTGTTCAGAATAGTAGTTATCAGTCTTAAATAAGACCGGCCAATTTTTAAACCCCTATTCCTGTCGATAAACACTTATGCTATACCACAATTAAAGAATTCGCCTGCTCATTGTTGCCTTTTAATGCTGTCGGTATAGCTTTAAGCGCCAGCCCTTCACAATTTTAAAACTAATTCTCGATAGTGGTGGTGCTTGGCTAGATCCACTGAGAGACTAGACGGCCAAGAACTATTAGTCATTAAGTTTTTGGCAATAATTTTCTTAAGGTAATTCTTAGTTTAGAGATTTGGATCCAAACAGAATACATGCAATTATAATTGCCCAGATGATACTAAAAGCATCCAGAGATGCATTTTGACTATTATTTACTTATTTAAAAAAAAAAAAGAATAATTCATTAAAAGATGACTTGAAAACCTACTCTTGGTGCAACCATGCTGAATTGGGACAAAAAGAGTATTCAGCTGTCTGAAACGGATTACCTTATTTCTTTGCATTAAAGGCCTGCTAGTGCTAGTAATGAGACTACACACTGAAATTGCTAACCAGGTCAAATTCATATTCAGTAATGGTGTCATAATATAGCAGTTGACCTAATAAAACTAAAACACCAGCAGTACTTTTCATTGATTAGCAGTGGACCAGGAGCTGAAGAATTTCTAAACAGCACTGTAATAACTGACAATAATTCCACAACTTAAATACATGAAACCAATGACAAGGAAACAAAGCTAAATATAAAACAAAAAATGCAAAATCTGGTTCCCAGACAATTTATTACAAGTGAATAATTTCAAAAATTGTTTATTTGTCCTTGTCCTCTGCCTCTTTCTTCTTCTTTTCTCGTAATCCATGCAGCTTAGCTGTGATTCTAGCTTGACGTAGAGCAATGAAAGCATTGTGTTTGCGCTCATCAGCTGAAGGTACACGAGCCTTCTCAGGCTTGAATGTTTTGGGAATTGGCAGGACCACATTATTTGCAAGCTGCTTAGCTACCTTCAATTCTTCAGGCTGCAAGAGAAATATTTAACAGTGAATAATAAGCTGTGAATTTTTGTGAAACTTTTTTTTTTAAAGTACAGAAAATTTTATGTGAGATATTTTTACTTACAGAGGCATCACCCTTTCGTGGTTTGCCCTCTTTGCATGGGAAGACAACCAACTTGGTCTTGTACTCTTTAAGCCTCTGCACATTCTGCTGTTGTGACTCAATAGAAAGATTCTTTCTGCGATAATCTACTGAAATGCCAATGGTGCGAGCAGCCTTTTTGTTGATACCTGCAGCCTGTAGAATAAGAGGTCATTATGCATAAAATATTCATACAGGCATAAAAAAAAGTTACACTTCCCATTCTGCCAAGTGAAACAAGCACATTTCTATCACCATACTTACAAAAGCAAAATACCCAGTACCATTTAATAGAAAAAAAAAATGCACAAAATACACTGAAATTTAGAAAAATGACAAATAGAAAGAATAGATTCTAGCCCAAAGTATCACTAGAGCAGTCGATGCTCATAATTTAGCTTATATTGTCGGACATTTCTAAAAGAAAGTAATAAAACCATCTTCAAGCATAAGAGGCAAAGCAGCCACCAAAAGGAAAATAATTTACCTTAAGCTCATCAAGTGTAAATCCACGACCCAGGCGCAACTTTGAGTTGTACTTGAAAGTAGGACAACGAACAACAGGCCTCAAAAGCCCTGCAACTGGCCTTGGGGCAATGGCTGCAGCTTTCTTAGCACGAGCAGCCCTTCTACGTGTCTTTCTCATGGGCTGGTTGAACCATGTTTTTACCATACGCTGCCAATCCTTATGGAAATGGCCATTGGGAACTATATTATTTCTTTTGGGAGCCATGGTTAAGGCTGCAAAAAAAAAAAAAAACACACCTATGATATATTAAATTGTCTTATGAAGGACTGTTTTTGAAATATTTTCAAAAGTTGACAGTTAGGGCTTGACTAACCCACCCTCCTTGTAACTACAGTCACTGACCCCAAATACCGTAGTTGGTGCTGTTTGGGGGGGGGGGGGGGGGGGGGGGGGAAGAAAGAAAGAAGAGAGACAAGTTCAACGGATATGGTACAGTTCAAGCTATGCATATTAGACTGAACTGCTGTGACCTTCCCCCACGTGTCTTGCTGTGTGGATACTGTTAATTTTTAATAGAAAAAAGTTTCAGCTGTAAGCACAAATAATGATGTGGTTACATTTTCAAAATAGTGTACGAAACCCTGGTTCCAGTCATTTTTACTATTTTTGTAATTATTTGTACTTGACTAGCAGCTAGATCTAATTTAGTGATTGTCGCAAAACCTATGCAAGCTAAAAACATCAGACCTAAACAAATCAATATATAATACATTTGACTGTAGGAGGCCTATTATATATTTTAAACTTATTAATTATTAATTCTACTAATTTAAATCTACTAGGCCTATTACATGGTTTACCATAACTCTAGTTCACGAAACTGAACAAACAGTACCGGATATCTCAGACACTAAAGTAAGGATGTACCTACTATCTTTTGCCACTAGGGACTAAGAATTTGCATGGTGATTGTGGTGAGTGTATGTAATTCAGTAAAAAAAATCTGGCTGTGCTGATGATATTTAAGCTTAAAAACCTAGTTATTACAGTGTGTTTGTTAGGAAAAAGGGACTGTTAGTAAGAATAAGATACAACTACACCAGTTGTTTCTAACAGTCCCTTTTCCCCTAACAAGTGCACGATAATAACTAGGTCTATTCACTATTGTCCAATAAGGCCACAATAATATAATCTCTTTAAAATGGGGTGTTGGTTAATCATCCAGATTATCTGATACATCCCCCCCCCCCCACAGGTCAAAAAATTCCTAAGTTAGCTAAGTAAAAAAAAGATAGACCAAAAGATAATGCTCTTCTATCAACTTGCAAAATTATACTATAAAATCAAGCTACATGTCAAGACATTGCTAAAACTTTACTAGATTATGTTAACAGGAAAGGGGAGAGTTGGATCAGGTAAACATCTCGTAGCATATCTATGCCTAAGGTCTAGTAAGCTTGAATTCTTTTTTATACGCTCATGATAAGTAAATAATACATTTTAAAGGTTCTAAATAATTAAGGTATTTTAAAAATGTAATTGGAGCAACATGATTGCAAATTTTAAATACAGATATTATGGATATATAAATGTATATAAACAGTGAAACCAAAGACCAACCTCTTTACAATTTAGAAACCGGAAGAAAGGACTAATATAGAATCGACGTGCGCAATCTACCAGGAGCAGAGAACTTTAGCAATCCTAGTTCCGTTTTCTTCAAGTTCCGTAAGTAACAAAAACTTTAAAATGTTCTATTGGGCCGAGATCTAGTTAAACTCAGATCTTCGTAATTTATTAGTAATGTAATTTTTTAAACCTATGTTGTTAAAAAAAAAACTAATTACATAATTTGAAGATTTTCTATAATACTGGTCGAATTACATAATATTAAATCTTAATTTTTTAAATAAAAAATTCTACAGTCTACACTACCGTACCATTTTTAATTATCTCCCTTACAGTACAACTAGATTCTAGATTTCTATATCTAATCTAAGTACTAAGTTAAAGATCGCCTTCTATATTATTTATAACACTTAACTTAGGCCTAGCAGGCTAAACTATTATTTTACTACTAGTAAGCCTAATTAGTTCTATTAGTTAGAATTAGCCTCCAAATAAAAATTATATAGGCCTATTGCATTGGCTATATGACTATTAATACTATTATCCTATAACTATATTGTAACTATAGGGCCTAGGCCTAATTATTAGTAATTAATTAATATTAATAGGCCTTGCTAGACTCTGTCTAGTCACTAGATTTAGTCACTTTTTAGTGTCACTCTCTAGACTCTAGAGAGTCTAGAGAGTAGAGACCTAATCATGCTATAAGCTATATGCCTTGTAATTTGTAAAATAATCATATTATAATGTAAAATAGTACGTGTAAGTACTAGATCTAGATCTATAGTCTATAGGCTCATAATTATTAAATAGTAGGCCTATTAAGTTAATTTTATATTTATTAGGCCTAGATACTATATCTGCATGGTTTAATTCTTTTATTCTAAGTTTTATTGTAACAATGTCAATAGAGCTCTATTGGCATTGGCACTATTGCTCTATCACACCAATGCCAGTGTTTGTTACAATTCAAGTTTAAACCAAGGCTGTCCAACATACAAGCTGCATGCAACCCTCACAGACTATTTGCTTCCCACAGCACCATAAATATCTCATCTCAGTGGCATCTAATTGAATGTGTTTAGAGAGTCGCAAGGGGTGACCCAGCCATTGTCTTGTCCTTATTTCACACACAATATAATTCATTTTTTAATAACTACAACTTTAATTTCTACAGGCAAATTATACAGTTAAAAATTTTAAAATGTATTTTGTCACTGTTTCTTCTATTGAATTAAAAGCATTTTTACTTTCATCTTAAAATTTCAGATCCATCTATACAAATGGCGACTCAATAAATTATTACTGGATACAGCAATACAGTGCTTTAAAAGAAATCACAAACCATGGCATTAACTATTCTTCACTTCAATGATGTATATAATATTGAGGGACAAAAAGATGAGCCGAGAGGTGGTGCAGCACGCATGCACACTTATATAAAAAGTCAGAAAAAATTAGATCCCCTTGTTCTTTTTAGTGGGGATGCTCTTAATCCATCATTAAGTAAGTAATTTTGATGAATGTTTATCAGTTAAGAGCTACTTTTAGCTTATTCCGGAAAGTAGTTAAATATTATTTTTTTTTGGGTCAGCCATTAACAATGGGGGGGGGGGAGGAGGAGGAGGTAAGCTAACTTTTGTGTGTGGTGGGGTGTTTATGTGGACGTCCACAGGTTACATTTAACCTTACAGTATTTGCTTCGTCCATTTAATTTATTTTTGGGGGAGTCATAATTGGATGACCCCTTTGAATCTGCAGTATAGACCTTCATTAGGACCTTTTTTTTTTCAGTGAGTATATTTTTGAAAGGTGAACAGATGATCCCAATTCTCAATGAACTAGGTGTCGCTGCAGCTGTCTATGGCAACCATGATTTTGGTAGGTAGTTTAACCACATCTTGGAACCAAGAATAATTTATTCATTAAAAAAGAAGCTATTCATTTTTGTATCATATGTCTTTTACATTTTACTTTATACTGATGCTGCAAAAGAAAAAAAATACTCTATTAATATTAATCTAAGGTTAAGCACGGATTTTACAGTTTGGGCTTTTCATATGAACACAATAAAATATAAAACATTTTCATCACCTGGAGAATTCAAAATTTTGAATGTTCACATTTAAGTTCACCCGGGAAATTATCAATGTTTACATTATTACAGGCTAAATGAAATAATAAAAATGTAATCTTGTTTTATCTCTTATTAGGTTTTTGTGTAGTTTATATAAACATTTCCCATCAATGGTTACATTTAAAAAAAATTTATACTGAATGAAAATATTTACCTGCGATCTTGTTTTTTCCTCTGTTAGATTTCGGTGTAGACCATTTGAAAAGTTTTGCAGAGCAGTGCAAGTTTCCATGGCTGTTGAGTAATGTGAAAGATATGGTAAATAATGAGCCACTTGCCCGTGGGGAAACCTATGTGATGCTAGAGCATGCTGGGATCAAAGTGAGTAGATTAAAAATTGTAATTAGGCAATGTGTACTGAGGATGTTTCTCAGCTTAAAAATCACCCCTTTGTTTAATTTTTTAAAGATTGGCATCATTGGTCTGGTAGAAGAAGAATGGATAGACACTCTATCAACATTAGATCCTGATGACGTGACTTTTATTGATTTTGTAGAGGCTGGAGTTCATTTGTCTGATATTGTCAGACAGCTGGTATGTGAGGATTTAAATCCATTATGTATAGTTTATCAAATCTTGACTATACAAAATACGGATAAAATAGAGAATGACATTTTTTTTTAAAGTTTCATCATTTTAAGAATTAAACAAGCAATTGGTTAAATAAGATAAAGAAACAAATAAAAAAAATTTCATTATTTTAAGAATTAAGATTGAATTGGATTTCTTGATAAATGAGTGTTTAACTTTTTCAGGGTGCCCAACTTGTAATAGCACTAACTCACATGCGTGTTCCCAATGATGTGCGTCTTGCTGAGTGTGTGCCTGGTATTGATATTATTCTAGGTGGCCATGATCATGATTATGAAATCATCAATGTAAGATTGCATTTTTGTAAAATTTTCATTTCAAGTGTGTGGTACAAATAGTTTAAATAAAAGTTACAAAGCTAATTAGATTTCTTTTTGCTGAAGTTATCGGTTTTAATAAACAGAATTTAAAACTTGTGTATTAAATGATTTTTACTGAAATCATCAAGTAAGTTTTTTGTTTAAATTGTCACAATTGAAATTGTTTGAAAAAAAAAACAATTCAAATAAAACACATTTCTGTTTTAATGATTTTTTTAGTAAAATGTAGAAATTAAATAAATTATTTTTATTTATGTTGTTACAAAAATTATTTTGTTGATGTAAATAAGTAATTTAATTAAATCTGTTCTTATTTCTAGGTGAAAGGCAAATATGTTATAAAAAGTGGTACAGATTTCCGCAACATGTGCAAGCTAACCCTCACACAGAGCAACAACAACAGCAATAGCGGCTGGGATGTGAATGTTGAGAAGGTGGACCTGGACTCTAGTGTACCAGAGGACCCTGAGATGCTGAAAGTAGTTCAAGCTAATCTCAGTGAGTTGTAATCTCTCTCTTATGCTAAATGTTGAACAAGACAATGTCAGTGAGAAGTAGTCTCTTCATTTCGTGTCAATGATAACATTAATGTATGAGTTTGGATCAGTGGCTGGGAATCTGTTTCTCTTTAAATGAAAAATAACTCTCTCCTTTAACCATCAGAACTTTTTTATATTAAAAGTTTTGAAAAAAAAAACTGTTGTTTTCAAGCACTTATCATTCTCTGACCTCAGCATATGATTTGTTGGTCACTTTAACTTTCCCCAACATGAGTCAGGTACCCATTACAGCTGGATTAACCCTACTTCATCTGTCCCATGGACTGTCTGATCTAAAACAGTAGGCTAATTTAGTTTTTTATGTACAGCGATATCAAGTTGTTTATTTAATCTTTCAGGTAGCATTGATGATAAGATGGATACTTACCTGGGTTGTATGAATGTAGAAATGGATGGAAGATTTTCATCAGTCAGAACTCAAGAGACTAACTTAGGTAGGTAGAGATAGTGTAAATGAGGTAATTTGATAATATTTATGTAGGCATATTTTATAATAGCATTTACAAAGGTTTTTTTTTATATGTTTATGTAGCAATTATTTATCTAAATGTATGGAGATAAATTAAATATTGTATATTTATGTACATATATTTGATAACATATATGTTAGTACATTGTAGGAACAGTACAACATTTAAGTTGTAATATTGTATGATAACAGTTATCTTCATATATTTTGGATTTATATTTTGTAGATATTGTACCATAATTAACATGTATTGAACATTGTTAAAATCTGCGCTGCATGTTTTTGTACCCAGGTAACTTTATCACAGACATCATACTGACAGCCACAAAAGCAGATTGTGCCCTGTTAAATTCTGGCACTTTCCGCTCTGATCGTATTCACCCTAAAGGAGACTTTAAGCTGAGAGATCTGCTGACCATTCTCCCCCTGGTCGATGCGTTAGTTGTGATTAAAGTTACAGGTATTTCACAGGTTTTTTATTTTTGAGTTACATTTAGTAAAAAAGTTAGATTGTCAAAGCTAGCTCCATTTATTAGAAAAGTTTTAGGTATCATTGTCATAGCTACATTTAGTAAATAAAAAGTTTTAAGCTACATTTAGTAAATAAAAGTTTTAAATTTGATTGTTGCTTATTGTATTATGTATAAGTACATTGACAAATGAAACAAGGCTAGCACTCAGTCAGGAAAACTAAGAACTAAAGGGTAATTTTTTTAAAAATGTCAATCAATATGCTTTTTAGCCCTGAAAAATGTTCAGTGCCCTGAGTTTAAAAAATATGTTTGAAGCAAAACTCACAGATTTTGTTTTTACATTTTTGTAATACTGTTTTTTTATCTCCCTGTTTGTAGACTGTGATGCTCGTTACTTTTGTTTTAGAAGAAAGTTAACATAGGTCAACAACTTGATATGATTATTTTAAAAATGTTAGATACATCTTTGCAAAATACTTGAAATATTTTAATTAGGAGTTTAGTAATTTTTATTCATGTTTTTTTGTTTGATTTGAAGGCCTTCAACTGATTGAAGCTTTAGAAAACAGTGTCAGCAAGTACCCAGTCAAAGAGGGCAGGTTCCCTCAGGTGGCGGGGCTATGTTTTGGGTTTGACCCCACCCGTCCTGCGGGCCAGAGGATAGGGAAGGAGCTGGTCAAGGTGCAGGATGAGTACATTGATCCAGACAAGGTGAGTGGTTGGTTCCTTGCTTGGGTCATCATAACAACTCTTTCAAACTCTGTTGGTTTGTAAAAGTAAAGATTCCTCTTTAGACCTAATGATCCATTGGGCAGATGAAGTAGAGTTCATATGTTTCTTGACCTTGGCATTTAAAGGGATTATGTGGTCAACACTATGCCCAGCTGCCTTTACTATCCCTTACGTAAGTTAAGTACCCATCAGAGTTGGGTTGAATCAGGGATATTCCACTAAGTTGAACCCGGATTTGAACTCGAAACTATCGGGTTAGCAGTCTAGCTCTCCAGCGCTAGGCTATGCCTGTTGGCCTGTAGGGCAGATGAAAAAGAGCATGTTTGTTTCACCCTTGCCTATAAAGGTATTAGTTTGACCAGCATTAAACCAAGCTACCTTGACTTTCACTAATCTGATTTAGGTACTTACAAGAGCAGAGACTTCCTAAGGACTCTATATTGGAGGGTTAAAAATGCAATGTTACCACACAACGACTTGTTTTAAACATTCTTGTTAAGCTTTAAACTATTTAATATGAATATTTAAGGAGTGTTTAATAATACTTCAACTCATTTTTATATATAGGAGTATCGTCTTGCTACCAAAGAATATGTAGCTCAAGGAAAAGATGGGTTCGATGTTTTAAAAGATTGTGAAGTGTTGGTAAGACTGATCAATTTTGAATTACTTTTTTATGGTAAAAAAAAGATTACCCAACTATTAATTGGTTATCTAGACTTGATATTTTTTTTTTACATAGTGACTACTTGGAAGAAGCTTCTTCCCCCCAGTGCTAGTCTGTCTGAAAAAAGATGCCAAATGCAATGACCTTACTAGATGCGCAATTGGCCCAAATTAAATACTATTAATAGCTCAAATAAATGAAATTATTCTTTTATAGCTGCACAATGGGATCAATTTTCCTTTTTAGCTTTATTCTTCTGACAAAATATCTGTAAATTTGTTCAAGCAGTAAAGAGTTGTAGTCTATATGTTTAGTATAAAATAATATTTTTATTATTTAGTTTAATAGCCTATTTAAATCTACTACTTAAGTGTTTTCCGAGCTATACTCTGTCTTATCAAGGCAACCCATAGGCTTGAATAACAAATATTTTGATAATAAGAGAAAACAGGTCATTGTAACGCTATGCACATCTTCTTCCGGCTAGAATCAGCACTTTTTTATGCTAAGAGCATGTTGTAAAAGTCAGCTTATTTTGTTGTTGTTTTCTGATTCACAGATCACTTCAGAACAGTGTCCCTCCTTATCCACGATGGTACAAAATCACTTCAATGCTGTCAGAATCTTTTTGGGAGAGATGGAATGTCCATCAGGGCACAGACAAAGTCTTGTTGCCTTGAAAAGGTGAGCTACATCAACATTTGTACTAACTATATTTAGCAAACCACGTCCTACTCGCCAAAGTTTTGTTTTGTTATAGTCTGATTTGGTTTATTTACGTTTGTAAACATAATGTTTTAAAATTATAGTTTCTGTTCTGTTTTTTGTGATTTTTTATTTAGGATGGAGGACAAAAAAGTAAAGATATAAAATGTTTCATCAAACTAAAACAAATAATTTACTAGTGACTTTTTATTTAGGCACATGAGTATTCAAATGTTTATTTTGACTTTTTATTTAGTTTTAAATAACTAATAAACCAAGTGTAGATATATAATGTTCCAGCAAATCAGACAATTATTCAATTGATATATAATGTTCCACTTAATCAAACAACTTATTCAAAAAATATTTCTTGTGATTTGTATTTTAGACGAGAAGAGATGGTAAAACAAATGAGTGTTGATATAGAATGCTCCACCAAACCAAGGAAGCTGATCCGCCAAGAGAGTATACACGGGCTAGAGAATGAACAGAATTTCTTGTCACCCCGAGTAGAAGGCCGCATATATATACTTACTGAGGAGGTTAGTGCTTGTTTAAGTAGCCAGGTTTTTCTGGTTTGGAATGTTGGTAGACTATGAGATTGGATTAGTTAAAAATGTTATGTTAACCCTGTTATGCTAAATTACTGCAGTGATTTATATTTTTAATTTTATTTATTTCATTAAAAAATTATTTAATATTAAACATAGTTTTAAAAAGAAGAATTAAAAATCTTATTTTCTTACTGTAAAAATTCTAGAAACGCAGAGTTATGCTGTCACTAATGCCGAGCGGGATGATACGCAACTTAAGCACACTCTCAGAGGAGTCAAGGTCCTCTTCTGATGAGCTCCAGTGAGACTTAGCTCAAGGTTCACTTCAGATGAGCTCAAGTGAGATTTACCTCAAGGTCCTCTTCAGATGAGTTTCAGTTAAATTTAGCTCAATTGTCCCTTCTTTTAAGTTCCAGAATGGTTCTTGCTCTCATGTTAAACATTTTTTTTAAACATTTTAAAAATGGAATATGTATCTTGTATTTTTCTATTTTATCCTATAATTGCCCTAAATATCAAATGTAAATATGTGCTAAGTTCTGTAATCTGTATATTCTGTATTTTGAGGCATTGAAACTTGTCATGAAATATAGTTATAGATATAATGTTTGTGGGACCAGGCCAGATCAATTTGCAGCTTGAGTGAACCAAAAAACAAAGAGATTTTACCCAGGTTGTTTTAAATCTACAAAAACATTCTGATATTATACACTAGACCAACTGAATCAATTTGGTAGATGCTTTTTCATTTGTCTTTTATAATTGTGAGGGTGGGGATTTTTACGAAGGCGGGAACGAATGAATCCAATAACACACAGTTCAAGTTCAACTATAATTGTTCTTTATTAAAATGATATATATGTTCAAGTTTCTACCTAACTGATCTACACTGTACTATTTACTTCTACTACTGACTGTTCATACCACATGCTACCTACTACTACGCACTCCCATGACCAATCCTAACACTAACTGTTCTCTACATTCTACATATTACACCTTCTACCTTCGCTAGCTAATCATGATCTCCTCACTATCTACATCCTCGGCCGTCTCTGACCGCTACCTAACAACTTCTGGCCTATCGCTCTACTGCCCCACGCTTCAGTGGTCAGCTGACCGTCCCACGTGACCGGTCAGCCCTGTGCGCCCATTGGCCTCTCTACCCAACCAACTAGGCCTATGGTCTGTTTCTGCTAACCTATATCTGCTAAACATGTCTGACGTAATCTTGCGTCATCACATATCTCCCTCCCTTTCTGTAGCTGACAAATTATATTTTTCAGCGTCTGCTACTAATCTAAAACATCAACAACTATCTATCTTACTACTCTATTCTATCCCTAACATCAATCATGTAAATCAAATACAAAATGGGACAGCACAGTTTACAAAAACATAAAATCTTGTGTCTGTGTTCCTGAATAAAAAAATGTCATTGTTCTAGTTCTTGTGTAAGTATCTAGACGTCTGTGGTGTCTCTGCTTGATAATGTATGTCTATGTTATGGAATGCGTGAATTCAATCATGTGTAACTCAGTTCTGGCTAGGTTGCCGTGTACTGGCCTTGAGCTAATCTTAGTAGAATGTGTAACTGGTTGAACGGGCTCAGCGAGCAGTGTAAGTGTATGTGTACGTGTTATGTAATTGCTGGCGTTCCTCTGTGGTGGGTGGTTTGTGGCGAGTTTTGATGTAAATTCTCGTTAGGCGGGTGTAGGCGTAACTTTCGTTGGTCAATGTGATGACGCAACAAACTCAACGCTGGTTGAGACGTCCACGTAGAGTGGTTATACTATGAACTGGAGTTGTCTGATGCGGTGGCGAACAATGACGTAACATTCCGACGCTGGGAGCTTGGACGATGGGTCTTTCTACCCTTTGTATCTGCCGACGTAGGTGTACGTAGCTGGCGGTCTGTTATTCAACCACAGGGTGGGGCGAAGCGGTGGCGATGTGTCCGCTGTCTTGACCAGGGCAATTCTCTGTTAAGCAGGGCTGTTCACTGTCCAGGTAATTCAACGTAATCAGGGCTTCAGGTGGCGGCATTCTTTGAAGTGTTTGCTTCATCTGGTCTCATTCTGTGTAAGCGTGGGTCTGAAATGGTATTACGAGACCATAAGCAATGGTTTTACGTGACCATCTTAGTGCCCGCGCAGACAAGTATTCAGACAGAGGTACCTTCCATTAAAAAAAACCTCAATCCCAAATTTAAACGTGCTGAACACTTGTCTGGCGGTACATACAGCATACAAAAATAACATTACAAATATAACATTACAAAAATAACCAACAAAAAAAATCAGTACACTCTACATCTAACAACAATCCGTAAAGCCTAATAAACTCAATAGACGTAAACACTACTAGAGCTTAGAAATAGCTTCACAAAAAGAATAGACATGTAAGTGTATATAATTAATCGTGCCGTTTCAAATCAACATTTGAACACGTAATCATATAGTGGAGCAGCTCTCACTATCTGACTTCTGACAAAAAAAACTGGCTGGCTTGACTTAATGACTGACTTCACTTTTGACTTCAGTAACTTGACTTATTTCACTTTAACTGACTTCAGTAACTTCACTGACTTCAATTTACGACTTATTTCACTTTCACGATTAACTTTACTGACTTCATAAACATCACTGACCGACTTCGACTTCACTTGACGACTGAATTCTCTTTGACGACTAACTTCACTGCGACAACTAAATCGACTGAATTCATCTTCATAGACCTCTGACTGACTTAAACTGACCTAACTTCGACTTCAACGACTTCACTTTGACCTCAAAGACTTCAATATGACTTCAAAGACTTCACTTTGACTTCAACAACTTCAATATGACTTCAAATACGACTTCAACAACTTATTGACTGACTTGACTGACTTCAAATAACTTCTTTGATTTCAGTTCTGACTTATACTTCACTGACTTCATAAACATCGCTGACTGACCTCGATTGACTTTAAATGACTTATTTGACTTCACGCCGATTTCTCGGCGACTTAGATTAACAGAAAAAAAAAAACTCGACTTGACTTTAGTCCTATGTTCATTATTCAAATCATTAGTGGGGACGGTCCGGGTCAAATTCTATCCAGGCATTAATATACCACACTAGGACCGATAGGGTGGGGCTCGGTGTGGACAAAAGTGTTGCGAGCCTTCACATGGTCTATGATTACTATACTTGTGTTTGTGTCGGTGTGTTGATGGGGTCATCTGGTTTAAGGCTGACCAGGAGTAACAGTACTGTTTGTCTGCTATCAAATTCCTTGTTACATATTCCTCTGATTCATTGTTTACCGATTTCTCTAATCTCAGCAATCTATTACTGACTGTGTCGTTCTGAAGTCTTAAGTTAAGAACAACTGCACCAATCTCGGTAATCTTTTTAGAATGATCCTCAATAACCTCGTTAATTTCTTCTACCAACTGGTCCATTTTGATTTGCAACTCGGCTACTTTTGTGTTGTCTCGAATACTGGGCTGCTTGTTTACTTGTCGCTTGTGGCTCATACATTCTACATTAAATTGCTTCACTCCTGTAATGTTGCCTAATATCATATCGTATGGTCCGTTTTTGAAAACAACTGCTTCAACTGTTTTACACGCTGAGGGTGTGGCTATGGTGACTATAGCTGTTGGCCAAACATATGTGCTGCCTCTTGAACTGTGAACACGTTGTGTTCTGCCTGTGTATTGGTGGTGTTGTACGAATGTGTTACGTACTGCCACTGTGGAGCATAGTGTATCCCTAATTGATGTGGCGTATCTGTTATTGACTTTTGATGTAAATATGTCTGTTCTTCTACTGGCTTCTGTAAACGATGACATAAAAGCTTTTCTATTTATCTGTCTATATTTTGGTCTGTTGCGTTGTGCATCTTGTTGGCGTCTATCATAATATCGTATTCTGCAATTTATTTGTTTGTGGCCTGTTCTATTACAATAGTAGCATCTGACACTGTAATTGTGTTTTTGTTGACTGTAGTTAATCTGAATGGTGTGATTTGCCGTATTATGTTTTTGGAGTGTATGTGGTGTTTCACTTTTTGTAGTAGGTATTTCGCTTGCTTCACTGAACGTGTCATCTGAATCTGAATCGTAGGAATAGTAAAATGTTGTTTCAGCTGTCTGGTTGTTATTATTAGTATCTAAACTTTGCACCGTTTCTTGTTTGGCTTGGCAAAGTTCTCTCAATTTTTCTCTTTCTTTACGAATTCTTTCTGTCTCTTCTTTAAGTCCGGCAATATATGTTTCTGCTTCTCTTTGTTTCTCTGCTAACTCGGCATCTATCTTTGCATCATATTCTTCTTCAGTCAACAAGGAATCTGGATCTCCGAATACCTTGTAATCTACAATTCTATTGATCAAATCTTCCATAGCATCTGGATCATCTAGAGTTTTTACGTCAAATTCTTTAACAGTTAATAACCAGTCTCGATTTTCTGTTGTCGTGTATTGTCCAAGCCTAATAATCAATTCATCCAGAATATCTGGATCCTCAATAGTTCTTGAATTGCTTTTCACTTTGACTGTATTCTGAACATTTATATCTAGTAACGAGTTATCAATTCTACCTGACTCTTCTAGGCCTGACTTAAGCTCAGTTTTAGTGCCCACTTCGTACAATGGAGGCATTTTTAAGGGTAGTGTGGTTGAAGAAACAGATAAGAAAGAGGCAGAAAAACCGCTGGCACCAAATATCCAGCACGAGTCTAAACCCAAACGTTTAAAAAAATTTTGGAAGGTACTTATCTTTTTGGACATGTAGACTGTTTCCTTGTGTTGTTAATCCAAACTCGTTCCGGTTGAAGAAACCCGCTGTTGTGATGAGTTAGAGAAAGCAATACACCAGTCATACTCCGTCATGAATAGCTGATATACGTTCTTTCCCTTACTCGACCCGCGCTCCACCAAATGTGAGGGTGGGGGATTTACGAAGGCGGTAACGGATGAATCCAATAACACACAGTTCAAGTTCAACTATAATTGTTCTTTATTAAAATGATATATATGTTCAAGTTTCTACCTAACTGATCTACACTGTACTATTTACTTCTACTACTGACTGTTCATACCACATGCTACCTACTACTACGCACTCCCATGACCAATCCTAACACTAACTGTTCTCTACATTCTACATATTACACCTTCTACCTTCGCTAGCTAATCATGATCTCCTCACTATCTACATCCTCGGCCGTCTCTGACCGCTACCTAACAACTTCTGGCCTATCGCTCTACTGCCCCACGCTTCAGTGGTCAGCTGACCGTCCCACGTGACCGGTCAGCCCTGTGCGCCCATTGGCCTCTCTACCCAACCAACTAGGCCTATGGTCTGTTTCTGCTAACCTATATCTGCTAAACATGTCTGACGTAATCTTGCGTCATCACAATAATGAA